AATAATGTGGAGTAGTGTGAATATTAACCTAGATTTACAAGGTATTATACAATAATGACAATAACAGACCTGTAAGAGGGTGTAAATTGTAGTACATGTGGTCATGTTACTCTATTTATCTTGACATAGGGGTCATTTTCTATGACTCAAATGGTTTTCCTCAGGCCACCCAGCAAATGCCAAATTTAACATCCTTTCCAATCAATTATTCACCAATAATCCTGTAGCGTAGTGGTTAAGGCTACAAGCCGGAAGGTCGCGGATTCAAGTCCTGATGACATCATTGGATTTTTTTCAGTTGACCTAATCCTTCAAGCCACAGTGTGGCCCTGGGGTCGACTCAACCTCTAACAGAAATGAGTACCAGGAATTAATTAAATAATTTTCCCGGGGAGTAAAGCGGGGCCGGCGCGTAAGGCTGACAACCTTACCGCCATCTTTGAGCTGATTGTCTAGATAATGTGGGACCCTCAATGTCTCACAACCCTATGGGCCTTAGCGGCCTGTTACAAAGATATCTTTACTTTTAATCCTGCCATTTGATGTTATGTAATCTGAGATACTGAAAGCTTCAGTACATAAACCAAGACTAAAATAATGCTTGATACACCACTTGCCTTCTTCTAAGTTGGAATTTGTTTTTTATCAAATCCTCCCTCCACTGAAATTTCCTGAGATATTACAAAGAATCTCTTATTTGCTTTTTCTGATATTCTTGGGCAAAATACACATTGACTGAATAGTTTATCTGCACATCCCAGGAGGACATCTAGAGCCCCCCCCCCACTCACACACACACACGCACACGTGCACGTGCACACATATACACACACATACACAAAGAGAAAAAGGAAAATAGTGTAATAAGTTCTTCGTCTGTAAGAAAACGGGCTAAACTTTTAAATATCTGTGAGTGAAGTGAACGTTAACTAGCACAGCAAAGTATATAGATTCTTGGTGCACTGTTAGTTTTCCACCTAGTTGCAACTGGTATAAGTCTCAGCTCTGTCCAGTATATCAATTAAGTGAAGGTTGACCTCCTGTATTAAGGAAGGAGATAGTAGAATTGGTGTCCATTTTCATTGCAGGATTCAGATTTCTAGATCAGGTGAATATGTCAGTATAGTGGTTTCTCTGTATTCAATGCCATAACTCAGCTTTGTGAAGTTGATGCAGATTCCGCAGTCAGTCTTTGAGGCATGTAACTGGAAGATAGTATAATCTGGGCACTCAGCAGGATCTTCTCTTTTGTCCATATGAAGCATATCACTGTATGAATACCAGAATGCAGAGGTGCTTCTGTAAGTCAAATAATGATCACGCTTGAAGAGTCATTCAGTGTGATTAAAAATTACGCATTCACCCACGTAAATTCAGGTTATATTGTACAAAGTATATAAATTCCTTTAATGGAAATATCATAAATTAAGGTAGCATTATCTCTGTGCTGAATTAGGTACAAGGCCATGAAGACACATCCCTATGCTTAATTAAGCACCATGGCCTGAAGATGTGTGGTTAAGTGGATATAATAATACTCTACAAATTCTTAATCACAGCACTTGATGGAGATGAGTTTTCGTCTTCACGCCCCAGCTGCTTTACCCCTGGGAAAATATTTTCTTGTGCCTTTTGGGCACGAATATGTGTAGGCCTCATCTCCAGTCTGGATAAAGTAGCAAAGAAGAAAATTCTAGCTCCTTTCAGAAATTGAAATATGGTTGTTCTGCTTGTAGCCTAGTCACTTAACTATTATTATTATTATTATTATTGGAGGCGTGGGTTTCCCCATGCACCGCAACCAGCGGTCTATTGTACGTCCCCTCTGTGATATTCTACCAGTCTCTATACCCTACCGATACTGGTGCGTGCCATCAGTCCCGACTCAGCCAGCGAGTTCGGCCTCTACTGGCTCAGCGGTATCTAGATGCTTCCCCCATCTACCAGAGGCGTTAGAGACTATTGTTGGGCGGAAATGTCCGATCAATTTGGCTCAGTGGTCCCCTTGGGACATGAGGTTCTTTTACGTGCCGTAAAGCTGCGACACGGGACCCACGGCTTAAAGTCCCTCCCGGAGGACTTGTTCCCTGAATTTTTCCGCCTTCAAAAATTCCACGACCTCCACCGGGTTTGAACCCGCATGAGGTGGGAACGTTACCCCTAGACTATGGAGGCCGCTAGTCACTATACTAACTGATCTATTCTGGCTCAGATCATATGTGACGTACTATAAATATCATGCTACAATGTTTGCAGACCATATTTAACCCTTTGCCACATCATTCAAACCTAGGTATCAAGACAATTTAAATGCTGTTTGCAAACTTCACTGTAGTATGTTACAGTCCAGAAGGGGATATTCCATTATGTTATTTTCTACAGTGTTTGGTGCGAAAGGTCATTGGTTACAGGATTAAAGCTATCAAGGAGGCCAATGAGTTGGTATCACAAGATGCAGCCTATGGTTTTCCCTCAATTTATCTTGTTATTTTGACAAATAAGGGTGCTGAGATAGCACAGTCAGTATAGCAACTGGCTATGGGCTGCACTGCTGAGAGGGGGGAGTCCGAGTCTCAGTAAGGGCAAGATTTTTCTCCTTTCATGTCATTCAGACTGGTTCTGGGGGCCGCCCAACTTCCCATTCAGTGGGTACTGGGGCTCTTTCCCCATTTTGTAAAGTGGCCAGGGCATAAAGCTGACCACTCACCACCAACTAGTGCCAAAGTCACAAATATGAAGATTTATATGTCCACTCTGCTGTATGTCTTCTTGGTGTAATGCTTAATTCTTTAAGCACTGGGAGAACGTTGCCTACCTTAATTTTGATGACTTTGTCAATAATGATTATAGTAATGTGTTCACAGTAAAGTTCACAGGAACTTCTTTTTCTTTTATGACTGGCATACTTCAGGCCTGGAATAACAAACTGCAGGGATTTTTTTGTGACTTTGCTAAGGCTTTTGACTGTGTTAATTATGGGATATTGACATCTAAACTAGAGTATTATGGTGTCTGGGGTTGTATATTAAACTGGTTCAAATCATATCTATTGGATAGAAAACAGAGTGTACATTAAAGCTAATGGTGGTCAGGACTATTTTTCATCTTGGGAAAGAGTTAAGCAAGGGGTTCCTCAGGGGTCGGTTTTGGAACCACTTCTATTTATTATTTACATTAATGACCATGATTTATTTCAACCGTCTTCCAGTGCATACACTCTTCTATCTCACNCTATTGTGCTTTGTGTTGTGTCTTGTTTCTGTGACTGCGTGTGTTATACTGCTGGGCCTGCTGTGTATGTGTGTTGAAATAAATCATGGACTTAAATCAGTGCAACAGGACGCTAAAATANTGTAGTGCGAGAGAGAGGAGTGAGATAGATGAGTGTATGCACTGGAAGACGGTTGAAATAAATCATGGACTTTAATCAGTGCAACAGGACGCTTAAATATAACATTACATTAATGATTTTCCTCCATATGTTAATAAACTGGCTAAAGTTTTTCTTTTTGCTGATGATACCACTATTTTGGTTACCGGTAATAATCATGTTGAGCTTAAGCATAAAGTCATAGGTACACTGTCTTTTATTATAAATTGGTTCTTAGCTAATAAGTTGGCCTTAAATATCACTAAAACTAATATTATTAGATTTGCTCTAAAACAGTCCTTTAACAATCTGGCAGTTGCTAGCGGGAATTTTTTTGTGAATGAAGTTCCTGTGATAAAATTTTTGGGTCTGCAAATTGATAAGAATTTGGATTTGAAGAGTCATGTAGAGTATATTCTCCCTAAACTTAGTTCAGCTATTTTTGTAATTAGGAGTTTATCTTATTTTATGAGTAAAATTTTTTTATGAATGGTGTATTTTTCTTATTTCCACTCTGTTCTTAAGTATGGAATAATTTTCTGGGGCAACTCAACAAATAATATTAGAGTTTTTAAATTACAAAAAAAAAAAAAAGTAATAAGGATTATATCTGGAGTGGGACCTAGAGACTCATGTAGGGATCTTTTTAAGAAATTGAATATACTGCCATTGTCATATGACTACATTCTCTCGTTGATGATGTTTGTGATTGATAATCAAACTAAATTTTGTTGAGGTTTAGATGTTCATGGTTTGAATACAAGAAATCGAAAGCAGTTATATTTGCCAAACTCGAATCTTTCTGCTTTTCAGAAGGTACAATGTTTACTGCTATTAAACTATTCAACAGATTGCCCATAACCATTCAAAGCCTTAAAGAGGATAGAATTAGTTTTAAAAATAAGCTGTCTTTATATCTTATGAATAACTCCTTTTATACATTTTCTGAATATGTGGAGCATAACATAAACTTTTAGTTTTAATTATTCTGTTATCTGTGTGTTTATTTAAATTTTTTTTGCATTTCTTTATATGACGGCCTTCATGTCCATTTGTTTTGGACTTATAAAATGAAATGTATGTATGTATGTATGTATGTATGTATGTAGAGATTATGGATCATTAATTATGAATTCAAGAAGGATAGATAGGAATTTTATGGCTTGTTTTTAAATACTGTCTCAGCAGTTACTATAGGATTGTGACGATGGTGTATAACACACAGAGATATTGTGTTTTCAGACTTTATCCATCATCCTGGTTTTTAAGATAACTAAGAAAAACACGACGTTTCAGAAACTGGATCTGTTTCCATCCTCAGGGGAGGGAAAACACCTATTCTGTTGGGTCCCTTAGAAAGAGCTAGGCTCAATCACTGGACCTCAATCACCTGAGGACGGAAACAGATCCAGTTTCCGAAACGTCATGTTTTTCTTAGTTTCTTAAAAACCAGGACGATGGATAAAGTCCGAAAACCCAATATCTCTGACTGTCTCAGCATTTGGTATATGGAATTCTCAAGTGTTGCATTGTGTAATGTCAACCAGAGGTTGAAATATTTTCTTGAATAAGTTAAACTGAATATTTGCACCCATTCAGTGCACTGACTAACATGGTATTCCTATTGCAGACATCAATGAGTGTGATGACCCTGCAGTGGCTGCTAGATGTGTTGCAAATGCTGAGTGCTGTAACCTACCTGCACACTTCTTATGCAAGTGTAATCCTGGGTTTGAAGGTGATGGAGAAGTGGAATGTCGAGGTAAGTAGCATATCTAGTTCAGATGATCCACTATATCATAAGAAGGAAATTATCTGTATTATGTTGAAAGCAAAAAATGAATATGGAGTGATAATTAACATTTTAAAATACTTTGTTCCTATTATTAATATTTTGTTGCTGGAAGAAGTATTTATTACATTGAATAGGGGAGAATCACATTATATTAAACAAAATAAAAACAAAAGTTCATTGCTGCTGTTTGGTGATATTCATCAGCTCAATATACATGACATTAGTGACATTATAGTCATAACAACAGTAAGATTAAGTTGATGTCATTACTTCCTGAACATAATATTAATATTAATATTAAAATTAAGTTATATTAATTTTTAAGCTAAAATTGCCTGTACTTATGTATGTAACCTTTTGACTTGTTCTGTATCCAAAGGTACTAACCTGCTTAGGATTTATAGAATGTAAATAAATTCAATTCAATTCAATTCAATAAAATTGCTTATTATTGCAGTCTGATAGGAAGTGTCAGAATTTTTTTCAAACACAATTGTGTCACTGCCTTAGTTTTTCTGAGTGTAATATTGAAAAAACTAATTATTAATTGAGGCCACCTGAGTATATTCAATTGAAGGTTTCTATAATTTATTGCAATGTTACTATTTATAAAACTAGCTTCAGTGTGCAACATGGCACAATATATCTCATGTTATAAATTATAATTTCAGATATCAACGAATGTGAACATCCAAATGCATGCGGAATAAATGCAAAATGTGAGAATATTCCTGGAAATTACACATGCAGCTGCTCAGAAGGGTTCATTGGAAATCCCTTTGACGGGGTAAGAGCTTTCTTTATTTGTGGAAGTTGATTCTGTAATATCTGGAAAGAAAAATATTTTGTTAACAATTACGTATGTGTATATGTAATATATATATATATAGAAATTCCTGGACTGAATTATACATACTGGGACTAATCCATAGAGGTGGAACAGGAACATTATATATTGTAATGTATTTGATCAATGCTTTGCCAGCCAACAGCTCTGTAAACACGGTCAAACACGCAACAATAGAGAAAGCTGTGTTTTCTGTAGATCTAACCAACATGCCAATAGACTGGCTGGATAGCGATCACGTGATACATGTTTACTGTAGGTCCTTTTCTGTTCCGTGGCTATATAAGTAAGTGACAGAAATCGTTCAGAGTAGTAGCAGTGGCAGAAGCACACAAACAAGCAGACAAGTCAGTTCTTGGTAGGAGATAGCCATGGGAAGTTCATCATTGAAGAAGAATTAGAAGTTGGCCTGTGAAGACTTAAAATGTGATCAGAAGACTTTATTTGTGTGTAATATTTGGGGTGTGTAATTCATTGAGACTGTTATAGTTCCTGTGTTATAAATCCATGAAGACTCCTACAGATAGACTGACAAGATTAAGGTGAAATGATTGTGAATTGTGTAAAATATCATGTAATAATTAATTGTAGTTACAACCTGCAGGTGGCTAATAAAACCAATTACCAGTCCGAACCCCGTCTTTAGTAACTGTGACACGTGACGATATCCTGACTTTGATTGGGTATGTAATGTTCACATACTTGTACATTTTGAACATTGCAAAAACAGATTTAAAGCAAAATGGTATAATGGTTTTATAGGTATGATATCAGTAAAAGTTGTTGTCCTCATGGAAATCAAACACACAGCCATTAATTAGTAGATAGGTATAAGATTTGAAGTTATCTCTATGAGTATTCAGATTACATTCTTCTGCACATAAATATTTCTGAGGAACCTGATTCCTCCAACTTGAAGGTAGAATTTAGACAGAAGATGAAGGCTATAGCGTCCTATGAAGCACTGGTGTCTGTCTACCAAACTACACAGTGTTACATCCCAAAAAACTTTAATCTGAATACTAGACAGCTCATCTATCTCAAAACATTTTTATCCTACTTCCGTTCTTTTAAAAAATAAAAGCAGGCTTATGAAATCAACCTTCCTGTCTGTGTATGTCTGTATGCGTATCCACCACTCCCCCCAATTAACGTTTAACCAATCTTTATGAAACTTGGTGTGTGTATAATGCCACCTGAGGCCATATCAATGGCATAAGTGATGAATTCTGCTCATCAGTAATAACAACATTATAGACTCTCAAATTGTTAAGGTAATATCCTTCATATACCTCAAATGCTTCAGCTGATCATCATGATAATTGGCATGTATACCATGCTACCTGAAACCATATCAAAGGAATACTTAAGAAATCTGCCATTAGCAGTACCAACACTAGAACCTCTCAAATTGTTGCGGTAATAACCTTAGTATAACCTGAATGTCACAACCAATCTTCATGAATCTTGGTATGTATATCGTGTCATCTGAGGCCATGTCAACAGTGTACCTCATAAATCACTCCAGTCAGTAATATTAACACAGGAGCCTCCCAAACCATACTGTTTGACTTCATTAGGCATACATAGTACTAAAGTTTTATTTATATTTGCCATATCAGATACTAAAGTTACAGTGAAAGGGAGGTAGGCAGTTAGTTATTCCCAGGACTTCTTGTTTATTTATTTGATTCAGTTGAATTACTTATGAAGGTCTCATATTGCCTTATATTAGTGTGAGTTATTGACTAAATATTTGCAACAGTAATGCCAGCAACCAAAATGATGGTTGACAACGACGACGACGGCAATAATCATTATTTGTCTTTATGGATATATGAACCTGTTGCATCTCTAAAATTTGTTCAGACTTTTTGTTTGTTGGTCTTCTGATGAAAAATTAGTTGAACAGCGATAATGTTTGACAAAAGTACACGTCTATTAACCGTTGTACTCTAATGTAGTAATTATAATGGTGGATTGAAGGGAAAGATTTACTTTATCACAGCACTACTTTGTAAGGTTCTGTACATAAATGGTTCTCTTTCCATCTTAGTGTGTGGACCAAGACGAATGTGAAGATCAGCATACATGTGGGCCTGGTGCCCTCTGTACGAACGTCCCAGGTGGACACAGGTGTGAATGCCCAGCTGGATTTGATGGTGATCCATATACCACAGGTTGTGAAGATGCTGATGAATGTGCACGCAGTCCATGTGGAAGGGATGCTCTCTGTAATAACATGCCTGGAAGCTTCAGATGTGCATGTCCACCTGGGCACACTGGAGACCCATTACATGAATGCATAGGTGAGTTGTATATCTTAATTTGACCATTAATGGATTAGAGTTTTCAAATTTGTTAACTGTAATTAATTAATGGAAAGTACTACCAACATAAAAGTAAAAAGTAAAGGTATCCCTGTAACAGGCTGTGGAGGCCCATAGGGTTGTGAGATGTTGAGGTTCCCACATTTTCTAGACAGTCGGCTCATAGATAGCAGCAAGGTTGTCAGCCGTACGTGCCAGCCGTCCTTTACCCCCAAGGACATTTGAAGAATATTCCTGGTGCTCATTTCCGTTAGAGGCTGAGTCAACCCCAGGGCCATAGTGCGGCTGGAAGGATTAGGTCAATTAAAAGAAATCCAATGACCTCATTGGGACTTGAACCCGTAACCTTCTGGCTTGTAGCAAAATGCCTTAACCAACTATGCTACCGCATGCCCCCAGTACTACTAACATACATAAATAAATTAAATATTCATTTCAGTTACTATTATATAAAATATAATGATATGAAGATGGTTTTCTCAGAACCAACATATGAATACACTGTATTTTGATATACTGCATTGTGGTAGTGTATCAATAGCAGATCTTGAAAAGGTAAATTATCCTCCTATCTGAATGTCTGTTTGCTATTGAACCAGAAATGAGCATAACTTCTCTATAATTGTTACCTCTATGGGTAGATACTTTACAGTGGTTTCAGCTTTTAAATCAAAATAGCTCATGGCAGTTTCTGACTAATACAACCGAAACCCTGGAAAATCTATGGCAGTAAATCATGGAAGAAATATTTATTTATAAACCACACAGTGCTTGCAGTAGAAGCAGAAAAAATGGGATGCTTTGTTCAGAATTTCATTAAGTGTATATTTGTCATTTAGACATAATACTATTGAGGTAAAAGAAGTGAGTTTACATCTTGCTTCCTCAGATATTCTATATTGTTGGCCTAATTTCAACTAATATGAAAAATTTCTTAGCTGTTGAAAATTTTTAAGATTTATGTGCACTTGTAGTATCCTGTTTCTGTGTCAAGGATGTGTTTTATTTTCTGAAGGAGTTCAGTGTCTGTGAAATACTCTACCGCCAAATACATTTCTGTTTGCAGTATCTGCAAATGTTCTGTTTATGACTGGGTCCTGTAACCTTAGTTGATCTGCTCAATAAACTAAACAAATATGAAAATTTATTTGTCTGTGACAAGACAATGTTAACAGTTCTAACACAAACTGAGTACTGTGTTTGATGCTAAATATTATGTTGTCTTCTATAGTGTGTTTGAAAATTTTGCATGTTAAAATTAATCAGTCTTTGAATGAATGTTGTAATTTCTCCTTAAACATAATAACCATGTGGCAAGAATGAGAATAGCTACTGCTAGTTTCTGTACTTCAAAATAATTAGCCCTATTAATTTATTCCTTTACATAGTTAAAATAGTCCTCTTGGGTATTTTGGATTTACAGTGTTTAGTGATAAATATATCAGTCAACAAATGATTCTGTCCAAATTCATTTTAATGCCGTAAACAAAACATGTCAGTTCATTTGACATTACCTACTATACACTGAATGAGAGAAATTTTTGTTTCCAGTTTTCTGATGAAATGTAAGAGCAGTTATATATATATATGATTAGGACCAATGGACCCTTTGATAACACAATTTGCTCTCAATAGTTCAATGTTGAATGGACTAAGGATACCCATCAAACCAAACTTGGAATACAGAAAGTTGAACATCTACCTAAATGTATTTTGTAACTGAGTTTTAAACCTTAAAGTTTCAATTAGTCAGTTCTATAGCTACCAAATTTTATTTGGCCCTGAGTAATAACAAAGTAGCTAGAATTTTAAAAATTAATGCCATTCTTTCAGGTAGCTGTTCAAGTACAGTTATGAAATGCTAAGACATTAGCAATATAAATATGAACTGATCCAAAAATCAAGAGCTTAATTCAGTATTGTTATAATTGAAATGTATGTACAATAACCCTGAAATGGTATTTTGTTTGTAAAACTTACCCCTTTAACAGACTTTAATGAGTGTGAGAAAGCCAATGGTACAAGCCCATGTGGAGGGAATGCAGAATGTGTGAACACGCCTGGTAGCTTTAGATGCGAGTGTCCAGCAGGCTACACGGGGCTGCCCAAGCAAGAGTGTCTTGACATAAATGAATGTGGCCGTTCCAACACTTGTGGCATCAACTCCAAATGTATCAACATTCCAGGATCATTCAAGTGTCTGTGTCCACAAGGATTCAGTGGAGATGGGCGTTTGTTTTGTGAAAGTTAGTTTTGTTGATTCCCAAGGAAGTTCTGTTCATCTCTTCAGCTGGAATCATCTGCGCCTTGTTAAATTCTGTCCTACATTTTATTATTGTTATTATTTCTGTAAGCATGTTTGCCAGTGGAATGCCAGAAATATTATAGCTTCAAGAAGGCTTCTTATATCTTCATCATTCTATGGAATGCTCTGTGATGCTGAAGAATTTTCCTGTATGCATTCTTATGAAGTGGTTTTATGGGAAATGCTTGCACGGTTCTTATTTTAAGTTATTACTGGATGTTGACACTGGAAAGTCACTTTATGTCGAGTGCAGCAGTTAATTATTGATTAGGTGATACGTTGCTTTCTTTTTCATGTATGGTCTCCTTGGTCTTTGAAGGTCATTTGAAACCTTGCTGATGGCTTCTAAAATGTTTCTTTCCAGCATTTTTATGAATCTTTGCTTGTATGTATTATGTTCATTTTTGTGCAGTTATTCATATATGAGTGAATGACTCCTTATTTGGGCCCTTTCATATATTTCTTATTTCCGTAGTTATATTGGCTGTTTTACGAACTAGAATTTTCAAATATCATTGCAGGTTACTGTTTCTGTAGCAGATATTTTTCATAAGGCTGTGAATATTCTCCATGAAATAATATGGCCATATAATTTCACAAATTATTTAATGTTCATCATTTTTTAATATTAATAATATTACTTCTTCTTCTGTCTCTACTGATCTGAATATCTTGTTCGTGTTAGTCAGTTTCTTGCTGAAAAAAAACAACTTTGATTTATCATCTGTGCTGAACTTCATACTTCTTATCGCCCTTATGCTTGGTAGAATTATATTATTCATAATAGCAGTAAGGCAAGAAGGACTGAGAGGCAAATCATTAAATTGACCTTCATTTAGACCAGTATAAGTACAGTACTAATATACTGATATAGAACTATGATGCCCAACACATTGATTGTGAGACTAATTACAACCAAATTTTCACACACATCTTAGATCCAACTCCCATTTGTATTAGGTCAGAATGTTTAATATTAGTTCTGACTGCATTTATGTTTAAGGGTCATTGATCTGCTTGCATTTAGGTGCATAAACCTGGACAATTCAGACGTACTGAAAAAAATGTTTTTGCATCCAACATAAAAAGCATCAACACCTAATACCATTAAACGTCTATATATTTAGTCTGTCAATAATGCAGCGCTCATTAAAATATTCACATTTCAACACCAACACGTGTTTTGGCCACAGATGACCATTCTCAGGTGTTTCGATGCATGTATACTGTTACACTGTTTTGAGGCACACTAAAATTGTGCATTGCAGTCTACTTAAATTATAGTCTTTCATAAAATCATATCCACCTCGTAAGGGGCATTGCCCACTTGTTTAAAGCTATGTGATGCATGTATTCCAGACAGCTGAAANACACTCATTAAAATATTCACCATTCAACACCAACATGACACCACAGACGGCAATCCTCAGGTGATTCGATGCGTCTAAATTGTTATACTGGTTTGAGGCATGCTAAAATTGCACGTTGCAGTCTACTTAAATTGAAATATTTCATAAAATCCTATCCACCTCATAAGGGGCATTGTCCACTTGTTTAAAGCTATGTGATGCATGTATTCCAGACAGCTGAAACAAACTGTCTGGAATACACGCATCCCATAGCTTTAAACAAGTGGACAACACCCCTTACAAGGTGGATAGGATTTTATGAAATATTTCAATTTAAGTAGACTGCAACGTGCAATTTTAGCATGCCTCAAACCAGTATAACAATTTAGACGCATCGAATCACCTGAGGATTGCCGTCTGTGGTGTCATGTTGGTGTTGAATGGTGAATATTTTAATGATTGTTGCATTATTGACGGACTAAATACATAGACGTTTAATAAAGCTGTGCAACAGGATGCTGAAATACATTACATTGGAGAATTACCTAATACCATAAGAAGCAACATATATAATTTATTACAATTTGAACATGAGATGAAGAGTTCTAGCTTCTGGAATATAACATTGTGTAGTCCATTGAAAGTAAAAACAGTTAGCTGTATACTAGTTCCCTTCTTGACAAATTGTTTTAGGTCCTTGTACAAAAGTAAGACAGGCTACTTCAATCTAGAGCAACAAAGTTGGTTTGTCTGTATTTGATTTACACATGTTACAGTTGCTAAAATATGTTGAGTACAGCAATATAAATACAAAATCTGCTTTTCAGATGTAAATGAATGTGATGACAATCCATGTAGTGAAAACGCCTTGTGTACAGATACTGTTGGAAGTTTTTTCTGTACATGTAAAGAAGGCTTCACTGGTGACCCATTCAGAGGATGTGTTGGTGAGTTAAACTTCATATTCTTTATCATAAAATTAATCTCTTGTCATGAACAGGTTACAATTTATTATTAGAACCTGAAAATCTGTCACATGAATTATAAGAACTTTTAAAACTAAATTTAATAAAGAAATGCAATAAAACGTTGATTTATATAGTTAAAAGATTTATCTGTATGTGTCATTTCCAGATATCAATGAGTGTGTAGCTTTGGAAAAGCCATGTGGAACAAATGCGCTCTGTGAAAACTCATCTCCAGGCTACAACTGCGTCTGTTCCCAAGGGTACACAGGCAAACCAAATCCAAGTGTTGCTTGTGAACAGGTGGATGTAAACATCCTGTGTAAAACTAATTTTGACTGTGTGAACAATGCAGAATGTATAGAAGGGCAATGTTTCTGTCAAGATGGCTTCTTAGCCCAAGGATCTATCTGTGTGGATGTAGATGAATGCCAGAATCAGCCATGTGGTCCCTTAGCAGTTTGTACCAACACACCTGGAAGTTTCCATTGTGAATGTGAACAGGGCTATGTGGGTGCACCACCAAGGATGAAATGTAAAGGTATGGGATCACTTTAATTTCCATTTGTGGTTCTGCAGACATTTGAATGTTCAGAATTTTTGTTAATTTTGTAGCTGTTTTTAGTCACATTTCTTACTGTTAGCTTTATTATATCTCTGTCTACATAATTGACAGTTCCCTTCTAGGTGAATGAATCACAGTACAGTACAGTACAGACAACCGCGTAAACTTCTACAACAGATATTTATTGTTGTTAACAGGGTATGCAGACAAGCATGCAGACTGAGTGTGCAGTAACCAGTGAGGTGTTGTGGTCCCTGAAAAGGGCCGTATTTCTAATGCAGAATGTGTGGCAATCTGTCACGTTGTGGCCCTCAGTAGGGCCATTAGTATGAAGCCAGGCATGCCTGATGGATGCCAGGTGAAGCTAGTGTCACAGCAGGCTAGCCTGTGCTAGGGTTGGCAGTCTTCCTTGAGCGGCAGCTCCATGATTGCGGGCTGGCCACTGGGCAGTAAACTTGCCAGTGGATCTAGGTGACCACTAGTGGAATTGACTGCCAATGTTGCTGCCAGGAGACTCACTGTTGCTGTGTGTAGTCGGCCACACAGTGTGGATCCTCAGAGACTTACTGTTGCTCTGCTGTCTTGATGTAGGCTTAGCTGTGACTCCTAGCATGTCAGAAGTCCGCATTTTTATACTTTGTTTCTAGGTGGTGTGTGAACCAGTGGGTATTGGAGATGCTGTGGCTCCCACACATTTTCTTCCTTTTAAAAGTTCTGATTGACTTACTATGTCACGAGAAGCTGCAAGTAATTTTTAATGGTTCTTGTTAAATTCCAATATACTGTGTACCAAAAGTGTATTATTGGATTATAATATTTTTACAGCTCCCTGTGATGACGTGAAATGTGGACCTCATGCTTTCTGCAAGCCTGAAGGTCAAGAAGCATACTGTATTTGTGAAGATGGATGGACGTTCAACCCAAATGATGTTGCTGCTGGTTGTATAGGTATGTTTTCAAACAGCTATTCTAATAGCTAATTTAAAAATGAATTGAAATAAATTTGTATGCGTTTTGACAAATGCGATAGTCCTTGTTTAACGTGAGGGTTACATTCCTGAATAGTTCCTTGGATGTAAAGCTACATTGTGCAAGAGTTTGGTCTTATGGGAAACAGAGGGAAAGAGATATTAGCCTCTGAAACATATATATAGAAAGTCAAAATAAACAGGTATAATATGTACATTATATATGCTGTGAGAAATTACTTTTATTTATGCCTATTTTACAAGTACCAAACATTGGGAATTAGTGTAACTTAGTAATAATAAAGAAAGTACATACTATACCATGAAGTAATTTTAATAGTTCACTGTTGTCTAGTTTGTCAAGCGTGTCAGTTCTCTGTTATAGAGTCTTTACTTTTCTAACTCTTTTCTTAGTAGCATCAATATATTTATGTTCTGAGGTTATATTTCAAAGCAAAACAGTACAGTCATATAAGAAAAATGACAACTTTCTGATTTTGTGAAGGACATATGCTGTGTGACTAACATTATTGTCAGAGCAAGAATGATGACATCACTATGAGGCTGGGCAGCAGGCATGGGTATGCAGTGATCTCAGTTGTACACAGATCTTGAAATCAGATCTAGACATGTGCACATGCTAACCTGTGAATAAACAAAACTTGCCCCATGTTATATAAAATGGATGTTTAAATATAAATCTTGTACAGTCTAAATGGTGTTAACCAAACCTGTGTTTAACAAGGGATTATTTATATACCTTATTACTTTGAATGTAGGACACATATTTTACACATTCTTTTTCCCAGTGAAAAATTGAGGTGTGCCTTAAATTTGAGGAATATGCGCCTTTCTAATTTTTGTCCTAATACCCACATACAGAAACTGGATGCATCTTAAATTTGAAGCAATACAGTATTTATTTTTGAACTCTTATTGCCACTGTATTTTTTTGTTTACAATTCCATATTTCATTAACTTCCAGATATCGACGAATGTGATAAGCGCAATGGGCCATCAGGTCGTTGTGGTACAAATGCTGAATGCACAAACACTCCTGGTGGCTTTGGGTGTCAGTGCAAGCCTGGATTTTCAGGAAACGCCTACAAACAATGTCTAGGTGAATGTTACTGCATGCTTCTGTGTTAAGTTTAGAATATAAATTTATGCATAGTTGATATATTATACCAGGAACTGGGCTAGCATAGTTGGTATAGCGACTGGCTATGAGCTGGATGACTGAGGGGTTGAGGTTTGAGTCCCTATAGGGTTAAAAACTTTCTCTTCTCCACATTGTCTAGACTGGCTCTGAGGTTCACCTAATTTCCTATCAAATGGGTACCGGGGGTTATTTTCCCAAGGGAAAAGTGGCTGGGGCGTGAAACTTTCCACTTGCCTCCTGCTAATGCCAAGGTCAAGAAAATGTGGATCTATACATCCACTCCCCCATATACCTTCATGGCATAGTGCTTAATTAGTTAAGTACGGGGACAACTTTACCTTACCTTTACCTTTTAATATATTATACCTGACTGTTAACCTCTAGTCTAATAAATGGGACAAACTGAGAAATAACATAGTCCTTAGATGTGCTGGTCTTTACATTTAGTCTACAACACACTTGATATGAAATTTAATAAGTAATAACAATTATTTATGAAACTGATTTGACACATATTTTTAATGCTGAGTTAAGCAGTTACTGCAGGTGGCTGTGTCCCGAGACTTGTCACAAGTGCAAACAAGTATGGCACATATGCATACCCGAGCTCTGTATTATAACATGGAATTCATGGATCCTCTTAATAGTTGTGTTAACCTCTCAGAAAATTATTTGTTCTTATCCATAATGAAATGTGCAAGTATAAAGCATCTACAATACAAATTTATGCTCATATTGTCAATATTAATAGCATAACTTTCATGACTTCTATAATCATCCAGGAAAGGATAAGAATGTATACCCAAGATAGTACAGTTTCTAAGCAAGCTTGCTCCACATTAAATTTCCAGAAGGAAATGTAGTGTACTAAGCTGTAGAAGCATGTCCATTGTTGCCATTAATTGAGTAAATACCAAAAGGGAGTTTACTGTTTAGGAACAAAGGTCTATAATAATCTACCACAATGTATTAAGGCTATATCAAGTGACACTAAGAGTTTTGAGGTGCAATTAAAACAATTTTTATATTTACATTCTTTTTATTCTTTACAGGAATATTTTGGTTATAAATCTTTTTAAGGTGCGAGTAGTTGTCTTGCTTTACAATTAAAAGAAGACAAGATTGTCAGTCTATGTTCTGGTTTTTAGATGCTTTTTTAGATATACACAATTTTTATATTACTGTATACTAGTCTTTATTTCAATTTATTATATAATTAATGTATGTTATACAAAACTCATTAATGACATTATGTTTTAACTATTTAATTTTGAATTAATAGACTTGCATAAAACTGTGCAAATTGTATAAGGTTTGCCATTACTTTTACTACTAAAATTAACTTATTTATTATATTGTATATGTTTATCAGTATTTTATACAATTGTGCATGCTATTGGCTGAAAACTGTAATCCTTAGTTGTGACTGTAACAAGGANTTAATGATATTGTTAATGGTTCATACTGTATAATGTTCATAGTAGGATGCTTAGTGAGTAATTAATAAATAAAAGGATGTGTAAGAAAGCACTCATAGCTCAATTTGAGGTACTGTCCCAGCATTTGCATGGAGGAGCTGAGGAAAACCGCGAAAATCTGAATCAGGTTAGCCAACTTTTAGGCCGAGATATGAATATTGTACCTGCAAAATACGAAGCAGGAGAGCCACCTGCTTGGCCATGAGGTTCAGTTTTCATATTTAAAATCTTTAACTTTCTTTGTTTTTGTTTTAGTTTTGAATGTTACTTTATGAACCATATGTGGACAGATGAACTATTCAGCTTAGGATCTGAAACATGCTTTTTCATTTGTTTAAAGAATTCAGGTGTTAACTCAGGTTTATTATTACTTATTTTCAGATATCAACGAGTGTAGCCGTAATGACGCATGTGGTGCGGGAGCCCTCTGTCAAAACTTACCAGGTTCATACAAGTGTGAATGTCCAGAAGGCTCTATCCCAGACCCTGACCCACAAACGAAATGCGTTGGAGTGGTTACACTTTCTGAAGACAAAGACTGCCCAGGAAATGCAGTCTGTGATAGTCATAAACGTTGTCTCTGCCCAGAACCCAATGTTGGAAATGAATGTAGACGTAAGTGAGCATATTCTTTGCACCTGAATGAGCATCTTTGAAATTTTAAAATATTATATATATTTTAGAATTTTACATTTTTGAAAAATTGAAAATATCATATTTTGGAATGAATCTGAGAGGTAATAAATGCCAAAGAAATTATAAATTTCATTGATATAAAGTGGCTTGTTATAATCAAATGGAGACAAACCTGAAGAACATTTTCAAGTATATATAATGTATAACGTATCTCAGATACTGACTGCAACTCAGACAAAGGGATGACTAAATTATGAAAAATTGTCATAAAACTTGTATGTTTTAGATGAAGTCAGTACACACATTGATTGCACTTATAATTTAAATTTGTGCCCAGTTCTTTTTGTAAGCAATATTGTTCTGATTCTCCCAGGAGGTAATTAAAAATATTTCATTTTCTAGATCCATGTGAAACTGTATTCTGTGGTCCAAATGCACAGTGCATGCTAATAAACAATGAAGCAAAGTGTTTGTGTAGCACTGGATATACAGGCACACCTGATGGAATTGGTGGTGGCTGTGTGGATATAGATGAATGTGGGGCTAATCCATGTACACCTGGAGCAATATGTAACAATGAACCTGGCGGTTTCTCCTGTGAGTGTCCTGGTGGTACCAGTGGTGATGCCTATCGAACAGGCTGCACAAAGGAACTACCATTCAGTTGCTCAAAAGACAAACCTTGTCCTGGGTCAGAGCAATGTGTGCGAGATGAGTTTGTTGGTAGCAGCGTTTGTATCTGTCAACGTGGCTACACACGGGATCCTGAGACTGCAAAATGTAGGGACATTAATGAATGTTTAGAACTCAGAGATAAACCTGCCTGTGGGCTGAATGCTGTATGCAGAAACCTTCCTGGCAGTTATGAATGCCAATGTCCACCTGGATTCAATGGAAACCCATTTGCTCTCTGTGAAGGTATGGGTCTATCTTCAGTTTACAACCTTGAGTGTTATGAGTTGTAATGTATGACATGAGTCTTTACAATTTGCAAAATATTGTTTACTGATTTTGATGAAATCTTGTAATCTCCTAAGGTTTCATTCCTTGGGATTTACAGTTAAGACTCATAGTGCAGAATGCAAGACAACTTAAGATTAGCATTCTACTGCTAAAAGAAGTATGAGCAATTTGATATAAATTTCATACATATGCTATAGAAGGAAAAGTCATGTGGAATAAGGGTCATTTAGTATGCTATTATATTATATAGTATTCAGTATTTATGTCTTCTCATAAACTTCAAAGTACAATTTCATGCATTATAAAAAAAGTAAAGCTATATCTGTAACAGGCCATGGAGACCCATAGTGTTGTGACATGTCAAGGTTCCCAGATTTTCTAGACAATTGGCTCACAGTGTTATTATACTTAATCTTACAGGGGTTCTGTATTGTGAACTACTTATATATTTTTCAGAATGCAATACTCTGGAATGCCAGTGTCAAGCACCATACCAAATTGTCAATGGCAACTGTGTCCTTGCGGGATGTTCAAAGGGAGAGCCTTGTCCTGCAGGAGCAGAATGCATTACAATAGCTGGTGGAGTCAGTTACTGTGCTTGCCCAAAAGGATACAGGATAAAACATGATGGGTCTTGTGAAGGTGAGAATGTGTGTATGTGACTGACAGTCAGTTGTCATGCCCACACTTTTGTTTGCATATTTATTATCAAGATTTTCTTTCATTTCATTTGTCATGAAAGTAGGTGCCTTGTTACTCAGTCCTTGGGAGTAAAATATTGTGCATACTTGTGCTTCTAGATATTAATGAATGTGAAGAAGGACGACAAGTGTGTGGTTATGGTGCTGAGTGTGTTAACCGACCTGGATCACATGAATGTGTCTGCCCGCGAGGCTACACAGGAGACCCATACAACAGCGTGTGCTCACCTAGTCGTGTCAAATGCGTCAATAATGGTGATTGCTCTCCTAATGAGAAATGTGTACAGCCAGGGGAATGTGTCTGCCCACCACCCTTCTTTACTGATCCATTGGATGGCAACAAATGCAAAAGTATGTCCATAATACATTAATGTAACTGATGATCTGTAAAATGAAATTGTGTTCTCTTTATTGCATATTTATGAAGAAAAGTAAATATCATCATCATTTGTAGGACTTCTTAGTTCTGAAATTAAAAAGAAATCACACGTTCAGATATTTCTACAGTGCTTGCTTTTCATTTATAGAACTAGAATTTTGTGGTTTAGATATGGAAGTCAGATTTGTGGGTTGTGGATGGTATATAGCCCACCAAATAGTTTGTGCACTCTATAGTGACATCATAATCATCAGCAGCAGCAACAACAACATTAACATTATTTCTTGTGGGATGTTATGATGCAACCCGAAGTTTTTGTTTTCGGACTTCATAACCAAATTGTAATTTTTGTATTTCTACTTTATATAATCTTATCTTTCAAGTGTAAATATATAGGTATTCTTTGTTGAACGTGAATTTGCAAAATATGATTTCACTCTAATTCACTCAAGTAATTTCGAAAAATTTCAGTTAATAGGACTTGCTTTAATGAAAATTCTATCTGGTCAATTGAGAAAAGCAGAGAGGAGGGGTGGTTAGAATACTATATAGGTGATAGAGGAGGAGTGTGAGGAGAGAATGGAAAACTATATTCCATTTATATGATTTTACCCTCTCTGAATTTTTCAAAACATGACTGGCACATAAAGGAACATCCATATTTCCTTTATTATAGTATTCTGAATTTTCAGTGGATGACTGTTGTACAGTATGATGCCACATTTTATGAAGTTGATGATCATTCAAATTACAATTTTTACCATTACTTCAGTCAATATTTCCCAATAAAGTTTCTTCTCTTAGCCTATGTACAGAGCAAAAAGGGACATTAAATATAAATGTACTTAAGTCTGTGTGATATGTAAACTAATGTGAAATGTTTGTGAAGGTCCATGTGAAAGATTTCCATGTGGTGTCAATGCGAAGTGCACTCCGAGTGATCCCCCCAAGTGTATGTGCCAGACTGGTTACAAAGGAGATCCACTCCATGGCTGTGTGGATATAGATGAATGTATAGACAACCCATGTGCATATGGAGCTCATTGTCTCAATGAGAAAGGAGGCTACAAATGTGTATGTGCCCGAGGAATGACAGGAGATCCTTACAGGGCAGGATGTAAGTATATATTTTATCATCCCTCATTAATATCGAAGCCTATATGATACATTCATTTGAAAGTGGCTGAAGGGCTTTTTAATGTAAGAATCAACTTAAAGGAAGATCTTGTTATTTTTGCTGGAATCACGCCCTAATGGTATTGTGCTTAATTAGTTAAGCACAGGGACAACTTTGCTTTTACCATACTTCATGAAGATGACCTATAATTATAGAACTGTGATTCTTATACTAACGTTCTAGGTTCTTTTCAATATTAGTATTGTGTTATTTAATTAAAGTGTTTAGAGATGTATTGAAATGTGAGGCTATTAACGTGTATTTAAAAATGCATCAGAGTATGAGATTCTTAGTGTCTAAACATATTGTCACTTGGCAGAGTGTCACTGTAGACAGGTTTTGGATTGATGACCAGATTTATTGCACTCTTTGATATAGCATGTGACTACACTTTACAGTTCACTGTTACACACACACTAGTGTCCACAGTCACATCTTCATTGCTCTTGATTGGTAGTGGCTTCCAATGATGGACATTCCCCTTCCTCCAGTTTTCTGAACTGTCCCTGATCTCAATTAGCAGCTTCTAGCAGCAATAACTCACAATGACCGAACGAAAGCAGTTATGTAACTAACTGCAACCATGAGAGTCAGTCATACTTTACAACTTGTTGTTTACCACCAATCGGCCAATCAGTTCATCTTTGCACCAAGCCCCTCGAGGTTCACCACCAGAGAGTTTTTTTTTTTCAACTTAACCCTTGTGATCATCATCATTATATAACATCCTCTCTGATGAGAGAATTGTTATTGAAAATTTTGCGTTTACACTTTATACTAGTCCTCTTTCAGTATAGTCTTTGGAAAGCAGATCATGTCTATCTTACTTATCTTATGATACAACGGCAGCTTAATCACTTGAATGGTCATAAGTTTGGCTACTGCAAATTTTAAGCCTCTTATATATTTTATTTCTGGCTTTGCCTAGTCATATGCTGGAAACATGTTCATTCTCATGATTTTGTATGGCTTGTGCTTTTTGCCTGCAAAATTTTGTAATGAAATCATGTACGTACAGAAGGTTGAAAACCATGTGCAAATAGCAGATCAGTGTGCACCTTGTAAAATTTCCAGTTGTGCAGATAACCTTATTTTGCAGCTGCTGAATTTGTAGGAGGTAGAGACCTAGATAGACACCAGGTGTTTAGGGCATATCATTTATGTATATATACTGTATAATAATAGGGACAGGACAGAACCTTGTGGCACCGTTGCTTATGTATCCCTTGACATAGATATTTTGCCTTTGACCAAGACTCAGACTTTTCTGTTAGAAGCACTAGAGAAAATAAGCTTAATTAGACCTGTCAAAAATTGTAATTCTGATTTTCTATATAGCAAGCAAAGGTGCCATGTTGTAACAAAGGATTTTTCAGTATCCAAGGATACTGCAGTCATAGACATATTACTGTTGAAATTTAAAGTGATGTGGTCCTTAAGCCTCATACATTGACATGTTGTGCTGTGACAGGCACAGAAACCAAACTGGCTTGCATTAAGCAGGCCTCCTCTTCAATTTACCTTTTGACTATTTTGAGAATAAGTATCTTGAATAGCTTACCTGTTGTGGACAAGATAAATATTGGACATAAATTTTGAGGGAATTTTGGGTCCTTACCGAGTTTTGGTAATGTTATAACTTTTATTTCTTTCCAAGACTTTGGAAAATGGGGCAGCTAAAGGAAGTGGTTAATTAATCGTGTCAGATGTGCCAGGGGTCGCCTCGGAAAAAGCCTGAAGCATTTGTATGAAATACTGTCAAGTCCACAAACATTTCTCAGTTTCAGTGAATTTACTAATTTATGTATGTCACAGGGTCATACTTTCCCAAGGGGATGTCATCTACAGATGTGAGCGGAGTTTGGACTCTAGTCTGTACCTGTTGCTCATGGTTTTCATCAGATAGGTTATGAGATATGAACTGGTTTTCTAAACAATCTGCAGTGGTGTTTGTTTTCTCGTCCGGGTGATATGTTGTTCCTAAAGGGCCATGAACAGCAGTTGGTGCATTTGGGCCATCCTTTCTCATAAGTGATTTTGCAGTTGGCCACAGAGCTTGACAGCCAGTTGTTCCTGCTTATAACATCTCAGTACAGACCGCATAGAAAACACCGTTTCCCACAGTTACTCCATTGTTGCTTTCGTGTCTGTTGGTGTGACCACATGATTGCTACTGAGCCACTGCCTAGCAATGGCTGTTGTTTGCAGAGCCATTCCCTAGCAGCAGCTATCTCTGCTGACATCACAATTCTGCCTTGAGCAAATATACCACAATATTTACCTTTCATCAGTTACTAATTTTTCGTGCACTAGTGAGAGTGGTAGGTGTTTACAAAATGTCTGGACATTTTTTGCACCATTATGAATTAAAAGACTGCACATAAAAAAAATACATCCTACCATTTTGACTTTCACAAATAATTGTTTCATTAAATGTGTGAAAAAATGAACAGACATGGTCGCAGATGGATAACATTCAATAAAATTGCCATGAAGTTTTGCATTTATGGTGTCAGAGTTCTATGTACTGTAGGAAAGTATTGATAAATGTGAAAACTCCAGAGCAGTTTATGTTGTTTCTGTATGACAGACAAAATTTTTAGAAGTAATCAGGAAGAGTTTCAGATTATATTCTTGTAGCTTTGTATTTGATTTAAAGATGAGAAATTGATTACAGCCATTATATTCATTCTGGATTAGTAAAATTTCTGTTCCTTTGATGATGTTATCTAATGACTTCTGTCTTCTTATAGGTATTGGTTCAGTTGCTCCTAAAGGAGAATGTACTACAAATGAACAATGTGCTGACCAGTTAGCATGTATAGAAGGGACATGTATTAACCCCTGTAGCAAATTGCCCTGTGGAGCTAATGCCTATTGTGAACCAGAGAATCATGCTGCTTGGTGTCGTTGTACTGTTGGTTTTAAGGAAGGTGCTAATGGAGAGTGTGTATCTGGTAAGAACCAAAATATTTTAATTGAACTGAGCATTCCAATTTTTTTTTTTATGAAACTACATTTATGAAATCTCTTTGAAATTATATATCTCAGAGTATGTTTCTTTTCCCAAAATTTCGCTTTAAAATACACATAAGTGCTGTGTTCAAAATTCTGTGCTCTTTCCTATTCTTCCAGTGTGTGATGGTCTGTATTGTGGGCAAGGTGCTCAATGTATAGCAACTTCTGGTGGTCCCACTTGTGCTTGTGTAGAAGGTTTTATTGGCAATCCATTCCCTGGTGGGCTGTGTGTCCCAGACATTTGTTCATCCAGCAATCCATGTGTTGAGCCTAGCGTATGCATTGGAGGCCGTTGCAAGGAACGCTGCGAAGGAGTAGTTTGTGGTGTTGGAGCTACCTGTGATAAGAACACAAATAAATGTGTTTGTGATCCATTCTTCATTGGCAACCCAGACCTTATTTGCATGCCTCGTAAGTACAGACAACATTATTAATTATCTTTAAGTGTTGCAGAAAGATATGGTTTGCATCATTTTTAGTTATTAATGCATTATTATTTAGCTAACTTAGTTTTTGTGATTTGTTCTGAAGGTGAATCAGTTGACCTGTAATTGCTGTGACTCTGGCTTACCAACGTCCACATTCACTGTTCATGTGATATCAAAATTAATATTTTGTAGCAGTCCAGATTATTTAAAGTTGAGTGTCAGCTTTGAATCTAACACAGTTATTGGGTTTAGTTTCATATAGGTGACACTACCAGGCATCCATTAATTCATTAATGTTGTGGTTGGTTATATATATACATATACTCAGTTGGTATTAAAAATACAGAATGCTGAAATGTAGAAATGAATGAAGGGTTTAAATGATGATGTTTTTTTAACGATTTTGTTTACTATGAGAAATCTTAGTGCTCAGCGGTTCCATGAAACAGTTCATTTGATTATTGTATAATGGAAGTTTGTGACTCTTAAGTGGAATATAATATATATACATTAGGAGAAATTATAAGCAACTCTGAATTTGTCATGTATCTCCAATAAGGAATTATTTTGTTCCTTATTTTATACAGTGCAGGATTATTTGTCATTTTGAGAGCAGGAACCACAAGAAATAGCCCTATTTTCAGACATTACAGTCTAACAATTGTTTTGACAGTGAGAGAATTCATAATAAAAATACAAACAAATGTACAAGCTTTAAACTGTATTCATGTTATCAATAAATTTAATTTGGCAATGAAATTAGGTATGATTCAGTAATGTTAATGTTGCTGATATAAATCCATAGCTTTGATATTTAGTACCTTATTTAAAAAAATTAGCATCGTAAAAGGAGAAAGTTACTGAAACTGCCAACCATTCATGAGGAGTAACTCTGTATATTGCATTTTTAAAATCTGTCAAATGATGTTCAACCTTCCGCTGATTTGAACTAGCAAAACTGTGTTATACACAGAATTTAGGTGTCAGTGGCAACACAAAAGAAGAAAGAATTATTGAAATTGTGTTATACATTTTGAAAGTTAGGAGCATACGCTTATTTTCTTTTTTAACTTTTAAGGTTACCACATAAGCTGCATGCTCGCTTGTAGAACTAATTAGTTACATTTCAGGAGTTATAAGTAATCAGAAGGATTTTTTATGTTAAGTATCTGACATATTGCAATATGGTATTTTGTTGTCACTGTGACATCATTCCCCTCTATCTGAAATGATAGTAATTCTGCATAACAAAGTAACCCACTTCCTCTCTTCTTGCAGCTGTGATTGCTCCTGTATGTTCACCTGCTTGTGGAATAAATGCCCATTGTCAATATGGTGTGATCAATCAGTGTGTGTGTAATGTTGGAACAAGCGGTAACCCATATGAAGGATGTGGACCTCATGAGAAGATATCATGCTCAACTATAGCATGTGGTGTTGGAGCAGAATGTAGAGAAAGTATCAACAATGTTGAATGTGTCTGTCCACAAGGTTTTGCAGGAAATCCATATGTACAGTGCCAAGGTTAGAGAATATCAACACTTTATTTTCAAAATACATTGTTATGAAAATTGAGTTACTGGTACCAGCTCCCTGTATTTAAAATTAACATGTTACAGTATTAATTATGCAGTATATCCTTTCCTTAAAAGAAATTAATTTATTGATGATAACACTGGAATAGTGTTATATGAAGTTTCTATTGTCATGAACACTGCAGTTAGTGTTTATTATTTTCAAATTGTATGTGTTGTCCTTCAAACTCTTCCACATTTGTTGGATTTGAGGTTCACAGAGCAGTGACTATGATGTGTGTGATCTGGGTTATCATATTGTAATGTGTTTAGTTACTGAAGACGCCGTTTGGATTGTTAATTGGTTTATTTAACAACCTACCAGCCTCAGCTACAATTAATTACAACACTGTTGCGGGTTTCACACTTTATAACCCTATTCGCAATAATCTCTTCACTCTGTCCTCAGTAGTATACATGTATTAATTATGATACGGGAGCTATACAAGTGTCACTGTATCACACACTCCCAATTATTACTCACTTATCACAGACTATCACTGATTATCACACACATGTCCGGTTCTTCTTTCCGCGATGGCTGCTATATTCCAACTCCACTCTAACGGCTCACTGCTGGCTAGATTCCAGCTCAACTCGTAGGCTGCTGCCTTGAGAACTGTGTTCGGTGGCTGTGTAGTTCCCTTATAAACCCTCAGCCAGACAATGGGAAAACAGTTATGTAATAGGCACCACTGTTGTCTGACACCATGTNACTATCACTGATTATCACACACGTGTCCGGTTCTTCTTTCCGCGATGGCTGCTATATTCCAACTCCGCTCTAACGGCTCACTGCTGGCTAGATTCCAGCTCAACTCGTAGGCTGCTGCCTTGAGAACTGTCTTCGGTGGCTGTGTAGTTCCCTTATAAACCCTCAGCCAGACAATGGGAAAACAGTTATGTAATAGGCACCGCTGTTGTCTGACACCATGTTTGCCTGTTACGTAATGGGTACCGCTGTTATTACCATCGTCTCTCGCAACCACTGTTTACCTGCTTTGCTTATCAACCGCTGTTTACTCGCTTTGCTTAGCAACCGGTGTTTACTCGCTTTGCATAGCGACCAGCGTGCTGGGACTCGGCTCACTTCGGCTCCGCTCAGCACATCACGGCTGGCGGGGAGGGAGGGGCGCCATCCATAGCGCAACACGTCACAATATCATGTAGTTCAGTAGAAGTTGACAGACATCTCAGAGAAACAGTGGTGGACTTCTACTTAACTGCACATCACAGCCCAGAAGAGTTTACTCTTCTTCCAGATTTCCTTATGAGATTACAGTAGATGCAGTCAACCAGACCAGATTGTTAAATTATTTTCTTGCATAAATCATAGGACTCACATGAACTTGTCAGTCTGCTGTGCAATGTAGCTGGTTTCTTGATATAATTGACCATTTATGAAAAGGTAAAAAAAAATATTTTTGTCTCATCACCACATAATTTCAGATGTGGATGAGTGTAGTGGCACTGCATGTGGAATCAATGCCGTGTGCATCAATACACCTGGAAGCTATGATTGTCGCTGCAAGGAAGGATTTGTTGGAAATCCATTTTCAGTATGCCAAATTGTTGAAGAGGGTAGCTGTGATGATCCAGCAACTTGCAAGTGTAGTAAGGATGTGCCATGTCCTGCAGGGTATGTCCATTCTTTCAATTTTGTGTTAATAACTGGGATCCATGTTCTTTATGCCAGAAGAAGAATTGTTTGGTCTAAAAAAGAATGCACATCTCACTCTTTGAAAATTAAATATAATTTTTTTCTTAAATTGCTAAATATCATTTGTGTGTTGTTGGTATTTTGCTAAAGAAAAGTAAGTTCTGATTTTAATCTTTACAACAGCAGTTATACTACATGATTATTCATCAGTTATGTAGTTTTGGTATTACAGAAAGTTGTTTCTTTATAGGTACTCTTGTGAAAGGGGTCACTGCAAAGACCTGTGTGACAATGTGAAGTGTGGTCCTCGGGCAGTCTGTGATGCTGGAAAGTGTATGTGCCCTCCTGGCTTCATTGGAGATCCAAGTGATCAGAAGTCAGGTTGCAAATTAAGGGGCCAGTGTCAAAATGACTTTGATTGTACTGCAACAGAAATTTGTTTCCAGCTCGGGAAAGGAGTCAGGAAATGTGTAGATGCTTGTAGCAAGATTCAGTGTGGGCCAAATGCTCTCTGTGTGGCTGACAACCATCGTTCCTCATGCATTTGTGCTGATGGATACACAGGCAATCCAGGTGACCTATTCATAGGTTGCCAACCAGACAGAGGAGCCCCTAAAGCTGAATGTGACACAGACAGTGACTGTGCAAAAGGCCTGACATGTGCCATTACTCCTGATGGTCTGCATGCATGCTTGAATCCTTGTTCTAATGTTGCTTGCTCACAAAATGAGGTCTGTCATCTTGATCAATTTGGACACCCAGCTTGTAACTGTCTGGATGGATTTGTGTGGAACCCTGTAAGCTCAGCTTGTGAGAAACCTTCTCTCCCTGATTGTACTGCCAATACAGACTGTCCACAAACATCTGCATGTCGACCTGATGCTTTGGGTGTTCTCAAATGTGTGTCTATCTGTTCTGAGTTCACCTGTCCAGCGAATGCCATCTGTGTGGCGGTGGGACATCAGGGTCAGTGCCAGTGTTTACCTAGCTATACAGGAAATCCTAACGATCGCAACGGATGCAAACCTGCTTTGAAGAACCAATGTACCACAGATGCACAATGTCCTGAATCTGATATTTGCAGATCTGATGGAGAAACCGGAATTTTAGTTTGTAAGCCTGCCTGTGACTCTTTGAGATGCGGCCCACATGCTGTTTGTCTTGCCAATAACCATGTTGCACAGTGCCAGTGTCCCCCAGGACCCTATGCTGGTGACCCAAATGACCCAGCATCAGGCTGTAAAACTGTGCCGTGCGTCTATAATATTGACTGTCCACCTTCACAGCTCTGCAACAGGTTAACTCATACGTGCTATGATGTTTGTGAGGAAGAGTCATGTGGGCACAATGCTGTGTGCATTGCGGAAGATCATCGTGCTGTCTGTCAGTGCCCTCCAGGTTTTCGAGCCAATCCATTGCCGGAGGTGGAATGCACTCCTACTGAAGTATGTAGTCCAAATCCATGTCATCCATCTGCTATTTGTGAAGGATCACCTTCAGGTCACACATGTCGCTGTCCCCTTGGACATGTTGGAGATCCTTTCACATCTGGTTGTCGCCCAGAAGGTGACTGTCCAAGTGGAGATTCTGACTGCCCACCTCAATCAATTTGTGTGGCTGGTAGATGCATCAATCCATGTGATGGTGCTTGTGGACCGAATGCAATCTGCAATGTTGTAAATAGAAAACCAGTTTGTACGTGTCCACCGAAGTTTGAAACTGGACCATCAGGACCAGCCGGGGGTTGCTTAAGGACAGCAGTCGCTTGTCAAAATGATGCAGACTGCCAAGGGACTATCTGTCACAATGGACAGTGCAAAGGTAAATTACAGAAGTTTCGAAACAATATATGAAAAAAATGTGACACTTAAAATTCTTCAGTTAGTCAGTTCTACCCATGGTTTAGTTAAAGGAAACAGATGAATCTGTATGAAAGATAAATAACTTTGAAGGATTAGTGCGTGTCAATAGCCAGTTGGAAATTTCTCTTTTCTGAAAACAGTTCTTATATTGCAGTTGCATGTCGTAATGCTGAGGACTGTACATATGGAGAACGATGTGTGCAAAACATGTGCACACTGCCTTGTGCAGGTCACTCTCAATGTCCATCTGTTCAAGCATGTGTCTCTGGTATTTGTCTCCTTGGTTGCCGGTCCAGTAAGGACTGTCCCAGTGAACAAGCTTGTGTCAATAGCAAGTGTCAAGGTAAGAGTCTGTTCCCTACAAACAGAACGTTTTTCATAATTACTGTTGAATTTATTTTCCCAACAATACCAAGTATGTCGTTGTGGACTATTTTTTCTCAGATATTTTTGATTTAATTCATGTTATCTTAAATAATAATCATAATTTTAATTTGAATGTTTTGAACATGCTTAATAGATCCTTGCAAGAAAGAAGGTGTTTGTGGTCCAAATGCAGTGTGCCACTGTGTGAACCATGTTACCCAATGTGAGTGTCCTGCTGGTTTTGTGGGTAATCCAGTCCCTCAGCAAGGATGTGTGAGAGTTCCCACAAGCTGCAGCTCCAGTGCGGAGTGTCCTTCAGGACATTCATGCCTAAACAACCTGTGTACAGTGCCTTGTGCAGATAACTCGCACTGTGCTGTGGGAGAACGGTGTGCTAACTCTGTATGTGTGAAGGTGTGTTATGGAGACAGCAACTGTGTCCCCGGCGAAGTGTGCATTGAAGGAACCTGTCAGCCTGGCTGTGCCACTGATTCAGATTGCAAAACAAATGAAATATGTATACACAACAAGTGCAGGTAATTTGAATGACAGCTCTAAATTAATTTCATAATGATACTGCATGTTGATGTAAGTGGAGCATTTCACTATTTCTGTTTTGAATTCATAACTTAATCTCAAATTAAAAATTCTCTCATGTCAAACTTTAGTAATAGAACAGATCAGGAATTGTTTTTTGCTAATAGATCTATTTTTTTTTGCATATGATCTCTCTCTTCTTAATTATTCCATTTCATAATACAATTTTAGAAAATGTGGATGTATACATCCACTTCCCCATACGCCTTCATGACATAGTGCTTAATTTGTTGAGCACAGGGACGACTTTACTTTTAAATGCAATTTTAGTTACATTTTAAAGTGTAATTTAAGATTTTGTAATATATAGGACAACCTAAGAACCACAGAAAAGTATCTGTTTGTTGCTTACCTAAAAAAACAAACCAGTCCAGTTGAAGTACGTTACTTGTGTGTCTCTCTCTGGCTCAATCTATCTCCATTTATTGTCATTATACTGTAACATCTCCATGTTTTCTGTGTATTCACTTCCTAAATTGTTCTTTAACCACATGTGAAAGTCTTTTAATTTTATAGGCATTAGTTACTTATTGTTATTTGTTACATAATGTTTTATATTATATGGTTGTAACTATCCATATATATAACTATTGATTCACTGTATTCTGAATATTAGTTTATACGAATATTATCATGGCAAAATTAAGTGACTTAAAATAAGACTGAGATTTGCCTCCTGGAGTGTGACATTGTGTAGTCTGGTACACAGTTACCGATATTCTTGGAGAAACATGGTGCCTCCATTTTCATATTAGAAGAAGAGTACATGGTTTCACATCCCAAAGGATTGTAGTCTTAATATTCATCACTGTGAAACTTCAAATACCATTTTATTATGCTTCTTTCAGTGGGTTTTATTTTATTCTAGATGTGGCAGTGGTTTCACATCTGATCCATCTGGTTGTCTTGACATCAACGAATGCAAAGATTCACCTTGTCATCCAAGTGCTGAGTGTATCAATGATCCAGGATCATACAGATGTGCATGTCCCTTGGGAACTGTAGGAGACCCATTCCTGGACCCAGGTTGTGTAACTCCCAATGAATGTAACCGTGATGCTGACTGCAGTGACACTTTGGCATGTGAACATGGGAAATGCACAGATCCCTGTGTAGCAGGAGCAGATGTCCAGTGTGGACCTAATGCTGTTTGTAATGTTTTCGACCATGTGGGTGTCTGTTCATGCCCAGCTGGACATCTTGGAGATCCAAACAGTATTACTGTGGGATGCTTCAAAGTGGAATGTCTTTCAAATGATGACTGCTCGCTGGACAGATCCTGTGATGGCCAGAGCAACAGATGCATGAGTATGTATAAAAGTATAGTATGCTTCCATTACCAACACACTCAACTTATGATTATGGAGCTATAGTAATTTCAGATGGTAGAAGCTGTGGTGCCATACAGCATAATGTGTCCTTTCATTTGCCTCAGATACGTGTGTTAAAGTGTGGGAGATGCCCCACATGAATGATTATAATTCTGAGGATGTTAGACATAAGCTGTTTAACTTAACACATTTGTAAAACATTGATCAATACATTTTAATTGGTTTGGATAATGAAAAACCAAAATGGCTTGTACAAATTTATGATGAAATTTTTTCGTAGGCTGAGGGATCACTGTGATATACAGTTTGGAAATGTTTTCATTATGGTAAAATTAATCATGAAAATTATTTTTGGAGTACACTGTTTTCCATGTTAGGAAATGGTAAATCTCATACAGTAACTCCATTTCAACATCGCTATAGAAAAAGTGGAGCCATAATATTAGTAGTCATGACAGCTGGAACAAAATTATGAAAAAATGCATGCCTAAAATCAGTTAAATATCTAAGCTATTAAAATGAGAGCGTTGTTTTAGATGCTTAAGTTGGTAACATTTTACTTTAGCGTCTTGTTGCATTAATGTATTCTTCACAAACTATACCTCCATCGACAGTGCAACTTATTATTTTCTCCTTCTCCTCCTCACTTTCACGACTTGTTTTGGCCATATATGGCCATCATGAGGTGTTCTTTTGCCAAAAACTGTTTCACTGTGTGGTATATCCCACTTCTTCTGTCATATATGAATGTGATATGGCTAATTTAAAATAAGGAAATTAATAAAATATCGAAAAGTCTAGTTAAAATTTTGTTAAAATTGCTTGGGGGCTGTTGTCTCTTTATCCAAACACCATTGTATAGATTTTCTTTGTTTGGATTGCTTGCCTTGTGGTGTGGGTGTTTATCTGTATATATGATCGTGGTGTTGTTTCATGTATGTAGACCTACATACACAGAACAACACCACCACCATATGGTCAGGGTGAGGAGCCTACAGGCAAGGGGCATACATGGTAACTACAATATTTTGAGAGATACATACACACAAAAACCCATGCTGCAGTGCAGGTAATCCAGAGAAAGAAAATCTACACAGTGGTGTTTGGTTAAAGACAAGACAGCCCCGAAGCAATTTATTGAAAAATGGTAAAGTCCATTATTTTGAATTAGCCATGTCACATTCATATATGATAGAGGAAGTGGGATATACCACAGAGTGAAACAGTTTTTGGCAAAAGAACATCTGAAGATGGTCATATATGGCTGAAACTTGTTGTGAAAGTGAACAAGAGAATAAATAAGTTGCATTGCGGATGGAGATATAGTTGGTGAAGAACTTAAGTTAGGATTTGTAATCTATAATATATTATCAGTGTAATGTAATACTTTCTAAGATGGTAATGATAAGCTGTCTAGAAAATATTTAAGAAAGACATTAAGTAAAAGGTGCAAGAAAACACAATAGTCTTCTCTCAAATGTTCGCATTAATATTGCTTATGTTTCTAGATTTTACATAAGTTCTCTCCCCTCCATTACTTCAGATAGTCAGTACTTGACTGTATACCCATTTTCATGAACATAACAGTTTTCTAAAATTAGAATCTTGAAATTTAATGTTCAAGCATGTAAGTACAAAATATGTACTGTTCTGTAAAACCATCTCATTCTGATTCATAGCAGAAAGTTTAAGGTTAGTCTAATAACATCTTTGAGGAAACTTGTTTTAAGGTAGAAGGCAGAGTGAAGATTAAACATTTTTCTTGCTTGCTTTGAGCTCATGTTTTATCGAGTTGTGTATTTAAGTGCCAACCACATTTTGTGAGCAGAATTAACACGTGGCCAATACTACATCCCAGAAGAAATATTTCATATTTAATGTAATCTGTTATTTAAAATTGAGTAATAAAATATAATCAACTTTGCTTTCAGATCCATGTGATCAAGTGAATTGTGGTCGTGGAACCTGCAAGGCTCAAAACCATGAAGGACTGTGCTCTTGTTTCCAAGGCTATACAATTGACAGTGGAAAATGTGTGGACATTAATGAATGTCTAGAAAATCCATGTCACAGCACAGCAATGTATGTAAATGGAGATGATGATCTTTTCATATTATTCATGTATAAATATATCTTGCTTTTCTCCTTCATACATTTTCCAAGTAACTTCTCACTGTGAAACATGCAGTATCTTTTGCTTCCCTCATTGCATTCACTACACTTGAAATCTGACATATACAAGGTGTGGCAATAAAGAACCTGGATTACTTTTATGACTCANAGTTGACAAGACTAGAAGCTACATTCTGAGGCATAGAACTTCCAAAGGCTTCATCTATGGTCTTAGCATTGTTTAAAGTAAAAAGTGACATCAGTTACCAGCATGTATACAAATATAAAAATTAACCATTAGTTCTTCATTGTCTCAGTTGATTCTTAGAAGACTTTTAATTTCATTGTGTGTCATGTGTATGTGTATGTGTGAATATAGATGAGGTTTGGATTGGTGAATGGATTTACTGATCATTTTAATGCACAACTCATATTAACACTTAATTTAGGGACCATCACTGATCTCTACACTTTGCAGATCACATGCACACACACTATGCCTTTTCCAGCCTGCAATGTAGTATTAGTTGTCTGGTGATGGCTTCTAACAATGGCTAGCCCTCTGCTTACATACATACATACATAATTCATAAATTCACTGATCCTTTGTCCGAATTGGACCGGATATTGAACTAGTCAAAATAAGACTTGATTGCAAAAGTACAATTGTGTCAACAGCAAACAACCACACACAACCAAAAGCACCAAATAACCATAATTTACATTGTCATTCATAAACAAAATTACAAGGAATATTGTTATTAAATGTTATACATACTTTGCAGAATTGAATATTGAATAAAAAGCATTTGTTGTGGGGAAACTTTTCAGTGTGCATTTAAAAATCTTCACACTATCACACAGACAATTATAAACCATAATGGATGAATATAACACACCTCTCTGGATTGAAGATAATCTCACTGATGACACATGTAGCTTTCCAAACTGTCTAGTGTTTATATGATGACTATTTTTGTTAGTTTGAAAAAAATTGTGATTTCTAACAACAAACATCAATATATAATAGATATATAGGCTAGGAACCATCAAAATACCCAACCTCTTAAAACCTTCTCTACACGAGTTTCCAGGACTCAATCTCAGCATAACCCTAATCACTCTTTTTTGGGCAACAACACTTTTCATAACTGGAGAAGAACCCCAGAATATAATACTGTATTCAAGCTGAGACTGATAATAAGAAAAAGAGACCATTCGAAGAGCTTGTTCACTGACAAGGGATTGCAACTTCCTGAGCATAAAACACGCTGTATTGCTTCCAGGCTTAAGTCCTCTCTGAATGGCAGCTTCTTTCCAACTGAACTATTGCTTCAGTTGTACTCCTTATAACCCCTTTACACGAACAGAGTATAAAACATCTTTTCCAACAGTACTTGTACTGTTGCATGCATATCTGTTGCCATGGTATTGTGTTTACCAAGCTGTTGTCTAGAAATGAATGTTATTTCAGAGCTGTTGGCTAGCATCAGCTGTTGCTCTTGCAACCGCTCTTACGCCCTTTGATTTCCGTTGTTGGGTGTGGTTTCGGTAGGCAGTGAAATTCCTTCTCAGGTCTTTATACGGGTCTTGGATTATGAGTAGAACAAGGGTACTAATATCACGCCGACACACCTTACAATTACTCACTGTTTATTATCATAGGCTGAAACACTTCTGTCCGTAGGAATTACACACATTACATTTACACACTGTTAAACGTTTTACCATATGCAGAAACACGTCTATCGGTAAGAATGACCGAATCAGAAGTCTTTCGAAGCCCGGACTACATCCTCGAGTTTGGGGACATTAATTCTCCCCACCCTCGCAGATATATTCCATCATCGCTTCTCATTCGATCATTCAAACGGAAGGCGGGTGTGTTACTTCAAATCCTCCAATAACCTTTTACAATTACATCTTCGAAGCCGCTGGTCCAGCGATATTCCCAACGGTTCCTGAGACCTCGCTGGAATGCAGCTGCGAAGTGTAATATTTTATACGATGAGCGGCATCCTTTGTTGATAATATATATTTATTTTGGCTGCATGTAACAACTGACACTGTGGCACCACTATTCCGTGCCGCAGGGATATGAGTGTCAGTTGTTTACACCAAGTCTAGCTCTTAATATTCCAATTTAATCTTTAGTTTAAATTGGACGACTTCACTCTGGTCCCACAGTTCTTGCTTTGAGCAAATATGCAACACTATATATACTTAACACCTCATTAAGGCTTTTGTTAAAAGTAATAGTATCAATTTATCTGAATGTTTGAAATACAGTTTTGTTTTTAAGTTGTAGACAAGGTCTTTCATATTAAATTTCATCAAAATCTGTTAATATGAATGAAGATTGATAGGATAGGCATAGCAGTTAAGGAAAATATCAAGAAGAAAACAAATATATATGTAGGATTTGAGGTTCTTACAGCAGTGGTTATGAAGATTTCTGTCTTCTGGAATATAATGTATAGTCCATTGGCTTATTCTTCAACCCTGAAGATGGAGGTGGTGTGTTCCTCTGATGTATTGGTTAACTTTTAGTTGACTACAGAGCATTATATCCTAGAAGATAGAACTCTTCTTAAACAAATAATATGAGGTGTATCGGAAAGTTCCCAGACTAGGTCAAAAAAGAAATGCTTGTTTAACTTACTCAATTTTGGCTGACGTCTCCTTCAAAAGAGTCTCCTTGGGAACGTATACAGTGATCACATCTTCTTTTTCATGCTTCAAAAGTACTGTGGAAGTCATTTTCCTTAATGTTTTTGAATACTGCTTGTGATTCCCTTTGGATGTCAAACACTTTCAAAAAGTCCCTTCAGTTTTATTTTCATGGTGAACAATAACCATGTTATTTTTAGTTACAAACTGTGTGGTTTTTTGGTATGTGTGGGCTGGTGTGTTGTCATGGTGAAGAAGCCAGTTGTGGTTACACCAAAATTCTAGTCTTTTTCATTGCACATTTTCGCTCAAGTGTCTCAAAATAACACAGTAAAAGTGAGAGTTGACCACAATGTTAGGAGGAACAAATTCACGGTGACGCATTGAAGAAAACAATGAGCATTATCTTTGTTGAACTCTGGACCTGCTACGCCTTTTTTGCTCTTGGGGATTGTGGGCTATTCCATTGCAATGACTGTTGCTTTGTTTCTGGTTCATAACCATAAATCCTACTTTCATCACCTGTTATGATCCTAGAGATAAAAGTTGGGCCCTTGTTAGCTTTATCTTGTAGTTAAAGATACACATTTATGTGCCACTGGTTTTGATCATTTGTCAAAGTTAGGGAACAGATTTCGTGGCAATGCGGTGCATGTTCAAATTATCTGTTATGATCACCTGGCAAAGTCCATAACTGATCCCAGTGGTGTCTGCGAACTCCAGGATTGTTTGGCGACAGTCTTTGTGGATGAAGTCTCGAATTTTTTCAACATTCTTCCATCATTTTGCTGATGCTTGGTCACACAGAATATTTGTCATCTTCACCTGACACTTGACTGGCCATGAAACGTGAATTTCATTCAAATACAACTGTCTTACTTAAAGAATGTTCTTCAAAAGCCTCACAAAGAATTGCAAGTGTTTCAGTAGCAGATTTACTGAGCTCTACTCAAAACTTGATACAGATGCTTTGCTTGATTTTGTCATGCATTGGAGATAAATGAATCACAAAGTCGAAAAAGCACTCTTGTAAAAGCAATGTGTGTTCACAGCGCAGTGTCACATGGCAGACTGATACATTAGGCTTGCAGAAGTGTGACTTTGGCCTCCCTTCTCATCTTCTTTCACTGAGTCAGTTACAACAGTAACATTACAGGCACTTTCTGATAGCATTAACTTTATCAGAAAAAATTAATAATTAAATAAAATATCATAAAGCTCTCTGTGATATGCTGTTCATGTGGAAAGTGCACTAATGATTATGAGCTTTGATTTTGAGGCTGGAAAGTAGTACCTATGAAGTTCTTATTAATTTTTCTATTAATAAAACAATTCAGTCTACCTTTCCATGTTTTCATATTATTTCTACTATACACTTTAAAAAACATATAAATATTTTTTCACATTATTTATAGTTATATGCAAAATACAAGGTATTCTAATGATAATAATTTACTTGTTACAGTTGCAAAAATTCACCTGGTAGCTTCTCATGTCAGTGTCCAGACGGTCTTGTAGGTGACCCTGTGAAAGCTGGTTGCAGGAAACCTGGAGACTGCTTTACTCACTCAGATTGTCCATCAACTGCTTCATGTGTAGACAACCGATGCAGAAATCCTTGTGAAAATCCTGATGCTTGTGGCCGTAATGCTGAGTGCCTACCTACAGCACATACAGCCCTGTGTCGCTGTCCTGCTCAGACTAGAGGCGATGCTAAAGTAAGAACCTGCTGCATCTTCCTGGGAACAGCTTCATGAATTTTGTTCATGTCTGTCAATGCAACTTAAAAGCATATAAACTTCACATATCTTTTTAAACCTTACCTGTGGATAGTTCATAATATTTTATTGAGATATATATAATGGTTGATGTTTTATCTGAGATGTGTGCAAACTAAGCAAGAAAGCCATAGACAAACACTTACGAGAAGAATGGCACAGAAAGAAGGCATATGTATGGCACCAAATATTTCATGTTTCACTCTGACAGTGAATATTTTCAACAGAGATAGGTGAATACATGTATTTTATCCTCTCATTTTGCTCTGTTCTCTTAATTTCAGTTATCTTTTACAAGTTTTAAAAAGCCTGTCTCATGCCTGTGTTAGGAATGGTATGCTTCAGGTGGCTTTTTAACAACAGTTTCAATATTGAAACTACAGTAAAACTTGGTTATAGCAACATCGGTTTCTGCGACACCTTGTCTATTGCATCAAATATTCAATGGTACGAACTAATTCCTCATAAAGCAACTGTTTTTATACCTTGCTTAGTACGACATGCACAAATGCATCAACCTCGTATGTAACGTCATTTTCATTCCTGAATTTCTCTGATATGGACATTGAACGTAATTTAGAAAGTGTGTATTGGGCAAGTAACAGGAAACAGATGAAGATAACTGATTACTGTACTCGTATCTAGGTACACTAAGGCACAACAATTGATGTAATCTACTGTAATTTGGTGAGTAGGCCTACCTTTAATATACAGTATTAGTGCGGTGTGTATTGTCAGTGAAAAGCACTGTAATATGTCTTTGATATTACACATTTGGGCAATTCCACGTTAATGTTACGTTAGTCTGTACTTAACTACGTATTTCACTAAAAAAATGCAACATTTTAACTCGGTTTTTGGTAGATTTTTACGTGACTAACATAAGGCTACTGTGGAAGTGCCCATTTCGGTTACAACGACATTCGTTTATAACGACACTATTTTTAGGTCCCTTTGATGACGTTATAACCAAGTTCTACTGTATATAGTGTAAATGATAGGATGATGAATGAATGCAGAGCAGTTGGGGGAATGAGAATTGCTATGGCACACTAAAGTATTCAGAGAGAATCTGTCCCATTGCCACTTTGTACACCACATTTTTCACATTACTTGAACTGAGATCGATGCTAGGCTGCCATGTTGGGATACTGGGAGTTAAATGCCTGAGCCCTGCTATTCATGGTATTCTAGGGGTAATGAACTTGGTTTCCCATGCCAAAATTCTCATGTTGGAGAGTAGGAAGATTCAGCAAATTTTTCTACATGTCCTTTGATCCTTGACTTCTGAAAAATACATTTTGTGAACGTGGGGAATATCAGCACCTGTTATGATTTGAATCCCACTCTTTCACATGAATGGACGGCATCCCACGCTACCTTAATCACAAAAACAGTTTCTCTTATCTTGTCGGTGAAAAAGAGTTGATCAAGATCATAACTTGAGTGAGAAATATATGAAAGAATCTGTCCAAAGTCATGACTTTCTTGTCATAAATTTTGGAGTCTATTTGCAAGTCTCAAACTTGAGCACCCATAAACTGTATACTTAAAAAGTACGCATTTAAGAGCATACATTTACATTCTTGTCACTTTTTCACAGGTTGAGTGTGTGCAGCTGGAGTGTGCAGACAGCAATGACTGTACACCAAGTAAAGCATGCATTGATTCTCGTTGTGTGGATCCGTGTTCTTTACCAAATGTGTGTGGACAGAATGCTCATTGTCTGCCTCTCAACCATGTTGGAGTTTGTTCCTGTTACTCTGGTTATACAGGAAACCCCCAACTTGGCTGTGTTACTGTGCAGTATTGTAGTACAAACAGCCAATGTCCAGCTGGTACCAGATGTAACAGTGGGATTTGCACATGTAAGCACAAGAACTATATGAAACTATTTTCAGATCTTGGGGTTAAAGGAGGATATTTTAATAGAAATGAAAGATTTGATTATATTGCATGCAGAGACAATAAAAACATAAGCTGCTTGCTATGCTATCAACATTTTTCTGCCACTTCCTTCTAGGCGTACTCTGTTCTCATGACAGATTTCTGTATTACTGTTTGCTGATATTTCAGTCATGCAGCAGACATTGTCATGATCTTCATTGATTAAATTTAAAAAGATAAACTTTAGTAAAGAAAAATAAATGATATATTTAGAGATAAATGTGTGACCCAGATAATGTTGGTAATGATCCTTAAATGAACAAGCAAGTTAAGTTCTGATGTAAGGAAGTACTTGTATATATCCCTTTAGGCTAGAATCATGAGCTTTCTCACATATGTTAGCAATGCCATGCTGGATATTAATATTAAGCCATCCTTAAGTGCTTATTATACAAGACTGTTTGGGCCAATAACAAATTATTCATCAACATCACTTGTAAAATAATATTATAATTTTTCTGAAATAACTGTCATTCCTCTTCCAATCTTTGAATGCATGAAACCAGGAACGTATATGAGAAATGAACTCAAGAAAATCTATGTTTTTGGTGTGTTACATACAGTATAAAAAAAAACCCACACACACACACACACACACACACGCACACATGCACACACAAAATTAAAATAAAAAAAAAATAAAAGCGGCCTCCGTAGTCTAGCGGTAATGTTCCCACCTCATGACTCAAGTTACGCGGGTTCAAACCCGGCGGAGGTCGTGAAATTTTTAAGGGCTGAAAAATTCGGGGAACAAGTCCTCCGGGAGGGACTTTAAGTCATGGGTCCCGTGTTATAGATTTACGGCACGTAAAAGATCCTCATGTCTCTAGGAGACCTCTGAGCAAAATTAGGCCAAAAGTTTCCCACCCAAGTAGTTTCCAATTCCTCCGGTAGATGGGGAAGTATCAGGTACCACTGCCAGCAGGGGGCCAACCTCGCTGGCAGAAAGGGGGGAGTTATCAGGTACCACTGCCAGTAGAGGGTGATACCTCACTGGCAGAAAGGGGAGAGAGCGGGCACCAGTATTGGTAGGGTATGGCGACAGTAGAAATTAAAGGGGGACGTACAATAGACTATTAGTCACGGTGCATGGGGAAACCCACCCCCTCTATACTGAATAACTGAATACAGTAAATTGCAAAAATGTGCCCATTACTTTGACCATGTCTGTCTGTCTATCTACATACATGAAAGTAATCAGTGAATTTGTGTTCATGAAATTTGATGTTGGGAAGGTTTACTAAATTTTCTCAGCACATGTATAGTTTGGTTAAAGTCAGACAAAAGTAAAGGACACTTTACTGGAAGACCTACCCTCATTTCTATGCTCATCTACAACATAATTTGAAAAATATTTATAGCATCAAAAAATGTTTGGAACATAATGTGTATAGAAAAATAAATATAGATTTTATTCCCTAACACTTTTTCCATAAGTTTTACGATTTTTTATATAATTATAGATGATCTTTATACATTGTCATCTCAATGCTGGAGAAATGTACAGGCAGTCAAGTAGCTAACACACCAGAATTGTTACACTATACATACATGTCCTAACTCATGTAAATTTGCAGTGAATCAGTTGGCACAGAGGGAGACTCGGAATACTTTTGGGTTGAGTGACTCATTCTTAAGTTATTCATCAGTGTTACTTGACTGCATTATCAAATGAGATTAGAAGATGACCATGAAAGATGAATGGGTATGGATTTGGAAGAATTTAGTTGTGGCCTTTTTCAAATTACTGTATCAAAATTCAACTAGAGGGACTTCGGCAATCCACTAATGTTCTTAACCAGAATCAGGTGTAATCGCTCTTCCCTCCTTTTTCCTCCTTTGTGAGGTGGTCATACTTTATGGGCATTACACTAACTGAATGGCACTGAAATGCTTTGACTAAGCCATATGTTTAGCACCACTCATAACTGTTTAGCTTCATTCAGCTTTAAATAGCCATTTATTTGGAACTTCACACATGACTGTCTTTTTCTTTGTGATGTAATATGCAAACACGTTACGGATCGTTTCTTTGTGACAATTCTGCTTATTTCTGAAGTAATAAAGTTGCTGTAGCTGCTGCTGCTGCTTCTCCTTTCCCACTTACAGGACAATGTAGAGGACTAATTACTACACCACCAACCTAGTCACTTCTAAAGGGCTGTTGGGCTAGGAGAATAGTGGTTTATAATGGCACCAGTAAGGTATTATTTGTTTACATAAGGTAGGACCTAGGGTGGGAGTGGATTATGATTGCCAGTAGTCAGTTTGGTAAAGTGAGAATCCATTTTAAGGCTTAATGGGCCTTGCTTTGATGGGGTGGTAGGACTTATCTACATATAGGTTACACACCATGTATACAAAGCTCAAAATGATATACTACACTCACAGTTTCCTTTACAACAAACACAGTAGGTAAACTGAACACGGGGAAACATTACCTTTAATATTAAAACTCATGAAGTACTTTTTATACTTCGGTTTACAATTAGTCTTATTAATATTTGTAATTTTAACTTAGTAATCTGCATCTATATAAAACATCTATATATTAGATTCTAAAGGGTTCTGACGATGGTGGATGACACACAGAATTACTGGGGTTTTGCACTTTTTCCATCATCCAGAATTTTAGGTAATAGAGGACTCGATGTTTCGGAAACTGGATCTGTTTCTGTCTTCAGGTGATTGAGATTAGCTCTTTCTAAAGGGCACAACTTAGTAGGTGTCTTCCTTTCTCACCTGAAGATGGAAACAGATCCAGTTTCTGAAACATCACGTTCTCTATTACCTAAAATTCCAGACAATGGAAAAGTCCAAAACCCCAGTAATTCTATCTATATATATTGTTGGAGTGATGCAGTTTTCATGTTCGTTCAGTTTGAATATTAGATGAAGACTCCTTGGTGGAATGATTCTCTTGAAATAACTGTTTTCTTTAAACTGTCTTTCAAAAGCTAACACCTCGCTTAGATTTATTTAATTGGTTCTCTTTAAAATATGGGGATCACAAGGATAACTTCTTGCCAATGTAATTTAATTATTGCTTGTTTTGAAAGTTCGTGAAAAATAAACTTCACTCGTCACATTGACTGCCCTTNTTATTAGACAGCCACAATAAATCTGCACTAGGCTTTAACCATTCTTGTTGCTTACTCATAATTGGCTTGAATTGAGCTTATTATCAATCTTGCAGCTCAGTGCTACCATTTATTCTCAAATTACCAGCGGCTTACAGTCTCCTTCTGACCACTAAATTCTAAGAATTAATATAGTGAGCTGCATCCTATATTATAAGAATACAAGAATTGGATTATCTCCCTCTTTCTTTATACAGTACATGTCTGGACATGTTAATTCAATTAACATTCATAATATATAGCACCTGTAATTAATGATCAGTTACACTGGAGTAATTCTTGAATGCATGTCTGGAATATTTACTCGTACACTGTTGTATCCAGTGACTGTTTAGGAAGACAGTAGTGTTGCAAGTTTAAAGATTATGAGTAGCTGATCTGTCAGGTGAACAAATAATTTCATAATTTTCATTTCATGCATCCTGTTGTGTTACAATATACAACCTCTTTATTATATCCGTCACAACACAACTAATATCAAGATCAGACCATTTTCGGCCCTGCTACATGTTTCGGCTATTGATAGCCATCATCAGGCAAACAAATGATTTACACACATATACACACCACTGAACCGCAGCACCAACGAGATTGGATACAATATTATTAAAATATATAAAAACACTTGGTGTAATAAAAAAATACAGTAAATCAAGTTATATAAAACAGAAGTATGATATAAAATAAAAATAAAATTCTTTTGGTGTTTTTACATCAACGTGTCAGTTGTTGGTTTGTGATTTGTTTTTTGCTTCGTTCCCATGGACAAGTTGGAATATTCATACTTATGCGTATATAAAATTGTGTATGAGGCTCATAATGTAGATGTAGTAAAGTAAATTATAATATTAGTCAGTGCCTCATCTCACAAAGTATTGTCCGTACCTTAGGGAATGTAAACGACTGCTGTGTTCAGTGGTGTGTATATGTGTGAACATCATGTGTTTGCCTGATGATGGCTATCAATAGCCGAAACATATAACAGGGCCGAAAATGGTCTGATCTTGATATTAGTTGTGTTGTGATGGATATAATAAAGAGGTTGTAAATAATTTCATTTCTCAAGTGTAAAATTATGGAAACTAATTTATGTTGCAAGGTTTAATAGGTGGTAGAAGAATTGGGGTACTATCTAAATTACATTTAACATTATATATTGTGTAAAAATATATTTCTGATCACAGTAATTAGTATGTCAAGGTGGTTATAAATATGAGAAATGTTAAACATTGTAGTGTGAACTCATATTTATCCTTTATCAGTTCTTAGACTTCTTTACATTATAGATATGCACGATATTTTGCTTGTTTGCAGCTGAGTGTACTAGTGCCCGTGAATGCATCAGTGATCAGCTCTGTATTCAAGGTGTTTGTCAGCCAACCTGTAAGTCAAACTACAGCTGTCCAGCCTTCCAGTTCTGCCAGAACAGCATCTGTGTGAAGGAAGTGCGATGTCAAACAGATTATGACTGCAGTGACACAGAAACATGCATAGAAAATGCTGTGGGCCAAGCAGAATGTTTGAACGCGTGTGATGGCCCAATTCTCTGTGGACGCAATGCTGAATGCACTGCACAGCATCATCAATCGCTATGCTCATGTAAAACTGGCTATCATGGTAATCCAATAGATGACAAAATTGGATGTCAGCCTATTGAATGTGAAACTAATGAACAGTGCTCAAATGATAAACTGTGTGAAGACTACATGTGCAAGATTGCATGCTTGGTCAGAAACCCTTGTGGAATCAATGCCCTCTGCTCAGCTCAAAACCATGAACAGGTATAGAATTTGTCATCACCACCCCCACCATTACCACCATATAATCATCAGTTATTGTCTTTTTTTGTGACTGAATGCTGACATGTTGTATTACCTTTTGAAAAATATGTAGTTCTTATGTTACATTGTGTCATCTTTAATATAGTAGAATATGATAAAATCAAAAGTTCCATGTTTTACTTAGTATGCTAAAATAAATTGATAAAGGACATTGAAATTAATTACTCTGATAACATTAGGATGCCATGAATTTTGGTTTGGGAGCAAGGGATTGAAAAGAAGAAAATCAACCTATAGAAATGGAAATTACATAAAGCACAACAAGTAGGATACAAGTAAAACCTTTCTTTCATTAGCCTTAAAAGGATCTATGTACATTACAGAAGCAAATGGATAAGGGGCAGATTATTAGTAAAAATCAAATACTCATACAACATTGTCATGTACATGAACATGCACAGCAGAAGTTTTAAAATGATTTTAAAAGAGGTACTTTTATCATGAGCAAAGTGTAGTTTCTACAAGAAACAAACTTCATTCTAATACTGTAATTTACATCTTTGTTTCATATTACACTAATGAATCAATATAAAGTATAATCTTTTCAATGCAGGCCCACCAGGTTCACTGTCATGCTTATTTTGTTAAGAAAGTTAACGAAAATACTATACGAGAAAATCTTTGTTTTTTGAGAAATATTTTTTGAGTGTGACTCATACTAATACACCAAAACTGGAATTTCAGTAGGTCTATGTGATTATACAAAACTCTGCACAGTATTAAGAGCCATTCTACAAGCAAGTGATTGCTTAAGGGACTATGCTGCATTCACATATTGTCAATCTTACAAAAGCAGGATTGGCTGAGACCTAGTGCATTGCAGAGGAATCTTTCTACACCTTATGTCAATTTTGTTATATCTGTTTTTTATGAAAATTTTCTTTTGCATAATTCATATGCTTTTGAAACACAAATATGGGAAGGATAAGTTAATGATGTAGAAAAGGAACAAACACAGAAACACATTTTGAGAAAACAAAATTGTCATATCATAAGGTAATAATTATTTTTCTAGGTTTGTTATTGCCAACCAGGATATACAGGAGATCCTCAGATAGGCTGCCAGCTGATTGACTTCTGTACTGACTCACCATGTGGACCTGGTGCTCGATGTGACAACTCTCGAGGATCCTACAAATGCCTGTGTCCAATTGGTACAGTAGGAGACCCATATCATGATGGATGTCATGCTCCAGTTGAGTGCAGTCACAATGAAGACTGTCCAGCAGCTGCAGAGTGCACACAGTCAAATGGAGTACCAAAATGCAAAGGTATATTTTTCTTCTTGGAGGTAAATATTCTGGTGCTTAGAAGCGGCAAAGGGGAAGGGGCAATGCTTTAACAAACATTCAAGAACCTAAAATACTGAAGTTAAAAAAAAAGGTGTGTGTGTGTGTGTGTGTGTAAAACACGTTATTTTGGGAGGTGGCTCTACTTCCATTATTCTTGAAATTAAGCGAGATTGTATGGGGCCACAAATTTTAACCCAAACTCCCTGGTATTATAGACCTATTACCCTTCTCATTTAACCAGTACAATCCAGTTCACATAATCACGACTCCATAGTTGAACTTAAAATGATGAAAATGAGTCTTCTTAAATCAGAAATGTGCTGTGTATATGAACAGATGTTATTTTGATATTAAAAATATCTTAACTCTTTTATTTTTATTTTCCAGATGTGTGTGAGAATGCCATTTGTGGTCCAAATGCAGAATGTGTTGCTAATGACCACGCAAGTGCTTGTGTCTGCCGGTCAGGTTATGAAGGGAGTCCTAATGACATTCATGTAGGTTGTAGACCAAAACCTGTACCTTGTGCAGCTAACACCGACTGCCCTCCAAATACCTACTGTTACGGAGACATATGTCGACGTATGTATCAGTATTGTTATTAAACTTCATGTTATTAATTATGTTCATTCATTCTCAGTGTTACATTTAAATTCCTTGACTTTATGTGTTAAATTTAGCATCATGCCAATCAAATGAAGAGTGCAGCCTGGCAGAAATGTGTCTGCAAGGACAGTGTAACAGTCCATGTGATGAACACTCTGCTTGTGGAATGAACGCAGAATGTCGCGTGATTAGTCACAACAAACAATGCAGTTGTCCTCCAGGGTTCACTGGAAATCAAGATGTGGAATGCGTGAGAAGTTAGTATAGTTCTTTGCACAGCATTTCAAAGTATTCTGCACTATTCCATTTAAGTTATTTACAATATGTTCACATTTTGTTAATCAATTGTAGTTCCTGTTTCCTGTGAGTCCAGTTTGGATTGTTCTGAAGGCAACACCTGTAGAGACAATATGTGTCTGCCTGTGTGCCAAGGTGACCAGGAGTGTGCTTTCAATGAGAAGTGTCTGAAAGGCAACTGTATATGTGAGTACTCAAATATGTATAATTTAACCTTAAGATCTAAAAGTTTGTGACAAAAAGAAAAAACAAGGAACAAACTCCATGATTTTAGTCTGCAAGTGAACTATACCGACCGAGCGACCGCCGCTTGTCAGTGAAGTTTATTGCCAACTTTTGCGGATAGAGGGTGTCGCGTGGTCAGCGCAACGAATCCCCATGGCCATTAATTTCGGTTTTCTAGACTAGAAAAGGTTTGTGACAATGGTACATTAGTACAAATATTATGTTTTTGGACATTATCCATCATCCTATCTTTATCTGAAAACCGTCCTGTTTATTCTTCAAAACACGTTTTGGAGACTGGATTCTGCCACTGTCTTCAGGTAAAACCTACTCAGTTGGGCCCCGTCAATAGAGATAGCCCTATATCTGGACACCTGTGCCATCTCCAAGATGGGGTACATAAGCCAAACACAGCACAAACCATCTGCGAGAGCTAAGAAAACATTAAATTATTACAATTCCATGTGTATGAGGTATTGCACCAGAGCAGTATCTTGACTGAAATCATCATTGGAGAGAAACAGTACTCCTTATGGTACCAACAAAAGAGAAACAAATTTTCCCACTCAATTTACACTTGACGGAGTTGTAATTTCTTGACTTCTGCTGTGATAACAAGGGCCCAGATGAAAGAGATGTGTAAACTGGGTTGACTGCTTGGATGGTACAGCAGAGACATGGGGGCCAATTCATTGTATTTTCTGTATGTGGTGTTGGGCTCAATCTGCAAGACCTTCACATTATCCCATCATATTTTGTGGCCTTCCTTGTATGCACGTTCGACTAATTTTGATTTTTCCAGCAAACCCTGTGTCGGGTTATATTTTGTTCCTTAATGTGTACTTCTAAAGGTCTGATTGTTTCACCGATGTAACATCAGCAGCAGTCACATAGGAAGCTCTACACACACTGCTTCATCTTCTGGACATCTCCAACTGGTCCAGTCTTCATCAATGTCCCACCGAGTGTACATTTAGTTTTGAATATGGTTCTGAGATGGAAATAGTTCCTGATGTGTCTGATTTTCTTGAATTATCCTTAATGTATGGGATGCCTACAGTGGCCTGGTATACTGTATCTAAAGAGGGACTATTTGTTGCCGATGGCATCATTACAGGATCAACAAATTCTTTTGGATATTCACTGAGCATCAGATCATGTCTCATGTTTTTAATTTCATTGTTAAAATCCTTCTGGTTTTGACATATGACCTTAGCTCAGTTGACCAAACTATGAATGACTCCCCTCTTTACATGATGTGGGTGGTTGGACTTGATGTGAACATAATGACCAGTATAAGTGGACTTCCAGTACACTTTTATGTTCAGTTTTGGACCCCGCTTTATAACCAAAACGTCTAAAGAATGGAAAGGCATTATTAGCCTCAACTTCCATAGTGAATTTGATGATAGGCCTAACACTCTTGATATGGTGGAGAAATTGCGGTAACTTTTCTGGTCAATGTGGCCATACCACGAATGTGTCATCGACATATCTGAGCCATTTAGCTGGTTTGTAGTCTGCTTTGTCTGGTGCTGTTTCCTCAAAATGCTCCATGAATATATTACTGACCACCTATTGCAATATCCTCCTTTTGCTGGTAGAATTTATCCTCAAACTGGAAGTATGTGGTTGTTAAGCAGATGTGCAGTAGTTCCATCATATCTTCAACTTGCAAAGGTAAGCATTCTGGGAAAGAAGGATCCATACTGAGTCTGTTTCTTATGACTTTGAAGACCTCTTCCACTGGTACGTTGGTGAATAGACTAACAATGTCAAAACTTAGAAAATAGTCTCTGTTTTGAAGGTTGATAACCTGTATTGATTTTATGATATGTTCTGAGTTCTTCATGAAGGAGCCTGTATTGCCAGCCAGAGGGCTCAGGATCATATGGAGAAATTCTACTAGTGCATAACAGGGAGAGTCAGTAGAGCTAACTATTGGTCTGAGTGGGATGTCAGGCTTGTGTATCTTGTGAAGTCCACAGAGGGGAAGGGCTTTGCTGTGGTAGGGAGTCAGTTTACGTTTCAAGGCAGTGGGAAGGACAGTTCTGTGTTTTGTGAGGAGTTTCCATATCTTCCTACAACTTCCTACAAAAATTTGTTTTCCTTGCGTTGGCACCATAAGGAGAATTGCTTCCCTCTAAGGACGATTTCAGTTGAGTTACTTCTCTGGTGCAATGCCTCACATGTGTGGAGTTTTAATAATTTAATGTTTCCTTAGCTCTTACAGTTGGTTTGTGCTGTATTTGGCTTATGTTTTACACATTTATGTAATGATTTATGAGTATGAGGCATGTCATTAATATCTGCTGTCTGTAGTGCAACATTATAATTGTGTGCCCCGATGTAGTGCTTAGCCATGGAGCAAGATATAATTCCAATTTCAAGTGTACTGACATGAGGACAATGGTCAAGATTCATGTGTTGATGGAAGTACCACAGATGTTGCAGTCTGCTAAAGAAAGACTCAAGCACCTATGCCACATTGTACATAACTTTTTGAGGATATGTGAATTCAATTAACACCAGGTGGGAGGAGGTAGCAGATCCCCTTGCAGTGGTGTGCCAACTGTCATTGATGTATGCAGTGATCAAATGCAGATACAGCATTGTATATATGGTAACTGCAGCAGAATTAACAGGCTCACGGACTCGAGTGTGGAAGATCTGTGCAAAGTGAATTTTATGTGGGTTGAATGATGATCAGTGTGTGATACATATGTTGCTGTCCATGATTGTCAGAGAAACTTGTTAGTGATATTGCTGATGGATGAGTCATGGATGTCTCACATGGATTGTGTGTGTGTGTGTGTGTGTGTGGGGGGCAGGGGGTGGCAGGTCACCTGCCAGCATATGCACATGCATCCTTCCAAAGCTTCGGAACTCCCTCAGCTCTTCTAGCAATTTGAACTAGCTAGTTGACCCATGAAGGCACTAGACAATTCTAGTAAGATGACATGCGTGAAAACAGTGGATGCTAGCCTGAAGGGAGTTTAGTCTATGCCTAGAAGTAGCTTGAAGTGTTTGTGTATGGTGAAACAGTGCAATGGAAAGCAAGCAGTGAGTAGTCCTGTACTGGCTGCAATGAGACAAGTTCAATAAGATTGTGTTTGTGTGTGTGGTGAAACAGTGCAATGGAAGGCAAGCAGTGAGTAGTCCTGTACTGGCTGCAATGAGACAAGTTCAATAAGATTGTGTTTGTGTGTGTGGTGAAACAGTGCAATGGAAGGCAAGCAGTGAGTAGTCCTGTACTGGCTGCAATGAGACAAGTTCAATAAGATTGTGTATGTGTGTTTGGTGGAATAGTAGTGAACAAGCACAAGTTGACCTCAAGATCATAAGTGACAAACTGTAAACACCTGCTCCAAAAGAAGGTAAATGTTGCAATTTGATCTGTCACTGAGGTGGCTAAATGCAGAGTACCGGTGTTTTATTTAACCATGGAAGAATATTGCACAAAATATTCAGAGTCTTCTGAAAGTGAGGTACATCATTTTCTTTACCTGTCAGATACTTCTGTTTGACCATCCCATGCCACTTCATACCACTCTTGATAATGTTTCACATTATGTGACATTCTTACATGATGATATGTGATCTGCTTATTACCAGAAACAATAAAAGCACCAAACCATCATCATGTTATTTAAAGCTGGCATGCCCTCCTTATTCCACAGATTTTTTTCCAGTAGACTGCTTGATGTGCCTCAAGTGAAGGAGCTGCTTTGAGGATACAAGTTTGAATTTGCAACTACCATTGACATGGTGATGATAACATTGTTAGGCCATTTGAGTACAGTTTATTACAATGCTGTGTTTGATTTTCTGACTCTGTTTTGGGAGAAGTATATTGAGCTTGCTATTGATTATGTGTAGAGATGGAGGCAAGTTGTTATGACATGTTGCTTACATTGATACATTGTGTCTATAGCATATACAGATTACATGCAGGATATTTCTGAAATGCCTCTCATGCATGTGGATATTATTTATGTTGTGTCGTTTGTCTTTGTCACCATCAACATCAGCAGCAGCATCATCATGAGCATCATCATTGTTAATATTACAATAATTAGTTTTAATTTTGGTAGGCATAATTTGCCTTTCTCTTTGTTTCAGTAACTTGTCGTGTGGACAATGACTGTTTCCTTGGTCACATCTGTCTCCATAATATGTGTATCTATGGATGTCATTCTGAAGATGACTGTAGTGCCAGCGAATCATGCCGAGACAACCGTTGCGTGAATCCATGCAGTGATTCTCCTTGTGGCCCCAATGCAGTGTGCACAGTGTCCAATCAAAGGGCCAGTTGTTCATGTCGCAGTGGTTTTGTACCTAACCCAATAGCCAAAGTTGCCTGCGTTCGTGTTCCTGGTCAACCATGTACTGAGAACAGAGAATGTCCAACAGGGTCCACATGTTTGGATGATGCATGTAGACCAGTCTGTTCATCAGATATAGGTTGCTTGGGTAATGAACGTTGTGATCTTACATCAGGAGTATGCAAACCACTGTGTCGCAGAGATGATGACTGTCGTAGTGGCGAGGTGTGTGAAGGGCTTGTGTGTGTTACTGGATGTCGAAGTGATTCTGGCTGTCCTGTTGATAGGGCATGCATCAGCAGCAAGTGCATAGGTGAGTAAGTTAGATTACTGATACATCATTAAAGAATGGAAGTTATAAATGAAGAAACAGAATTATGTTGGATTTGAGGCTCTCATAGCAGTGACTATGAAAGTTATGGTTTTCTGAGTTGTAACACTGTGTAATTCAGTAAATGCCCAGCGATGTTTCTTTCAAATGTTTGTGGTCTACAACAGAGCAACATGCCAGTAGAATACAGAATATCATACTTAGATAGAATTAATTTTGTAATATAATGAAACTTAAATCAAGCAATGGATCACATCTGGGAGAAAAAGAAAAATAGGAAGAGAACTGAAGAGAAAAATCCTTACTTGTGAATTATATATTTAGAGTTATTTCTTCAGTGTTTTTCTGGACTTATTTTAGTGGGTGATTCTTTGTTTTTCAAATAATTTTTCATATATTTACCTTAAATTGTTCTTCGGTGATTTGTTATTTTGGATGTTTATCAAATTAGTGTGCATTTAAGTGTTCTAATAGAGTAGCACAGTTTCAGCATGGCTTCTCCATGCTGACATTCTTTAAAGGCAATGAACCTGCATATACAGGGTATTATTTCTAAATATACACTATCAGAAGAAAGGATGAATGGAAACATACATATATTTTTCCGTGTTCAGACTTGTGTGCATCACCAACTGCCTGTGGTACAAATGCTAATTGTATCATGACAAACCACCAGAAACAATGTTCATGTCCAGTTCCATTAATTGGCGATGCAGAAACAGGTTGCCGTCATCCCACGTCACTCTGCCAGTCTGAACATGACTGCTCCAGTGGACAAACCTGCTATGTTGGCATGTGTCAGACTACCTGCAGATCGTAAGTAATATTTTGAATTGTATCAGATATATGCATAGTTTTCCTCAATAAGAATTTTGAAATTCCTGATGTTCTACCTACTACTTAATAATAAACAGAGTTATCTATTGGTACTCTTTATTTCTGTCACTTCAGCACATAATACCACAGAACTAAATGACATGTATGTACATAGTACTCTGTAAACTACTTGAATTGATGAGTGGTTTAAAGTATGGTACTTTTTTTAAAGTTATTTAACAGTGCTTTCAATATTGAGATTGTATAGCGTGAAAGGATGCAATGACTAATGAATTATAAATTGAAAAAGATTTGGAAGGAAGTGGTCATTGCTTAATTGTGGTACAATCCCAGCATTTTCTGGAGGGACTGAGGAAAAACACGAAAAACCTAAGTCATGATAACCATTGTCCCAGCCGAGATTCAAACTGGGCATCTACTGAATAGAAGTCTCCAGTGTTACCTCTGAACCAGCCTGTTCGGTATATTACTTGTACAGTATTGTGTCATGAAAACTTTTCAACACTGTTGTCTCAGGTACAAAAGTTATACAGTGTCAAATGGGGAGATGATTGTGAATGATAAAATTGGAAATAAAGTAGAAGACAACAGTCATGGCCATTGAAAATACTCTACAGAATTTGTCTGGAAGGACTGAGAAGAAGCACAAGAAATCTTAGGATAGCCAACTACCGGTTAAAGAATTGAATCTGGCACCTAAAGCAGGAGTAATTAAATACTTGGCTGTGGCATTCAGTTTTCAGTGCTTCACAGATAGTTCACCTTCAGGGAGTGGAACTGAATGGGGGTCATAAGCATGTATATGCTAATGATGTTAATGTACTTTATTAAAACAGAAATACCAAAATGTGGATCTATACATCCACTCCCCCATATGCCTTCATGGCATATTGCTTAATTAGTTAAGCACAAGGACAACTTTACCTTTACCTTTAAATATCAAACAGAGAAACACGTAAACTCTATTTGGTGTTGGCAAGGCAGTTGTTCTAAGAGTAAACACAAAGAAATCTGAGCCCCATCACAAGAAATTTGGACAAACTCAAAATATTGTGGCATGTAACCCACTGCTAGGCAACTACCATGAAATAAGCAGCTATACAAAGGCCATTGCTAAGTAGTGGCTCTGTAAACAATGACCACTGCAAAGTAATGGCCGCAACAGACACACATGCAACAATAGAAGAGCTGTTGGAAGCAGTGTTTCTTTGTCATTCATGCTGAGGCTATACATGGTGTGTTCAAAAAGTATCGAACCTTCTTTTTCCCGCGTAAACCAATGAAGCACAGGAGGCTCCCTTTGGTGGAGATGTGGAGGAGACATTCATAGGCAGTTGTGAATTTTTTCCCGCCCACAGAAAGCATCAGTCACTGGCAGTTGGCCTATGAGTGAGGACGTGTAGTGAGCACTTGTCAGATTCCAGTAAGGTGTAAAATGACGGAACAACATGAGCAGCGATATTGCATTAAATTTTGCCAAAAGCTTGGCGATACCCAAGTGGAAACCATTCGCAAGATTCAACAGGCTTTCGGGGACGATGCCATGAGCAACTCACGGATAAAGGAGTGGTACAACCNTACCGAAACTGCTAACAATGGAGCAGAAGCATCGCCGTCAGGAAATCACACAGGACATGCTGGACAATGCAAACAGTAACCCCAAGTTTCTGAACACCGTGATCACAGGCGATGAGTCGTGGGTTTATGAGTACGACCCGGAAACCAAGATGCAGTCGTCACAATGGAAACATCCGACATCCCCGAGGCCAAAAAAAGCATGGCAGGTCTACAGCAATGTCAAGGTGATGTTGGCCGTTTTCTTCAACTCCCATGGGGTTGTGCATCATGAGTACGCACCACAAGGCCAAACCATCACAAAGGAATACTACCAGGAGGTCCTTCGTCACCTTTGTGATGCTGTGCAGCGCAAATGACTGGATCTGTGGGCAGCAAAATCTTGGCAGCTCCATCATGATAATGCACCCGCCCATTCTGCGCATCTGATTCAGAATTTCGTCGCCAGACACAACATCTCTGTGGTTCGTCAGGCTCCCTACTCCCCCGACATGGTTCTGTGTGACTTTTGGCTATTTCCCAAGCTGAAAATGCTGCTGAAAGGAACCCGATTTGAATCGAGAAGACATCATGCGGAATGCGACGGCCCGGCTGATCACCATTCCAAAAGACGCGTTCCAGAATTGTTTCAAACAATGGCGGAAGCACTGGGAGAAGTGTGTGCGTTACCAAGGAGACTGCTTTGAAGGGGATTAGGGTTTTGTACCTCCAAATCAATAAATGTATTTCTGCCGACCAAAGGTTCGATACTTTTTGAACACACCACATATAATGAGCGCCAGCTGCTATTAGAAGAGAGTCCTGAGACAACAGTGAGAAGAGTAAGAAGGTTGGTGTGAGATGGCATCCAGCAGTTAGTGAAGTGGAGTGAGCTGGTTGGTGAGTGAGCAAGTTAGAGGATTACTGCAGTTCAGTCCTTGTGATCTGTTGCTTTTAGAAGCTGGTAGCTGCGGCATAGGAACAGTGTGGGAACCCAGAGGAAGGGGAATGTCTGCCATTGGAAGCCATTACCAGCAGGCTGGGAAGACTTAAGCGTGTACTTTAGTGAATTACAGGGTGTGAATTAGCAGTTACTTGTAGTTACGAGTTTTGTGTATAAGTGTGCAATAAATCCAATTACCAATCAAAAACCCGCCTATAGTCACGCCATAAAATTATGACACTAAAAATTAAAAGTAAAAAGTCAAGGTATCCCTGTACAGGCTGTGGAGTCCCATAGTTTTGTGAGATGTTGAGGTTCCCACATTTTCTACACAATCAGTTCATGACAATGACAATATAAATACTAAATAATAATAATAATAATAATAATAATAATAATAATAATAAATCCATGAAATATGAACGTTATAATAAATAGGTGACGTATTAACAACATATTAATAATAATAATTATTCCACGAAAAATANAAATTCAGAAAATCCTTGCTATCATTAAGTTAACAATTTCCATTTTGTCATTTCATATCTAAAAATATGAAGATAAGAATTTATAAAATGATGATCTACCTGATGTTTCAATTGTAAAACTTATTTTCTCACTGTTGGGAAGAACACAGATTGAGATAGAGTGAGATTCAATTCAATTCAATTCAATTCAATTCATTTATTTCATCCATAGCTGTAGAAATTACAATTGGACATGTCAGATAACAACAACATTACATCAAGCATAACATTCAAAGTACATGAATATAGAATAATAAATAATAAATACCTAAGACTAGAGAAAATATTTGAAACATATATACAGTTTGTTTACAACATACAAACAGACTATTTAAAACATATTCCTGTACATATAAATAATTTATCTAAAACAGATTTNTTTAAAACAATAGGAGGTGACACTTTTTGTCTGAACAGATCATTTATCACAGCAACGATTTTATTTGCTACATACTCTTTACCATGAGCATTTAAATGGAGCCCATGTCTTGTGTAGAGGTCCCTATCAGAACCCACTGTTATCACAGAAAGATTTGGGAACGCCTTTTTTAATTTATCTAGAGTTTTATTGAATATTTTAACTTCATGATTTACACAGATTGTCTAAGAAGATGGTGATGAGGGAAATATTTGGTCTCAAGACAGAGGAAGTAATAGGAGGAAGAATATTGCACAGTGAGGAGCTTCATAATTCATGATCTTCAACAAATGTTGTTAAAATGATAAAATAAAGGAGGATGAGATAGAAGACATGTGGCAAGCAAAGGAAAAATGAGAACTGCACACAGAACTTTAGTCAGAATTGCTGAAGGAAAGAAACCTCTTGGAAGATTATATATCTTAAATTAATAGGGTATGAGGTTGCAGACTGGATTAGTCTGGGCCAGAATATGGCACATATGAACACAGTTGAGAAATTCTTTGACTAACACCGAACATTGCAATTGACAGCATAATACTTGTACTTCATATTTGGGAAGTTGACGGTTCATACCTTGACCTGGAGACAGTTTATCTTACTTTATCTGACATTTTGTGTAGTTTTTCTTAGTCCCTCCATAAATTCTTGGACAGACTCTCAAATTAGGCAATAAGAACTTCTTTCTATGTCTGTTTTAGTTCATTATTCACTAGTTCTCTTATTTGACACTATACAGTCTGATTTACTGCCAACCATGTTAATAAAACTGTAAATAAATAAAATTCTTGCCTAACTTGGTAACTGTTAGCTTTTCAACATGGATTTTATTTCAGGATGTTAGGTAGTTGGTTGGTTCATGCTGTAGTTTCAGTTCTTGTTACTGGTAAAGTGGGTTCATGGCAAGTTTCTGTATTTATCTGCTTGTATGGGTTATGTTTCTTTTACAAAATCCAAAGTATATTTCTTAATTCTTAGTTAAATTAATACCACATAATGGCAAATGAGTTCTTTGCAATACATTTTTTCATTTTCTGATATTATTAAAAAATTATTCATACTTCAGTGACATGTCCATAACTGAATTAATATTCCAAATACATCATCACTTGTTTTTATTTCAGTGATCAGAATTGTCTTGCCGATGAGCGATGTCTTGGAGGACTCTGTAAGACAGTTTGCAATAGTGATTCTAAATGTGGTCCTAAACAAATTTGTGAAGACCGACTGTGTGATGTAGGCTGTCGTAGTGATACCGTTTGTCCTGACAGTGAAGCCTGTATCAATAAACAATGCCGAAGTAAGTACAGTGAAGCAGAAAGCCAATTTTTAAAATAAGAAATAATGGGAAGATAATATGATTACTGCTTTGTTCAAGTTATTTCAGTCTTCATGTAGAGACGAAGAAGAATAATTGTACTATTTCTGGACCTGTTTGTGTGCATATTTTCTACTGTGTTAAATTTGTCAGATATAATCTCATAGTTTAACGCCATTAACATGTTTATCTTGTTGAAATGTGAGCTATATTTAATACAGCATATGTAGGCATATTTATGATTTATCTGCATTCAGGTGTTCACATGATTTGCTTGGATGGTTCATTAGTTAAATTGTGTCAAAACAAAAGCTGTATTTATGGTTCACATGTGAGCTGTGTGGCTGTTTTATATACCATGAAAGAAAATATATAAAATTTGATTATTCAAGATCTATTACCACAACAAGGTTCAGAACTTTACACTGTGTGGCACTAGTGTTGTTTCTGCTGCACAGATTTATAAGACTGCGATGTTAGTATTTCTGGCTGTAGGAAATTGGAAAGTACAAAGATGACATGTCATCTAGTGGCATGATGTCATAACCAGTTTCATTTAAGTCCATCATTTGATACAAATTGGACTGTAAGGGTTGAAGGGACAGACATATGGTTGGATATGTGTACATGATGGGCTGGCGTGTAAGGCTGACAACCTTACCGCCATCTGTGAGCCGATTGTCTAGAAAATGTGGGAACCTTAACGTCTCACATCCCTATGGGCCACCACGGGCTGTTAACGGTGTTCTCTTCTTCTTCTGTGGGTACATGATGATGCCATAAGCCTGTCTTTCTGTATGAAATGAGGAAATTAGTAAAAAATATTAGAGGTGATTAGTTCCAGAACGTATTTTTTGACATCTCTGTTTTTATCTGTTATGCAATTTAATTTGAGTTCTGTTGTTCCAGATCCTTGTGAGGAAGGTTCAGTCTGTGGTACATGTGCCATTTGCAGTGTTGTGAATCATGGTGTGCAGTGTAGTTGCCCCGTCAACTTCCTCGGTAACCCTCTTGTCAGTTGCTCAAAACCATCTGTGCGATGTGGAACTGGCATACCAGACTGTGAATGTGATGAGGCTGGATACTGCACAAGGAATTGCATTGCAGACCATGATTGTTCTTGTGGTGAAACCTGTGCCAAGGGAAAATGTAGAAGAAGGTGCAGTGGACCCAATTCATGCGCACAGGTAAATGCTTTCTTAATAAAAGCTATACCAAATAGTCTGTTATATGAAGATGAATTCTGGTTAATGCTATGACCAAAGTTTATATTATACTTACTATTATTTAATTTCTGTTTTAGGGTCAACTGTGTCAGAGAGGCTTGTGTAGGGCGGGATGCCGTTCACATAATGACTGTCCAAATGATCAGGCATGTGTGCGTGGACAATGTCATGATCCTTGTACCACTCCTAAATTCCCATGTGGCACCAATGCTCAGTGTCGAGTATCAGAACATCGTGCAATATGTCTGTGTCCGGATGGCTACCAAGGTGAACCTAGTCAGATATGCAATCAATATGAATGTCTGAAAGATGATGACTGTGAACCAAATAAATACTGTAGTGAAGACAAAGCTTGCAGAAATCCTTGTCTGGAAGCTGGAGCATGTGGTAGCAATGCACAGTGCCGAGTGTTCTACAGACGTGCCCAGTGTTCATGCCCGCCAGGTTATTATGGCAATCCGGAGTTGGAATGTAAACAAGGTAAGTTAGATTCTACACGCAGTTCACTATATATGTGTACTTCATAACCAAGAGATTGTTTTGGAACTGTTAAGGAGGAGGATAGTACTTCATCTTACCTTCTTGTTGTGTTAAAGAAGTCTAAGCTTATTGCTCTTAGGGCAACTAGTCAGAGGTTATATCATACATGTAATATCAATGGAGAGACTGTATGTTAGTTAGGAAAAGTTCTTGGAAAGACCATATTTGGAGACTGAAGATGGGAGAATGATATCATAATAGAATTTCTGGAGAGCCCATTGAATTTGGAGTACAGAATGTGGAAGTGTAAACTGGATTGTACTGGCTCAAATAAAGGTCAGAACGTAGGATTTTGTGGTTACAGTGCTGAACCTTCAGATGATGGGACTGTTTACAGTTTTCTTATCTTGCATTGAGAATAGATTACAGCAGTTATTACCTCATTTCTTTCTGTAGTAAACTTTAAATTAATTGTCAATATAACAACATTTTAACCAAGTCACATGACATTTTTCCTGCTCGTGCGGTGACATCACAACAGTAGTTGATAACGATCACTTGGCATGTGTTTACGATATGTTGTCAGTCCCTCAGCTATGTAAATGAGTGACAAAGTTCAGTTGAGATTAGTTATGAGTTACAAGAGAGAAATATTAGCGGCAGAATCATGAGAAGAAGTCAAGTTGGAACTAGAAGTGACAGTGAGTGTGTGTGACATAGTCCTCAGTTCTGAGTTGCAGTTGTTATAAGAGAGAAATAGCTGCAGTGGAAGCACGCAAACAGGATGCCGAAAAATACAGGAGGTCAGCCTGTGAAAATTTAAAATGTGATTGGAAGATTTTATGTGTAATATTTGTAGTGACTTGAAGTGATAGTTTCTGCATTGAGATCCGTTGCTAGGAGACAACTAGTGAAGACAGAGAATCCTAGTGTGTGTGCAACGGTGAACTGTAAATTGTGTAAATCAACGATAGTGCTGTAAGCTTTGTATTGCCTTTATTTAAGTGTGATTAAGAGAGAGTTTGTAACCAAGTTACTAATAAATCCAATCATCCGAACTAGAACCCCTCATTCTTGTCACATGTACCACTCTGTACGTGACAATATAAATGAACAAATTAATTCATCAACTAAGTAATGAAAGATTCATTTTCTTGTTCAATCATTTTACTATAAGTAATAAGGAAAAAAGTTTAATTCTTTCCTGCTCTCTTATTATTTATAAATCTGTTCAAATAATGAAGAATACTTAACATCTTCTTGGATATAGAGCCAGGTAGTCCATTGAAAGTCAACCAACAATTTGACAGAACATATCACCTCCATCTTCATGGTCAAAGAATAAGCAAAGCAAGACACCTGCATGAAAGAAAGTGGCAAGCAGCATGGCTTTATATCCAAGAAGATAGTACTCTTCATAACTACCACTGTGAGAACCTCAAATCCTGTTGAAATAATGTTTCTTCTTCCAGGTGGAGACCAGTGTTTGCGAAACCCATGTGGCGATAATGCAAAATGCCGTGACACCCAAGATGGTTTTGACTGCACATGTGTGCCTGGATGCACAGGTGACCCCTATCGCGGGTGCCTCTGTGATGGACATCAAACAGATTTATGTAGAGACAAACAGTGTGGAGTGAATGCTGCTTGCCGAGTTGTTAACAACAGAGAGCCTGAATGTTACTGCCCAAGTGACTATCCTGCTGGAAATCCATATATTGAATGTAAGAAGCTTTGTATTTTAAATCACAAATTTACATAACAAAACTGATTTGGAAGTGGGTAAGTTAATTTGCATTATGCAGATTTTTTGATAACATTCAGATTACAGACATTAAATATTGTGACATTATAACTGAAGAGAGAGCCGTTACTAGATTACAGCACAGGAGACAACTCATCAGCATAACAACAACTTCACACGCAACAGAGGAATGGTGTTTTCTGTGCAGTATGCATGGATAGCAATGTCACCCAACAAAATGGTAGAACTGTTGGAAGTGGTGTTTTCTGTGTGGTCCATGCCAGGGCTATATAACGATGACCAGCTGCCATTACAAGACAGTCTTGAGAGGCAGTGAGAAGAATAGGAGGTTGGTATGAGATGGCCACCAGCCAGTGAGGATGCAAACCCAGGGAGCAGAGGAACGTCTGCCATTGGAAGGTGTTACCAAGCAGAGCAGTGAAGACCCTGACTGAGAACACTACTCTTTCTGTGACAGTGATTTATAAAGAGTAGTCACAAGTTGTGTATTAAAGTGTCCAGTAAATCTGATTACCAATTGGAAACCTGTCTAAGGTTACTCCATCACATGACAACTGGTGACAGAAGTGGGATAACTGGACTAGATTGTTTTGAATGAACTGGATTGAAGCAAAATGGCTGACTTTGAAAGTCTGGTACCTGCCATACAAAGGCTGGAAGCCTGGGTAGCTACCAGTCAACTAAAAATGGACACCAACCAAAAGAGGATGGAAGCCAAGATAGAGGCTTATAGTATGAAATTTGCGGTCCTTTGAGAAAATATGTGGACCTGTCAAGAATAAAGGGAGATGTAAGTAGATGCCTTCATCTCCCAGATGGTTGCTCTGGCTATAAGGAATGAAGAACTGCCGAGAAGTGATGGAGGTCAGGATAGAGACTGGTGAGGGGCCAAGAAAAGCCGAAAGTAAGACTATCCTAAGAAAAGTGAAGGCCACAGAATTAGAGACAGTTCTAGAAGAAATAGAGGTTGTAGTGGCACATCAGGAAGTTCCAAACAAAGAGGCCCCATTAGAGACAGTTGGAATACTGATGAAGGACCACTGTGGGGACTAGCAACTGACCATGGGTTACCAGAATGCGTGGAAATGGCAGATGAAGGATGATGTACGTGGAACCACTAAAAAATGAGCGTTCGAGAGGAGATGTCAGGCAAAGCCAAAATGCAACAATGGCATAAAGAACCAAGGCTTATAAGAGCAGGTACATCTAGGAAGAAAGAGGTCATTCAACAAGACTGTCAGGCAGACTTTTGGGATGGAGGTTATCAAGCTAGCAGCCGGGTCATCTGTGAGGATTAAAAAAATGAGTGTCAGGACATTGTGAAGTTGACCCCCACCCGAATGGAAGAAACATCCACTAACGGCTTAAGAGTCAGATATGTGGGAGCACTGGCAACTCTCAGAAGTTTTTCAGACACTGACCAGAAGAAGAAAATGGCAATATGCCTATAGGCTGCTGGGGACAAGCAGCCATAAGGAAGGAGCAACATGACATAACTAAAGAGAGAGCCGTTACTAGATTACAGCACAGCAAACAACTCATCAGCATAAAACCATTGCGCATGCAACAGAAGAACAGTGTTTTCTGTGTGATCCGTGCAGATAGTAGCATCACCCAATAGTAGAAGAAATGTTGGAAGTGGTTTACTCTGTGGAATCTGTGTTGGGTCTATATAACAAGGACCAGCTGCCATTATGAGACAGTCTTCACATGGCAGTTAAAAGAATAGGAGGCTGGTATGAGATGGCCACCAGCTGGTGAGGACATGAGACCAGGAGCAGAGGAATGTCCACCACTGGAAGATGTTACCAAGCAATGCATTGTAGATTGTGACAGATCACTAGTCTTTGTGTAATAGTGATTTATAAAGAGTAGTCATGAGTTGTATGTTAAAGTGTCCAATAAATCCAGTTACCAATCCAAACCATGCCTATAGCCACTCAAGCATATGACAATACTTTTTTTTAGTTCCTTTCAGGCATTGTATCTATTAGAAAAGGGCTATGGATGAAATCCTTCAGTTGTCTCTACTGTCTTAATCTGTGTTTTTCATTTGTCATTTTTTTAAAATTTGTAATTCCATCTAAGTTGTCTGTTTGTATTCATCCTTTAAAGAAGCCCATCCCATGGTATATACTCATCTCTTATTTTGTTGATTCTGATACTTCTCCCGTTTGCTCCTTCCAAATTTTTAAAAGTTTCAAGTCTGTGACTGCTAGTTTACTTTTAACTTCCTGTTTGATAGTGTGTGTTCCAAAGCATATATTAATTCTGCTTTAACATATTGTGATGTGTTGCGCTATGGATGACGCCCCTCCCTCCCCTCCAGCCGTGACCTCGTTGGGTCTTTTAAAATTAGTTTATGAATAACATGAACTTGCCCAGGATCTTACATTCTTGGAAACTGAGTGTATTAAATTACTTGCACCAACATATGTAATATTGATTAGTTTCTTGAGTCATGTGTTTCCTTACCTTTTGTTGGAAGAATGATATAATCATTGCATGGCTTGATAATTGTGTTTATATTTTTATGATTCATTTTAAATTCTCATGTTTGTCTCTTTCGATTCCATTATAAATTCCAATGTCTGATTATTGTAGGGTATTTCTCTTTTTATTTGCATTACACGTATCTTTGAATGGCCATTATTCTGTTATTTTTTATAATATTGTCATAGGTACAATTGACCGTACACCAACTGACTGTCGTACTGAAGGTTGTGGTAAGAATGCTGAGTGTTTACGTGAAGGAGCTGTATTTGTGTGTCACTGTCTGCCAGGAACAACAGGCAGGGCTGAGGTTGAGTGCCATTCAGGTAGGACAAGGAACACATAATTCTAACAATTTTGATTCCACAAGCTTGGTGACAACCTGTGTTTTATTTGTTCTGCAGAAATGATGGTGTTATGTTGTATTTCATAGCCTAGGGTATCTAAATCTTCCTCTCATAATAATATATATACTTAATAATATATGGTATAACCTGAGTATCTCATTCTATATTAAATTGTCAAAAGTATACAAAGAATTTACAGGAGGTTTATAGTGTGCTGATCAAACTTCAGTCCTAGATCTTTTCTGCTTATTCTGATAATTCTTGAGCTAATCTTCTGTTTTGTTTTAGTTCAGTGTTAGGAATTTATTTAGGGGTTTGTTTTAAAATGAACAGTACTTAGATGTAGATATAATGTTATTGTTGTTTTCCATCATTTGCCTAAGAAATAAACAGAAATATGAAAAAAGGATAAATGAGTAGTTAAGTGTGCATCGCAATATGCTGCCTTTGAACTTCAACATATAAATCTGCACAAACATCAGTAATGTATCAAACAAAAACATTGAAAAAATAGGTATTGTACTATGTTGGATTGATACTAAAAGATCAGTATGTTTTGGTAATGCACTGCCCAAATGAAAGAGAAATTACAGTATCTGCAAATTTTTAACACTCCATTTCACACGTGATATAATTATCGACTTGACACAGATAATTAATATTTTTCTCTCAATATTGTTATCTGATAACTTACATAAACACATTGTACTACAACATGGACAGTGAAGTTTACTGTTTTTCAGTGTTAACATCAACATATTCTGCAGAACTCATGTGAACACAGTCCTGTAGTGAAGCTGACAGTTGTGTTTTGCACGAGCAGTAATGATGTAACCATGTATGTTCAGTATGCTAAGAGGAATATGGGTGGAAAGTAACACCAATTAATTGTTGCAATTTGTGTTTAGAAATGCATTCAGTCGTAATACTCAACAAATAATAATATCACTGTCATATGTTCCTCACTGTGGGTTTTGTACATATATACATATGTACAGTGAAAAATAGCTCATCATCATTCCATTAGACATGAATCATGTGGAATGTCACCACAGTATTCCAATCTGCCTTGTCACTAACCTTGGCTCGCAAAATTACACTATAGTTTTCTCCTGCACTCGTAAATTTTGCAAGGTATAAAGTTAGTTGAATGCCCTCTTGAAATGGTGAAAAGTGTTAATATTGTAAAGTGTAACAAAATTGTACAAATCATTTTGACTAGCATTTTAATGTTCATATTTCTGTTGTTTTAGTTGTACAAGGTACTTGTATAATATCCCCAATCCTTTGAATGAAGTTAGTGGTGTATCAGTATGAGCTGTAAATCATGTACATTCCACCCCATTTTCACTTTCATATATTTGCACTAAGTAGCTTTGTTTTCAGTTTCAGCTGTAGTTAGTGTAAGATTTACATAACTGTCCTGATAAGAGCTCAAGATTGATATGTGTACATAATATTACAATGCAGCTACTCTGCTGCATTTTGTTACTGATAAGTCAGATTGGGAGCTGTGAAAGGAGCATTCTCACATTGGTCTGTAATCTAAATTGGAGTGCTGTATTCCCTTCTCCAAACCAGCTGACTCATTTGGGGCTTCTTTGTAAATATTTCAGCTTGTACATTATCTTTAGTATTGTGTGTTGAAATGTGGAGTAAATCACATGGCTTCATCTCCTTCATTAGTCTTGTCTCGGACTGTCCTCACCACCAACACAGAAAGCATGTGTTACATTATGTTTTGTGTGAGAAATGTTTCCTTTCACAGTTCTTACAATCGCTGTTCTTTTTTTCTCCTTTCCCCCAATCACTCATACTGTGTTTCCCTTCCGGTCTTGTGAATACACCAGACAGCATATGTAGCAGCAGTAATGACTGTCCAAATGAGAAAGCCTGTCTGAACAATCAGTGTATAGACCCTTGCACTCAAAGAGGCTCGTGTGGAGAGAATGCCTTATGCCAGACAGTTCTGCATAGACCGCGGTGTTCGTGTCCACAATGCTATGTTGGGAGACCACATGTGTCATGTCAGCCAGATGTAAAGTGTGAACCTTCAGGCCCAATTACTACTCAGCCTACTGTGGGTTGTGTGTCAGATGAAGACTGTGCTGATAATTTAGCATGTAATGGGGAGGTGGGTGATTGTCAAGACCCATGCAGAACAGCCCCAATTTTTGCCTGTGGTGCAAATAAGAAGTGTGAAGTGCACAGACATCGTCCTATGTGCGTTTGCAAATCGGGTTTTATAGTGAGTGACATGGGAGAGTTGACTTGTGCTCCTGACCACATTGAGTGTTCTCAGCACGAAGAATGTGCTTCAAATCTAGCATGCATTGATGGTCAGTGTCAAAATCCTTGTACTGCATCAAGAGTGCCCCCCTGCTCTGCTGACAAGACATGTGGTGTGCTGGATCACCATCCAGTCTGCATCTGTACTCGTGACTGCAACCCATCCCTGTCGATCTGCCTGCGTGACAGTGGTTGCCCTCCACATCTGGCATGCCGTGGCTACCGGTGCATGGACCCCTGTGTCAACATTACCTGCACAGATGATGCTCCTTGTTTTGTGGAGGAGCACAAACCTGTCTGCAAATTCTGTCCCCCAGGATTTGTCACAGATTCAAAATATGGATGTCTCAAAGGTAAAGAGCAATTTGAAAAGGGGTTGTGTCAAATTTATCCTCAGAAGATATTTAATAAGATTTAATGTTGAAATTTTCCGGGAATTTAGAATAGACTAATTTTATCATAATTTGGTTTGGGCTTAACAGTTAGAGCAAAACTAACAGAAAATAAGAGAATATTACAGCTAGAATTTTAAAGTGGAACTTTTTTAAGGCTAAACTAATTTAATGAATATTTGGTTATAGGGCAGCTAGAACAAACTCTAAGATATGTACTAAATGAAGACTCAGTTTATTCATTCTTAACATATTTAGTCACACTGCAGAATACTTAAGCAGGCCAGTCTGGCAATAGAAAATCTAGAAAGAGAGCATATTTTCCTCTTCCTCTCCCCTGTTACTCTAGGCACTTATAATTCTTCCCTGTACATACCTTTCTAACGTAACTTGAATAGTCTGTATAATATCTAACTCACTCACACTGTAGATATTTGACAATTAATTTAACAGTTTAGAACTGTATTCTATCATGTACAGTAGCAGTATCAGTAAATCTGTCAATAATTTGTTCATACCTTGTTAAACTATCATCTTTCCTTCATACCAAAACATGTACATATTTATTAATATTGTAAATATTTTGTGTGTATATATGTATATTGTATTGGTTATTCACAGCAGGTGTCACCACAAGTACGTCACCATCCGTTACATGCACGTTGGATGTCGAGTGCACAGATGCACAGGCCTGCATTAGTGGAGAATGCGTAGATCCTTGCACCAACAACTGTGGTTTGGGTTCTCAGTGCAGGGTACAGGCACACAAACCTATATGTTTCTGTCCTGAAGGTTATGAAGGTGATCCTGCTATTGGCTGCTCACCAGTAGTAAGATATACCACACCTAACTTGCAGGATAATCTCACTACCATGCCCACATATACTGATCTGACAACATATTCACCAGGTAAATTGTTAACCATAGTGAGTCCCAGTGTCACAAGACCAAGTATGGCATCTCAGGTAACAGTCACTGAATCCACTGAAACATCAGTTTCCTCATTCATTACCCAGAAATTAAAAGCCTTGACTAGTATTATCCCTACCTTAGCAACTGGGAAGATGGAAGCAGGTGTGAAAACCCTAGAAGGAACTACAGAACTAGTGTCTACAGTTACAGAATATGGAAAGCCAGCCACTTTTCCAACATCATATGGCATGCATGAGCAAGAAACAACTATGAGAGGGATCTATTCCACACCGCAGAATGTACCATCCATGAGCATAGTTACATTAACTAGAGGCAGCAAGGCTGAAACTACAGGAACAGAAATGCAAACAATGATAACAGAACCTGTAGAAATGTCTATAGCTAGCAAAAGTGAAATGCAAACCAGAGCAACAACTATATCAGTTGAAACAGAAACACCAGAATCATATCCAAGTACTATTTATAGAACACATACATCAAGTGTGGGGGCTCACACACTATTAACAACAGAATTGGGTTCTGTACAAACGACACCAACACCAATAGAGCATGTAACTGTTATGGAAACTGTGGTACCTCTGGTATATACCCAAGAAACAGGTACAGAATATTATTTTAATAGAAGTATGGAAACATCCCCAGAAACTGTAATATTTCCAATAAATGAAACATCTACAGAAAGAGTACAGACTGTTACACCTCAGAAAAACATTACAGAGATTGTTGAAACAGTTACACAAAATAAGATTACTACAGAAATAGTCGAAATAGGTACTCCTCAGAGCACATTTAAACCATCAGCTATACCCCCATCCACTCAAAGACCATACACATACTCCACAGAACAAAAAGATCAGTTTGAAACAACTCCAATTGAAGAGCTATTTGAAGGCCATAAAGTAACAACATCTGGGAGGCCTTCTGAAATTGAACACATAACAACAAAACTGTATCCCTCACACTCAACAGAAGCACCAGGGGAATATAAAACCACTGTAGGCAAAACAAGGCCTGAGATGCCCGAAGGAGAAACAACAAAGTTACCCTCTGAAATAGAACACATTACTACTGAAGCCTTTTCTACACAAGGCCCAGGCAAATATGAGACAGTTCTAGTTCAGAGCACAACTCAAGGTCCACAAATTATGATCACAAGAAAGCACACTGAATTGTCTGAATACCCAACCACTCAAAGACCTTACACACACTCTACAGGACGACCAGCAAGGTTTGAAACAACTCCAAGTGAAGGTTTCTTTGGAAGTTCTCAAGTAACGGAGTCCACAAAGCCTCATGAAATTGAATACATCGTGACTGAACCACATACAACATACCTAATAAAACAACCAGGAGAACATAAAACCACCCCAGAAAGAGAAAGGTCTGAAGCTACCGAAGAAATAACTTTAAAGACAACCTCTGAAATTGACCATATTACTACCGAAAGTCCACAAATAACACCAACAACGCACACTGAGTATGAACTCCCATCCACCCAAAAACCTTACACACAAGCCATGGAACAACCAGTTCAGTTTGAAACAACTCCAAGCAAAGGGATATTTGAAGGTTCTGAAGTAACAACGTCAAGGAAGCCTTATGAAATTGAACACATAACAACAAAAGAGTATCCCTCATACTCGACAGAAGCACCAGGAGAATTTATAAGCACTTCGGGCAAAGGAACACCTGAGGTGACAGAAGGAATAACATCGAAGTTCCACTCTGAGAGCACATATAAATATGCAACCATAGGAGATACAGAGATACCTAAAGTATACATTTCCACACCAAAGCCTGTTACAGGAGACATGGAAGAAAGTGTGTCCCATACAACTGGAACATCTGAAGTATATATATCTACACCAAAGCATGTCACAATGGAAACTGAAGCCACTATGCAATACACAACTTGGACAAATCAAACATATGCTCATACTACAAAGCACGTCACAGTGGAAACTGAGGGCAGTGTGCAGTACACAACTGGAACACATGAAATATATACATCTACTCCAAAACATGTCTCAGGGGAAACTGAAGGCAGTGTGAAGTATACAACTGGAAAACCTGAAATATATATTCCCACTGCCAAGCATGTCACAGGGGAAACTGAAGTTAGTGTGCAATACACGACTGGACGACCTGAAACATATATTCCTACTACAAAACATGCCACAGAGGAAACTGAAGCCAGTGTAAAATATGCAACTGAAAAACCTCAATCATATGCTCCTACTACACAGCATGTTACAGGAGAAACTGAAACCAGGGTTCAATATGAAACAGGAAGAACTCAAACATATATTCCTACTATAGAAGTTGTCACAGGGGTAACAAAAGCCAGTGTACAATACACAACTAGAGTACCTGAAAAATATGCTCCTACTACAAAGCATATCACTGTGGAAACTGAGGCCAGTGTACAATACACGACTGGAAAACCAGAAGCACATGCTCCTACTGTAAAATATGTCACAGGGGAAACTGAAGCCACTGTTCAATATGAAACTGAAAGAACTGAAAAATATATTCCTACTGCGAAACATGTTACAGTGGAAACTGAAGCCAGTGTTCAATATGAAACCGAAAGAACTGAAAAATATGTTCCTACTGCGAAACATGTTACAGTGGAAACTGAAGCCAGTGTTCAGTATGAAACAGAAAGAACTGAAAAATATATTCCTGCTGCAAAGCATGTTACAGGAGAAACTGAAGCCAGTGTTCAATATGAAACTGAAAGAACTGAAAAATATATTCCTACTGCGAAACATGTTACAGTGGAAACTGAAGCCAGTGTTCAATATGAAACCGAAAGAACTGAAAAATATGTTCCTACTGCGAAACATGTTACAGTGGAAACTGAAGCCAGTGTTCAGTATGAAACTGAAAGAACTGAAAAATATGTTCCTACTGCGAAACATGTTACAGTGGAAACTGAAGCCAGTGTTCAATATGAAACTGAAAGAACTGAAAAATATATTCCTACTGCGAAACATGTTACAGTGGAAACTGAAGCCAGTGTTCAATATGAAACTGAAAGAACTGAAAAATATGTTCCTACTGCGAAACATGTTACAGTGGAAACTGAAGCCAGTGTTCAATATGAAACTGAAAGAACTGAAAAATATATTCCTACTGCGAAACATGTTACAGTGGAAACTGAAGCCAGTGTTCAATATGAAACCGAAAGAACTGAAAAATATGTTCCTACTGCGAAACATGTTACAGTGGAAACTGAAGCCAGTGTTCAGTATGAAACTGAAAGAACTGAAAAATATATTCCTACTGCAAAACATGTTACAGTGGAAACTGAAGCCAGTGTTCAATATGAAACTGAAAGAACTGAAAAATATATTCCTACTGCGAAACATGTTACAGTGGAAACTGAAGCCAGTGTTCAATATGAAACTGAAAGAACTGAAAAATATGTTCCTACTGCGAAACATGTTACAGTGGAAACTGAAGCCAGTGTTCAGTATGAAACAGAAAGAACTGAAAAATATATTCCTGCTGCAAAGCATGTTACAGGAGAAACTGAAGCCAGCGTTCAATATGAAACGGGAAGAACTCAAACATATATTCCTACTATAAAAGTTGTCACAGGGGTAACAAATGCCAGTGTACAATACACAACTAGAATACCTGAAAAATATACTCCAACTACAAAGCATATCACTGGGGAAACTGAGGCCAGTGTACAGTACACGACTGGAAGACCTGAAGCATATGTACCCACTACGTCTCATGTCACAGTGGAAGATGGAGCCAGTGTACAATACGCAACAGCAACAAGTAAAACATTTGCATCTACAGGAAAGCATGTCACAAGGGAAACTGAAGCCAGTGTACAATACACAGCTGGAACAAGTGAAACATATGCTCCTACTGCAGAGCATGTTACAAGTGAAATTGAAGCCACTGTGCAGTACACGACTGGAATTCCTGAAACATATGGTCCTACTATAAAACATGTTACAAAGGAAACTGAAGCCAGTGTACAATACACAACTCTAACCCCTGAAACATATACTCCTACTACAAAACATATCACAGGGGAAATGGAAGTCAGTGTACAATACTCAACTGTAAAACCTGAAACATATTCTCCTACTGCAAGCTATGTCACTGGGGAAGCTGGAGCTGGTGTACAGTACACAACAGCAACAAGTGAAACATATGCTTCTACTGTAAAACCTGTCACACAGGAAACTGTAGCCAGTGCACAGTACACAACTGGAAGACCTGAAACACATATTCCCACTACAAAGCATGTCGCAGGGGAAACTGGAGCCAGTGTACAATACCCAGCTGGAACAAGTGAAACATATGCTCCTACTGTAAAACATGTCACACAGGAAACTATAGCCAGTGCACAGTACACAACTGGAAGACCTGAAACATATATTCCCACTACAAAGCATGTCACAGGAGAAACTGTAGCCAGTGCACAGTACACAACTGGAAGACCTGAAACATATATTCCCACTACAAAGCATGTCACAGGAGAAACTGTAGCCAGTGCACAGTACACAACTGGAAGACCTGAAACATATATTCCCACTACAAAGCATGTCACAGGAGAAACTGTAGCCAGTGCACAGTACACAACTGGAAGACCTGAAACATATATTCCCACTACAAAGCATGTCACAGGAGAAACTGTAGCCAGTGCACAGTACACAACTGGAAGACCTGAAACATATATTCCCACTACAAAGCATGTCACAGGAGAAACTGTAGCCAGTGCACAGTACACAACTGGAAGACCTGAAACATATATTCCCACTACAAAGCATGTCACAGGAGAAACTGTAGCCAGTGCACAGTACACAACTGGAAGACCTGAAACATATATTCCCACTACAAAGCATGTCACAGGAGAAACTGTAGCCAGTGTACGATACACAACTGGAAGACCGCCAATTACAAAGCATGTCACAGGGGAAACTGAAGCCAGTGTTCAATATGAAACTGAAAGAAATGAAACATATAGTCCTACTGCAGAGCATGTTACAGGGGAAACTGATGTCAGTATACAGTACACAACTGAGAGAATTGAAACATATATTCCTACTATTGGAGTTGTCACAAGGGAAACTGAGGCCAGTGTTCAATATACAACTAGAAGACCTGAAGCATATGCTCCTACTACAGCTCATATAACAGTGGAAACTGGAACTGGTGTACAGTACACAGCAGCATCAAGTGAAGTATATGCTCCTACTCCAAAGCATGTCACAAGGGAAAATGAAACTAGTGTGCAGTACACAACTGAAAGACCTGAAGCATATGCCCCTACTGTAAAATATGTCACAGGGGAAACTGAAGCCAGTGTTCAATATGAAACTGAAAGAACTGAAAAATATATTCCTACTGCAAAATATGTCACAGGGGAAACTGAAGCCAGTGTTCAATATGAAACTGAAAGAACTGAAAAGTATATTCCTACTGCGAAACATGTTACAGTGGAAACTGAAGCCAGTGTTCAATATGAAACTGAAAGAACTGAAAAATATATTCCTACTGCAAAATATGTCACAGGGGAAACTGAAGCCAGTGTTCAGTATGAAACTGAAAGAACTGAAAAATATATTCCTGCTGCGAAACATGTTACAGTGGAAACTGAAGCCAGCATACAGTACACATCTAGAAGACCTGAAACATATGCTCCTAGTGCAAAATATTTCACAAGGGAAACTGTGGCCAGCGGGCATTACACGACTGGAAGATCTGAAGCATATTCTCCTACTACAGCTCATGTAACAATGCAACCTGAAGCTAGTGTACAATACACAACAGCAACAAGTGCTTCTACTGCAAGGCATGTCACAGGGGAAACTGAAGCCAGTGTACAATACACAGCTGGAACTAGTGAAACATATGCTCCTGCTGTAGAGCATGCGACAAGGAAAACTGAATCCCGCGTACAGTACACAACAGGAAGACCTGAAACATATATTCCCACTACAATGCTTGTCACAAGGGAAACTGCTGCCAGTGGAAAGTATGCAACTGAGAAACCTGAAACATATGCTCCTACTGCAAAGCTAATTACAGGGGAAACTGAAGCTAGTGTTCAATTTGAAATAGGAATGAGTCAAATATATATTCCTACTGCAAAACATTTCACAGGGGAAACTGAAGCAAGTGTGCAGTACACGACAGGAAGTGCTGAAACATATGCTCTCACTACAAAGCATGTTACAGAGGAAACTGAAGCCAGTGTAAAATATTCAACTGAAAAACCTACAATATACTCAGATGCTCCTACTACAAAGCATGTCAGAGGGGAAACTGAAACCAGTGTGAAATACGCAACTGGAAAAAGTGAAACTTATGCTCCTTCTGCAAAGTATTTCGCAGGGGAAACAGAAACCACTGTGCAATACATGACTGAAATACCTGAGGCACATGCCTCTACTACAAAGCATGCTACAGGAGAAACTGGTGCTAGTGCACAATACACAACTGGAGAACCTAAAACATATGCTTTTACTACAAAGCCTGTCACTAGGGAAACTGAAACCAGTGTAAAGGAAACAACTGTAACACCTGAAATGTATGCTCCTACTACAAAACATATGACAAGGGAAACAATAGCTACTATAAAATACTCAGCTGGAGCACCTGAAACATATGTCCCTATTACAAGCCATGTCACAGGAGAAACTGTAGCCAGTGTTCAATACACAACTGGAACAAGTGAGACATATGGTCCTACTGCCAAGACCATCGCTAAGGAAACTGAAGCCAGTGTTCAATACAAAACTCTAACTCCTGAAACACATACTCCTACTACAAAACATGTCACAAGGGAAATGGAAGCAAGTGTACAATTCACCAGTGGAACACCTGAAACTTATGTACCTACTGCAAAACATGCCGAAACCAGTGTACAATACAAAACTGGAACGCCTGAGTCATATGCTCCTACTACAGAACATATGACAAGGGAAACAGAAGCTACTATACAATATTCAACTGGAACACCTGAAACATATGCCCCTGTTACAAGCCATGTCACAGGGAAAACTGGAGTCAGTATTCAGTACACAACTGGATCAAGTGAATTATATGCTCCTACTGTAAAGCATGTCACAAGGGAAACTGAAGCCAGTGAACACTACACAACTCCAACACCTGAAACGTATTCTGCTACTACAGAACTTATGACAAGGGAAACAGAAGCTAGTGTACAGCAGTCAACTGGAACAGCTGAAACATATGCTCGTACCCCAAGCCATGTCACAGGGGAAACTGGAGCTAGTGTTCAATATACAACTGGAACAATTGAAACATATGCTCCTACTGCAAAGTCTATCAGATGGGAAACTGAAGCCAGTGTAAAATACACAACACCAGCACCTGAAACGTACAGTCCTACAACCAAATTTATCACAGGGGAAACAGAAGCCAGTGTACAACTCTTAACTGAAAAATCTGTAACATATGCTCCTACTACAAGGTATGTCACAGGGGAAACTGGAGCCAGTGTTCAATACACAACTGAAACAAGTGAAACATATGCTCCTACTGAAAAGCCTGTCACAGGGGAAACTGGAGCCAGTGTTCAATACACAACACCAGCACCTGAAACATACAGTCCTACAACCAAATTTATCACAGGGGAAACAGAAGCCAGTGTACAACTCTTAACTGAAAAATCTGTAACATATGCTCCTACTACAAGGTATGTCACAGGGGAAACTGGAGCCAGTGTTCAATACACAACACCAGCACCTGAAACATACAGTCCTACAACCAAATTTATCACAGGGGAAACAGAAGCCAGTGTGCAGTACACAACTCTAACACCGGAGACATATACTGCTACTACAAGGGAAACAGAAGCCAGTGTACAACTCTTAACTGAAAAATCTGTAACATATGCTCCTACTACAAGGTATGTCACAGGGGAAACTGGAGCCAGTGTTCAATACACAACTGGAACAAGTGAAACATATGCTCCTACTGAAAAGTCTGTCACAGGGGAAACTGGAGCCAGTGTTCAATACACAACTCGAACACATGAAACATATTCTCCTACTATAAAACCTATCACACGGGAAATGGAAGCCAGAGTACAATACACAAGCGAAACACCTGAAACATATGCTCCTACTACAAAGCATGTCACAAGGGAAACTGAGGCCAGTGTACGATACACTGCTGGAACCACTGAAACACATGTTCCTACTACAAGGCATGTCACCGGGAAAACTTTAACCAGTGTTCAGTACACAACTGAAACAAGTGAATCATATGCTCCTACTGAAAAGCATGTCACAAGCGAAACTGAAACCAGTGTAAAATATACAACTCCAACACCTAACACATATGCTCCTACTACAAGCCCTGTCACAGAGGAGACTGGAGCCAGTTTTCAGTACACACCTGAAACAATTGAAACATATGCTTCTACTGGAAAGCCTGTCACAAGGGTTACTGAAGCCACAACTGCAACATCTGAAATATATACTGCAACTACAAAACATATCACAACAGAAACAGAAGCCAGTTTACAGTACACGACTCTAACACCTGAACAATATGCTCCTAAAACAAAGCATGTTACAAAGGAAACTGGAACCAGTGTACAATACACAACTCTAACACCTGAAACATATACTTCTCCTGCAAAACATATCACAGGGGAAACTGGGGCAAATGTACAATACACAACACTAACACCTGAAACATATATTCCTACTACAAAACATATCACAATGGAAACAGAAGCTAGTGTGTCATACACAAGTGGAACATCTGAAACATATGCTCCTACTGTACAGGCTGTCACAAGGGAAACTGAAACCAGTATACAATACACAACGCTAACACCTGAAACATATGTTCCTACTGCAAAGCATGTTACAAGAGAAACTGAAACCAGTGTACAGTACACTAGTCCAACACCTGAAACATATGCTGCTACTACAAAACTTATGACAAGGGAAACAGGAGCTGGTATACAATACTCAGCTGGAACACCTGAGACATATACTCCTACTACAAGGTATATCACTGGGGAAACTGGAGCCAGTTTTCAATACACAACTGGAACAAATGAAACATATGCTCCTACTGCCAAGACCATCACGAAGGAAACTGAAGCCAGTGTAGAATACACAACTCTAACACCTGTAACATATACTCCTACTACCAAACATATCACAGGGGAAATGGAAGCTAGTGTACAGTACACAAGTGGAACACCTGAAACTTATGCACCTACTACAAAACATGTCACAGGGGAAATGGAAGCTAGTGTACAGTACACAAGTGGAACACCTGAAACTTATGCACCTACTACAAAACATGTCACAGGGGAAACTGAAACCAGTGTAGAATACACAACTGGAACCGTAGAGACATATGCTCCTACTGCCAAGACCATCACGAAGGAAACTGAAGCCAGTGTAGAATACACAACTCTAACACCTGAAACATATACTTCTACTACAAAACATATCACAGGGGAAATGGAAACTAGTATACAATACACAAGTGTAACACCTGAAACTTATGCACCTACTACAAAACATGTCACAGGGGAAACTGAAACCAGTGTAGAATACACAACTGGAACCGTAGAGACATATGCTCCTACTACAAGTCATGTCACAGGGGAAACTGGAGCCAGCATTCAGTACCCAACTGGAACAAGTGAATCATATGCTCCTACTGCAAAGCATGTTACAAGAGAAACTGAAGCCAGTGTACAGTACACTAGTCCAACACCTGAAACATATGCTCCTACTACAAAACATATCACAGGGGAAATGGAAACTAGTGTACAATACACAAGTGGAACACCTGAAACTTATGCACCTACTACAAAACATGTCACAAGGGAAACTGAAGCCAGTGTACAATACACAACTCTAACACCTGAAACATATACTCCTACTACAAAACATATCACAGGGGAAATGGAAACTAGTGTACAATACACAAGTGGAACACCTGAAACTTATGCACCTACTACAAAACATGTCACAAGGGAAACTGAAGCCAGTGTACAATACACAACTCTAACACCTGAAACATATACTCCTACTACAAAACATATCACAGGGGAAATGGAAACTAGTGTACAATACACAAGTGGAACACCTGAAACTTATGCACCTACTACAAAACATGTCACAAGGGAAACTGAAGCCAGTGTACAATACACAACTCTAACACCTGAAACATATACTCCTACTACAAAACATATCACAGGGGAAATGGAAACTAGTGTACAATACACAAGTGGAACACCTGAAACTTATGCACCTACTACAAAACATGTCACAAGGGAAACTGAAGCCAGTGTACAATACACAACTCTAACACCTGAAACATATACTCCTACTACAAAACATATCACAGGGGAAATGGAAACTAGTGTACAATACACAAGTGGAACACCTGAAACTTATGCACCTACTACAAAACATGTCACAAGGGAAACTGAAACCAGTGTAGAATACACAACTGGAACCGTAGAGACATATGCTCCTACTACAAGTCATGTCACAGGGGAAGCTGGAGCCAGCATTCAGTACCCAACTGGAACAAGTGAATCATATGGTCCTACTGCAAAGCATGTTACAAGAGAAACTGAAGCCAGTGTACAGTACACTAGTCCAACACCTGAAACATATGCTGCTACTACAAAACTTATGACAAGGGAAACAGGAGCTGGTATACAATACTCAGCTGGAACACCTGAGACATATACTCCTACTACCAGGTATATCACTGGGGAAGCTGGAGCCAGTGTTCAATACACAACTGGAACAAGTGAAACATATGCTCCTACTACAAAACATATCACAGGGGAAATGGAAGCTAGTGTACAATACACAAGTGGAACACCTGAAACTTATGCGCCTACTACAAAGCATGTCACAAGGGAAACTGAAGCCAGTGTACAATACTCAGCTGGAACACCAGAAATATATACCTTTACTACAGAACAAGCTATTGTAAAATCTGAACCATCTTACAGATACACAACTGCTTATCCAGCAGAATTGCCTAGCGGCTTATTCCCTGGTGGAAAATATTTTACAAGTGAATCTGAAACACCATATATATCCACAACTGAAACTGTGGTTGAAGCAGTTGAAAATTATACTTCAAGTACAAGGCATATAGCATCGGAAACCGAGTCACTTTATGGTTACACATCTGAAAGTTTAACTGTAGGATATACTTCTGCTCCACAGCATACTACAATTTCTAGAGCGGAGGAATCAACAGCACATATTCGTGAATCAAGTAAAATTCCTGGCGTTTTTACTGAATCTGCAGAGCAGGCCACAAGTCCAACATCTGTCGGCAGTATTGCTACAGTTTCTGCATTGATGAAAAGTACTGATATTTCCTTGTTAGAGACAGCAGCCGAACCAAAAACAACCTTAGTGGTGGACCAAAATATGACAGAACAGAGTGAACCATTTAGTGTTAGGCCATTAGAGACCTGTACATCTGAGCTGGACTGCACTTATGATGCAACATGTATTCACAATTATTGTTTAAATCCTTGTAATGTTTATAAACCTTGTTCTGTGGGTGTGAGATGTGTAGTTAGATCACATAGGCCTGTCTGTCTGTGCACTAAATCTGAGAACCTGACTGCTGCCTCTGTTGAATGTAGAACACTCCCAGGTAAACGCAAAACCCATCCCCCATTGAAAGAAAAACAATACAATGAAACACAATTCACTTGGGAGATATAAGAAACAGCTACCCTACTTTGCACTTGCAATATCTATCTGGCTATTCTCCCTTAAACAAGTACTGCTTCACCAAAATGTTACAGGAATAAGCAATCCTTTTGCAGAATTGATCACATATTTCTCTTTATTAAACTTGGTGGATGATATGCATTCAATTTATATAATATTCTCAGTGGAATGCTAATATTGTTCTGTAATATGTTGAAATATTTAAAAAATGGATTTTATATTAAAAATTACTATCTTGTGAAATGTAATGCCATATAATGTGGCATAAGTTTCCTTGTGCTATAGAGGAAACGTCTTTAAATTTGTAGAAGATTGCACAATGTCACTTCCAAGAAGATTGTACTTTCTATAGTCACTTCTGTGAGACCCTCAAAACTCATATGAAAATATTCTTGCCTTGGCCATCATTGTGATAACTTTTGCCTCTAGTTATCAAAGTAATTTAATAATCTGTGGTAATTCGTTCCTTTTGATTAATTGTATATTAATAACAAGGAGGATAAACATAAATATGGTACTGTTATTTAGTTAATGTAAGTTATGGTAACAAAATGGAAACTGAAAATTATAACAACTTCAGAGTCAGCATAAATCATTGTACTAACTAGTAAGAGTTCAAGGCTCTGTAAGGTATATGGAGTATAGTACAAAATTATTTCTCTCTGGCAAAACATTTCAGCTGTTTACTGAATTAAAGTACTTTGAACTCTCTTTAGACAGAGTGTTTATTTGGAAGAAGTAGCTGGATAAGATAGTGAGAAAAACCTACAGAGCTTTCTGGACCTGTAGAGGTACATTCAGGAAAATGTGAAGCCTGAGACCAAAGTTTCTACACTGGATATATAAGCATAGTTCTGAGCAATGGCAAAACTCAAAACCAGCATAACTGAACTTAGCAAATCGCAAACACTGGCCTGATGTACTTGAGATCCTCTTTGGACTGACTTCACTGTGTCTGAAGTTGAAAGCTGAGGCTGAATTGGGGATATACAGGTGCTGTTACAGTTCACAGTGGAAGCCAAAAACTGAAAGGTATTGGTGTGCTTATATGCCTTGGGTTAAGAAGAAAGATCCTGTTCTACAGATGGGGACTAAAAACTGACGGTGAGGCATATATACATTAACCCATTTCCAGTCAGTTTTTCTGTAGAAGTGAATAGGAAGGTGGGTTCGTGTCCAATATGAATGGAGGAACAGTCTGGTATATGGGTGGTTCAAAAACAAATGAAGGCACTGGAGAGGCTTGTATGGATAAGGCACAAGGAGTGAGCTCAGCTTCAGCCTTGGGAAATACACTACAGCATTCCAGGCTGAAGTATGTGCTATTAAAACATGTGCAGCACAATGTAAATGAGGGGCTACAGCAGTATATTCTGTATATTCTGTTAGTTGATACACAGTGATGGAAACACTTGACGTCATTTCTAAATTTGTCTGGGACTGCCACCAGTCTCTTGTGAAACTGGCTAAATATGATTTGCGTTGAACTGATATGGGTGTTGGGAGCAGCTCTAATGTAATGGAAGCAGAGATAATGAAATTCTTATTTTTGGTACTGAAAGTAAATCAGATGGTTCAAAAACCTGCATTAATTTAATGTGTGAAATTGAAACAGGATATAGAACGTGAAACAAAGGTTTACTGTTGGATTTGAGATTCTCACATTGGTGACTAGGCAGAGGACATCTTCTGAGTTGTAATGGAGTGTAGAGACTCTTCTTTTTGGAAATATTATGTTAGTTGTTTGGTAGATTTATCAAAACATACAGTGGTTATTCATTCTACTGTATGTATAGTCTTCTTTGCTTCATCATGCTTCATGTATTTGTTTCCAAGGTATTTAAAATTCGCTATGCCAGTCAAAATTTGTTGCAGTGTACCGGCTTTCCATGGCCAGTTTTTATACTTGTTATTATACAGGTATAAAAATAATTCTCTAACTCGTTTTAAATCGTATTTAATTGCATTCTCATACCATACTAAGTACTGAATTGAATGTATAGGGACATTCTTTAAGCTACCAAAAGTAGCAAATCACTTAACCACTGAAAAGTCTGAGCATTCTTAAAATAGAAAAATTACAACTGTGCACACTGGTACAGGTGTACCAGCAGCATAGTGTTTGAGCTCTGGTGTTGACGGTAATCATTGTAACATGCATAGTATATGAAGAAAATTTTTAATTATCTACACAGTAAGCGCTTTGACCATCTTTACATGTGTCAGCCTATATCCTAATAATATCGTGTCAATAGAATTTTAATATTAATTATTCTGTGTTTGTTGAATTTTTGTTTAGGAAGAAAACATCAGTAAGAGGTGTTTTATATTGCTCCCTGAAACATCACTCAGCTCCTGCCATGTAGAGTATGTAGCCAAAAATCACAGAGTGGGGCTTAGCAGTCCTGACTTGACACAGGCCTAGCATTAGATTATAAGAATGTTTTCTAGTGGGAGTCTGTAAAGGGTTAAGGAAAATCATTTTTTTTTTAATTCTAGTGGGGTGGGACTAAGTCCCTTGTACTGCAGCCACTTCTGGCCTATTGTACCAACCCCAGATGATAGGTGAGGGTGATTGTGGAGCAATTGGTGGAATGAAGATTGGCAGGGGAAACTGAAGTACTCGGAGAAAACCTGCCCCAGCGCCACTTTGTCCACCACAAATCCCACTTGACCAGACCCGGGATCGAACCCGGGCTGCCGCGGTGGGAAGCCAGCGACTAACCGCTTGAGCTATGGCGTGGCCAATGAAAATCAGTTAATATTACATTAAAAAAAGTAAAAACAGTATTTCATCTGGAATTTCTTAATATATGAGTCTCAAAGAAGACACATGCCTCTTACCTTTTCTTTATTACTGTATAGTGATATATTACAGTACAATACAATTGCTGTAACATATGAGACTGAAATAGGCTGTATGGATGTTCGAGTATTCCACATGTCTTTAATAGAGGATACCTTTGTATGTTAGAATAGTTCAAAAGGATTGCTTGAGGATTTATTCTTATACCTCTAAACTGTAGTGCAAGTATATTAGCCATGAATGCAAGGCAGCTGTGCACGGGGTTTATTATGCAGAAGGAAGAACACTGGAATCTAGTTTGTGTTGCATGAGGACACATCAACCATTCAGTTGCCAGTATATTGTCTTGTCTCTTTTCAAATATACATTTTACTGAAGACTTAACTTCACTTTCTTTCCCTACATTAGCCAGTTTTGAAACACCTGAATTTAAATGTAAACTCTTTATGTGTGCGTGTACAGAGAAGATCTGTTGAGGTGTTGTTTTCAAACCTGAAAAGCTCCATTTTTTCTGGCATGTTTAGATATTTTGTATAATGTAAATCATTTTGTATGATCAAGTCTTTTCTATACCTGGAGTGGTCCAGACTCATGGAAATAAATACGTTTTGCTTGGACGAGAATGAGTATGTATCATACTAAGTAGCATTTTTCATCTTCATGTTTTGACAGCTTGTGAACACCTGCTACATGAATATTACATTTGGATTGTGGATGTATGGAATGGTGGTGGCAGTTTTGGTGATTGTATATATAGATAGGCTCTTAATCAATACCAAATGAATATCACTTACAGACAACACTGGTTTTGGTGGTGATGGTTACTTGTTAATTATATGTAGCACAATTTTCTTTACAGGTTGCCAACAACTAATATACTGATATTATTGTATTTGAGTAATTTATCAATAGCTTATTGCAATTAATGGTGTAGAATGCTTATGTTTTATTTCAGCTTTGTTTGCTTTCTGTTTTACTGGATGGGTACTTTGAATAAAATGAACTCTGATTATAAGTAACTAGACATAAAACAGACTTAATGAAGTCTTCTCAGGCAATCAGCTGTATTAATATGGAGTTAGTGTCTCATGTATCAGAGACTCTGTCTCTGTCATCAGGGATTAGTCATTCAGTCATCAGAACTCATGTTCCTTGTCATAAGGAAGGATCATTGACAAGTAACACAGATTCTGACGACTGACTGACTGACTTTGCCCACTGCTCCCCATGTGGTCTGCACTGGAACAGCATGTTACTGCTATCTTGACCCCATCCACTGTTCCACATCCAATCCAGGTTGGGGTAGCCAGTAGCTTCCTTTGTGTGTAAATATAGCATTCAGTACAACATTCATTACATCAAACCATGAGGATAGAGACAGAGTTAGCCTCTGAAACATTGGGCACCAACTGTACATTGACATGACTGATCTCCCAAGAAGACTTAATTGTATACTGTTACCATGAAAACGAATAAAACAAATTGTTTCATCATGTAATTAATTTCAGCTGTGTTTAAGTAATTATATTTTCACACAGAAAGTTAATTATGTACAACATAGTACTGTTTTAAGTATATCTGTTTAGAATGAATCATGTTATTATTACATTATTTCTATGGCTGTGCCATAGGTCAGGTGGTTAGCCACCAGCTTCTCACTTTGGTGGTTCTGATTGAATCCCAGGCTAGTTCATGTGGGATATGTGGTGGACAAAGTGTCACTGGAGCAGTTTTCTTCCAAGTACATCAGTTTCTCCTATCAATTCTTATTCCACAAAATAGTCCATTTCTTTCATCTATTATCCGGTGGGTGGTAAAGCGGTCATTTATGGCCTAAATATTAAGGGACTCACACTTTCCTCACCCTCAGAATAAAAGGTGTGGTATTTATATAACAGAAGCTCAAGTTTAAGCATTTAACTGTTCTATATCTGAGTTTCAGTGTAATAATGATTTCCTATCAACAGTTATCAGCTGTTTGGATCACTCTGAGTGTCCTGCACAACAGGCCTGTATTGGAGAGAAATGTCTGAACCCTTGCAGTGTTGCAAATCCTTGTCATTCACAGCAAGAATGCCAGGTGCAAGAACACCAGCCAGTGTGTATTAAAGGTTAGCATAGGATTAAAATTGCATATCCAGCGTAAATTGTAAGTTCTTTATAGGTAAAAGCTGAAAAGTAATTCATTTGAAGCATAAAAATTTGGAATTGAAAAAAAAATAGGTATAGAATTCTCGATGTTATACATTATTCATTATGTGTGTAACTACTGTAATTATCAGTTTCTCCTTTAGCCATGTGCTTTATCTCATTATTTAATACGTTTTATATTGATTCAGGATACAGGTAATCTTCAGTTCACATCAAGGATTCATTTCCAAAAATGGTGGTATACTGGTACCTTGTAATGATATAAATGAGAAATCAATCACTCTCTTTTCTGGTGCTCCATTATGTCATAGAAATGGTATGTGTATATCAAATAGGTATTATGTTAAAATTAATTTTTCCTCATAATGTTATATTTCTGCATCCTGCTGCACTGTGTAGATCTGACTTAGGGGTTTATGTGCCATCTAAATGCAACATCATTTGTTGTTCCTTTCTTAGACACTATTTCACTACATGTTTTGGCCTGAATGGCCATCTTCTGGTGTACAGGTTGTAGTTCAGAACTCTACTGCTTACTGTAATGCGCTTTTCTTTCCCTTTGTTATTTTTGGTTATGTGAGATGCATGTGGTTGCTTTTGAATTTGTTCATTTTGCTGGTCGTAGCTCCCTTGAATGTTCTTGTTGGGACAGGAGAGCAGAAAGAACACTCAAGGCAGCCACATCCAGTAAACTGTACAAAATCAAAAGCAGCTACATGCATCTTACATAACCAAAATTAACAAGAGGCAGTAACAACAAGAGGAAAGAAAACCACATTACAATGAGCAGCAGAATCCTGAATTACAACAACCTGTGTACCTGAAGATGGCCATTTGGGCAGAAACATGTAGTGAAATATTGTCTAATGAAGAAACAATGAAGAGCATTGCACTTAGATGACACAGAAACCCATAATTCAGAATTTCTTCTCTCTTATATGATGATGTTTCAGCAAAACAACACAAATTGGGGTGTGTGAAAGTAGAAGAATATATATATATATATATATAGTGTGTGTGTGTGTGTGTGTGTGTGTATAAAAGAAAAATGTATGTTTGTGACATTGTTTTCTGGATTCCAGTTTGTCAGTGTCAGAGACATGGGGACTGTAGAACTGGACACATTTGTGATGGTTGCAACTGTGTACCAAAAGGCAAGTAATACAAACAAAACAAACAGTTTTATTTTCATGTTCTCAAATTGTACTCCTTTGATGTTGTTAGATGCCTCTGGTTTCCTGATATAGCTGATTGAGAACAGTATGTTTATTTGGTATTTGAGAAGGGGAAGGCTCATGTTGAAGTAAGAATCATCAGAAGCATTGCAGAAACTAACATCACTTATTTCATCCTGTATGAAGATTTTCTTCATGAGATGTTGATATTACAGTCAGCCTGTCACCACAGTTTTCTGTTTGACTACCCAAATGAAGCTTCACATTATTACTGTGTAGTAATGGTAGAAATGTAACATAGAGTTGAAGCAGATGTGCCACAGTCTTATATCCAACATTCTTTTAGTGCTGTAGGCCTTTTAAAATCTTTGTAATTGAGAACTTCAAGGGGCACATGGTAGCGCAGTTGGTTGAGGGGATATGCTACAAGCCGGAAGGTCATGGGTTCAAGTCCCGATGAGGTCACTGGATTTTTTCAATTGACTTAATCCTTCCAGCCACACTATGGCCCTGGGGTTGACTCATCGTCTAACAGAAATGAGTACAAGGAATTAATTAAATAATTTTCCTGGGGAGTAAAGTGCGGCCGGTACATAAGGCTGACAACCTTCCGCCATCTTTGAGCCGGTTGCCTAGATAGTGTGGGACCCTCAACATCTCACAACCCTATGGACCTTCACGGCCTGTTACAGGGATAGCTTTACTTTATTTTACATGGACCTTCTCCTCAGCACACGTAGTCCAGTTTACATACTTTTGTCCATTTCTTCAAGCTTCATTTTAGTATTATCATCCTATCTATATCCAAATCATATGGGTGGTCTCTTCCCGTGAGATTCTTTTTGCAAATATTTTGCATACAGATCTTTCTCCATGCATGCTACATGTTCCAACTATCTGATCCTTTTTGATTTAATCACTTTAATATTTCATTTTTTACAACAGTTGCACCAGCAGGCTGTGAGCATTGCCCTCCTGGTTATCAGTGCAATCCAATCTCTGGAGCATGCATCAAAGGTAGGATGAGCATTAGCTCCTCAACTGTTACTTTTTCTGTAGAAAAAGTAGGGAAAAATAGTACAAAAATAAACAAGTGGTGTGTTGCTGTTTTGTTTTGATCAGCTGGTAGCAGCCATACATACTAGTGAATAACGTGAACTAACTCTTTCACACTTAGTGTTTCATTATTAAGGAAATGTGAAGTATGCTTTTACTGACTAACTGGATTCGCATCATCACGGGCAGCAAGAAGATGTTATTGAAGGTGAAGGTCTCATGGAGATCAGCTCAGCTTCCCTGGAAACTAACAACTGGCTCCGCAGTGCAACGCTTGGAACATCTTTTCCCCTTATAGTTCTTGTGTTGGCTGTCACATATACATTCTAAATTCCTGCATATCTAAAATCGTTTTCTTATCAGAGAATAACTCCTTTGCTCAACTTTTTTTTTCTAACTGTCCTTAGCCAAAATTTTGGTAAATTTGCGTTGTCTCTGATTTTAAATTGTGCTTCTTTCTTTTTACTAACTTTCTTGTACAGAATAGTTCAACACACAAATTTGATATGAGGACAACATTTATTTCTAATCTACATAAAACTACAAAGTATTCATTGTTTCTTGTGTCTCTCTTATAAACAGTAAAAATCAAAATAGCAACACATCTTTTCTTTTGTTCATCTTTCTAATGTCATATATAGATCTTGGGATTTAGTTTTCTGTCAACTGTCATTCAGTCTCTGTTTTGCAATATATATCTTCTGCTGTGTATAATTAGAAAGTATAGGTGCAATTATATGTTGAATTTAAAGCAGCATGCTGGCATGTTCACTCTCAGTGCAAGTATACATTTCGTGGAAATGTTTATATGAATATTAGCAATTATTTGGCACAGTTATAATCATGGAGGAAGTGAAATGAAGCATTAAACATTAACTTCAGTCTTATAGAGATTGAATATAGGCTGAAGTTGATTTCAGCTGAACCAAAACAATTTTTAGTACAAAGTTGCATGTACTATAGCACCTTATATTCTGTGTCCATGCTTATATTCATATAATAAAACTTGTATAATACTGCAGTCCTTTTAGACTACCTTTATTTTTTTGTATGATATTATTTGTAAATAAATTAATATTGTTATGTCTGTTTCAATTTATCAGTGGTTAATTATGTTAGAATTGCATGTATGTAAATTTGTATTGTTTGGAAAAGCGTGCAAATTTGAATATACATCAGCACAGTGTTGTTTGAGGTAAGACACACAGATTACTAACAGTGCTTTTGAATGTGGTAATTAGTGCTTATCACAGTTTGCTTATATGCTTTGCTTCTTATAGCTTCTGATGGTGGATTAGTTTTGTTTTCATTGTACACACTTATTTCTTAGTTGGTGAAGTATTAGTAAGCACTTACTTTGATCTGGGCTTAATTTCTAGGAAAATATGACTGTATTAATTTCACACTAGGATTCTGGTATTTGGTTTCAGTAAGTACACGTACAAGTTCATAAGTGCATAAATAATGATTGTTCTGAAGAGTAAATGCTTCTACATAGAAATCTGGATTGTCCAGTATGTATTACATAAGTTTGAAATATGTACAGTATGCAGTTCATCATCTGTTCCCATGAAATCCAGCCCTGATCTTACCATATATTTTCTTCTTGTATTGTGTATATATATATATATTTAAGTCAGCACATAAATATATTTGGGCTTATTTCAGTAGATGGGACAAAAATAATTTTCTACTAGTATTAGTAACAGTCTTAGGCACTTCTGTCCTAGTTTTTCTTAGTTTTTCCATTTGATTTAAATGTGTATATAAACATGATTTGAATAATCATTGTTCCTTGGTGAATTCTATCTAGTAGATATTTATACCACTCTCATTGCACTTCACTTAAACTAACAGTATTATTTGTTATTTCTCTTTTTATCCCTCACTTTAATAGTCACAGAAGCGACAGAAACGGTTACCAAAATGACACCCACAGTACCAGAATTGACAATTACAGAAAGCACGCCATTAGAAACGGGACCAACCCTAACAAGCCATATTACACAGACAGAGACACAGACAGCAGAAACAGAGTACACAGGCACTGAGCAAATTGTGACTATAACACAGACATCTGTGGGAGGTAAGGAGAGTCCCACAACTCTTGAGGAGCAGAGTCCACCTTACTCACAAACAACACAGTTTCCAGAAGAGACATCTCCAGTAGTGCCTGGAATAGGAACTGGCAGAACACCAGCAGAAACACCAACAACATTACTGCCTAAAAGCTTTACTGTACCACAGAAAGTGGAGAGCATAGTCACAACTATGGAAATATTCACCACACACTTCAATGCAACTACATTACCTGCCTCTACTTCACCAGAAACTTTAAGCCCAAAGCAGGTTACTACAACTACATTTACCACTATAGCTACTACAAAGAAGTCTCCAGAGGTTACATATAGACAAAATGGAGTACATACAGTTCCAGCAACTTCTTCCTCAACAGGGACACAAACAGAACAATCTGCAACTGTAACAGAATCAGGCATTGTAACTTACATAACAGAACCAATTGCACCTTCCTCAAAAATACCATCAGTCTCTTTAACTCTGTTGCCAAACATTTCCTTAACAACAAAAGTTGAACAGATTACTGAACCTAGATATACATACAGCTCAGAATTAACAACACCATCTTCCATGATGACCACTGTACCAGAACTTTCTATAGAAGTTACAGTACCAGAAGAGCCTACAGTACTACCTCCAGAAGCAACAACTGTCACTGGGTCTTCATCTACAGAAGGTGTACATAGCACAAAAATCCTCACAGTGAGGCCTATAACAACAGCCAGATCCAGTTCATTATATCCAACAATAGTTTCACCAGCTACAGAAAGTCCAGCTACTAGAACTGAAATGTCTATAACAACCGAACCATTGAAATCCCCTACTGGATCATCACTTGGAACTGAATTTGCAACTTTACCAACAATGTCACAATCAACAGAGATTGAAGAACTTGCCACAACAGTTACTGAAAAGCCAATGTCAACCGTTCCCAGTGGTGTATCTGAACAACTTACATCTGGAATGACAACAGTTAGTTCAGAGATTGGTACGTCTGAATCATCAGCAACTCCTCAGACTTTGACACCTGGAATAACTCAGTTGAATACAACTACTGAAATCTCTCATACAGAAAGCATAATAACGGGATTTCCAACAGAAACAGCACCTACTACAGCTCCTACAACCAGTCAAGCTGTTGATAGAGGTAAGCCTACGCTGGTCTCAGAAACAAGGGCAAGTCAACCAGAAACTGAAGCCCCAGTGACCACTACTGAAAGAATTTATGTGTTCCAAACAACACAAACTCTGAAAGAGCCAGAAACACAGAGTCCTAGTGTTCTTCTAACACAGACACCAGAAATTTCTACCAGGAGTTCTGCTGGGATAGAAGTCTCAGAAACAGAAGTGACAACAACAGAAAGAACAACAGCAAGAGAAGGAAGAACAGGAACTTTAGTCATCACCACTCTTCCACCTCAAAGAGAGGCCAGTGCCTTTACTGTGAATACTACTGAGACTCAACCTGGCATTGAAACAACAACTTTTATGTCAACATCAGTATCAGGTAATGGCACAACTGAGTATGGTGTAACTGTAGGAGTGACAGAAATGTCCAGAACTGAAGCTGGTGTTACTGAAAGAGTGACTAATGAGACACCTCATGTGCAAGTAGTAGAAATTTCAGGTACAACAGTATTAATTACTGGTGTGACAGAAGTATCAACTGAAAGAAAAACTACAGAGAGGCCAACAGGAACAACAATTGAAACATTAACAGAAATTCCAACAAAAGGTGCAACAGGAATATCTACAGAGAGACCAGTAGAAATACATACTGAAAGAGTAACAGTAGTTCATACAGAACGTCCATCTGGAATGTCTACAGAAATCCCAACAGTAGGTTCAACAGAAATACCTACAAAAAGGCCAGCAGAAGTATCAACTGAAAGAACAACACAAATTTCTACTGAAAGGCCAACAGAAAGGACAACAGAAGTGTTTACAGAAAGAACAGCACAAATTTCTACTGAAGGGCCAACAGAAAGGATAACAGAAGTGTCTACAGAAAGAACAACAGAAATTCCTACAGAGAGAACATCACAGATACTTACAGTGAGACCGGTAGAAATTTCAACAAAAGGACCAACAGAAATACGTACAGAAAGGTCCACAGGAATACCCACAGAAAGACCAACAGGACTGCCTACTGAAATATTAACAGAACTTCCAACAGAAGGTCCAACAGGAAGTCCAACTGAAGCATTAACAGAAATTCCCATGGAAGGTGCAACAGGAATATCAACAGAAATGCCTACAGAAAGAACATCACAGATACTTACAGTGAGACCAATAGAAATTTCAACAAAAGGGCCAATAGAATTGCGTACAGAAAGATCCACAGGAATACCTACAGAAAGACCAACAGGGCTGTCTACTGAAATATTAACAGAAGTTCCCATGGAAGGTGCAACAGGAATATCAACAGAAATATCTACTAAAAGAACAACAGAAATGCCTACAGGGAGAACATCACAGATACTTACAGTGAGACCAGTAGTAGAAATTTCAACAAAATGGCCAATAGAATTGCGTACAGAAAGGTCCACAGGAATACCCACAGAAAGACCAACAGAGCTGTCTACGGAAATATTAACAGAAATTCCCATGGAAGGTGCAACAGAAATATCAACAGAAATGCCTACAGGGAGAACATCACAGATACTTACAGTGAGACCAGTAGTAGAAATTTCAACAAAATGGCCAATAGAATTGCGTACAGAAAGGTCCACAGGAATACCCACAGAAAGACCAACAGAGCTGTCTACGGAAATATTAACAGAAATTCCCATGGAAGGTGCAACAGAAATATCTACTAAAAGAACAACAGAAATGCCTACAGGGAGAACATCACAGATACTTACAGTGAGACCAGTAGTAGAAATTTCAACAAAATGGCCAATAGAATTGCGTACAGAAAGGTCCACAGGAATACCCACAGAAAGACCAACAGGCCTGTATACTGAATTATTAACAGAACTTCCAACAGAAGGTCTAACAGGAATTCCAACTGAAGCATTAACAGAAATTCCCACAGAAGGTGCAACAGGAATATCTACAGAAAGACCACCAGAAATGTCTACTGAAAGAGTAACAGAAATTCCTACAGAACATCCATTGGGAATATCTTCAGAAATACCAACAATAGGGCCAACAGAAATCTCTACTGAAAATACAACAGAAATTCCTGCTGAAGGGCCAACAGAAAGGCCAACTGAAATACCTACAGAAAGAACATCACAGATACTTACAGTAAGACCAATAGAAATTCCAACAGAAGGGCTAACAGAAATACCTACAGAAAGGTCCACAGGAATACCTACAGAAAAACCAACACGACTGCCTACTGAAATATTAACACAAATTCCAACAGAAAGCCCAATAGTAAGACCTACTGAAAGATTAACAGAAGTTCCCACAGAAGGTGCAACAGAAATTTCTACAGAAAAGCTAACAGAAATCCCAACCATACAGCCAACAGAAATAACTGCTGAAGGACCAACAGGAATACCTACAGAAAGAACATCACGGATACTTTCTGAAGCACAAATTCCAACAAAAAGGCCAACAGAAATACCTACAGAAGGAGCAACAGTGATATCTACAGAAAGAATAACAGGAATGCCTACAGAAAGATCAACAGAAATTCTGACAGAAGGACTAACAGAAATAACTACAGTAGGGCTGACTAAGATAATGACAAGATTGACTGAAACAGAGGCTCCTGTTCAACCTGAGAAATATGCAACCACAACCGAAGGGCCAACAGAGATAACTGCTGAGCAAGGCGGAATTTATACTGTAGGTTCAACTCTTATGTCTTCAACAGAAATGCAATTAATAACAGGAACTCCTGAAGAAGTTATAACAGTGACAGGAATCCAAACAGAGTTACCTTCTGAAGAAAAGACAAAGGTACCATCCACAGTAGGAACAACAGAATCACTAACAGTATACCCCACACAAGGAGAAACAGAACTGCCAATACTTTCAACTACAAAGATTTCAGAACTGTTACCTACAACTGGTACAACTGAAAGTCCAGCAGTATCACATACAGAAGGAACAGCAGAAGTGTCAACAACAACAATATTTGAAGGAACAACTGAAGTTCTAATGCAAACTTCCTTTACTGCTAAAACTCCAATAGGAAGAACTGTGGAACCAGTTACAGAGACATTTCCTGCCACAACGCTGGGACAGATTACTCACACAGACATTACAGTTACAACAGTTAGCCCTAGCACAATCATTTTTCATCCCACCACCAAACTGACTAATAGGACATGTGTTGCTGATGCCGATTGCCCCCCCTCTGAAGCCTGTAGGTGCAGTCAATGTGTGAACCCTTGTGCAGAGAGCAACAATGGTTGCGCACACAATGCCTTGTGTACAGTCTTGAACCACATCATAGTTTGCACATGTCCACCCGGACAATTTGGGGATGCCACCAAGGATTGCCAAGGTATATTTCACTATACACAAAAACTTTTTCACAAAAACGTTTGGTCTACAGTCAGATGATCCAGTAAATGTTTGTATATACCCTAAATATATTAGTACTTCTTCTCTTGACTGTACCTGTCAAACATACATATTTCTTTGTAGAATGTTGTAAAATATATGTACAGACACCATAGTAACATATTTTACAAATTACTTAAATGAAATAGTACCTGTCTTTTCTACTTTAAACAGTTAATTTGCTTCAAAATTGTACAGTATATACTCAAACTATAGAAAGTAGTATGATTTGTACAGTGTTCATATTGTTTTGTACAGTAACATGAGCTAATTTAGCAAAGGTAGTTCTAACTTGACTATTCTTCTAAGCAGTTTGTTGCAGTCTAATATGCAGAAGCCTTTACAAAGAACTTGGTAACTTGAAGTAAATCATAACTAATATTATGTCTAGGGAATCCCACTGCTTTCTGTTCCTCAAATGTGGTTACAGTGATGAGATTTTTTTTTCTGAGTGGGTTTAGTTTGAAATGAAGACATGATAATGAAAACAAAATTAATATGATTTATGTAGTCTATATTCATGTTATGGTAATACAGTTTTATATTTAAAACACTGACTGCTTAATACTGGTCCTTTTCATACTCAACTTAATGCTATACAGAAATAAGGATTCTTTCTGTTGTTGTTTCATATGTTGTAATAATATATTTAATCACTTCTGGGAGATCAACTTTTGAAGCATACCCTTTTTGGTACCGTGTATTGAAGTATGAGGAACTGGTGAACATGAAGTTAGATAATGGACTCTTATCCATAGTGTTCTGGGTTTGATCCTCCTCATACCTTTGTGTAAATGCGTTTTTACTCACAGATTGAAATATGTACCTCTACCAAAAATAAAACTTGGGAATGGGAAGAATATGAGGTCCCACCCCATAAATCAAATCCCATGGTAAGCTGTAGAGTTCCTCTGTCAACCTCACTGTCATGAACACTGTAAACAGGGGGGGGGGGAACAATTTTCTCTGTTCATGTTCATTTATTTCTGTGGGTGACACCACCTTATAAATAGGTTCTCTGCTTGTTTATAGGTAGGCAGATACCAGGAAGTTCAACACAGACCATATCTAAGGGCACTAGATGAACAACAATAACAGGATGTGTTGAAATTTCAAGTTACCAAGTATAATACATGCTATGCATATACATATAACAAGGCATAATCTTTAATAAGGCATAATTCCTTTGTATGTATAACAGTCAGTAAATGCTCTTACACCATGCATCAGATGTTTCAGTTATTTGTCTACATTTTTCAGTTCTTTCATATGACTTAGTTGGTTCACATCTGTTATCACGGGTGATACTAAGACTGCAGTATATTCTGCCTGGTGTTTCTATAATCTATTACATGATTACAGTATGCTTCTTTCTCAAAACTTAATGCAACTCAATGACTATTAACCTTAATTTTCACTAATGAGGAATTGTAGATGGTTCTCAGACTTTAATTGTGAGTACATATACCATTTCTGTTATCTCTTCTGACTGAGCACCATGGTTGAGTGGTTAACACTGCCTTCCAGGAGGCTGGCTTTCTGGGCTAAAATTTTTCATGATTTTTCATAATAACTTCACACAAATGTAGTAGTGCATAAATACAGGGCAAGATCACTTTTTCTCACAGCCTTTCCAATTTATCATTCACAAATCACCCTACCACAGGTTGCTGCTTAACCTATAAAAAGAACATACATCAATAAACAAAAAATCGGTGAACCTTCTTCCAGATTTCATCATGTAATATTTTCTTTCATGCAGAGTTTATTTTAATGCCATATTCTTATATTATCTCTGCTATTTCATATGTTCTTTAATTTCTTTCTTTATCAGCACTAGATAGTCTGAGCTACTGGCAACATAAATAAATAAATTATAAATAATTAAAAACAAATAAAATTTTCCTCTTTGTCCACATCTTTCTTATGGTATCTATTTTCACACCATTCTAGCCTTTTGTGCATAACTGTTTTAATTTTTTCACCACAGTTTCCAGCTAGTTTATTGTCTTCCTTTAAAAATCTTATTTTATTTAGTTTTTTTATCTCCGTCTCCCTTAATTTATCTCTGTAACTTTCAGATTCTACTACTAACATTTCTGTAATGGATTATTACATATTCATCAGTCATAATACTTTCTGTAATATAAACAGTTTTTGTGTGTGATTACAGGCATAATATATTGAAATTTCATTTCTTAAATTTTCTTCATTTTGAATACCAAGTATCATTACAGTGTTGCAAAAGTGACAGCTGGCAATTGTTCACTAAAGGCCAGAGATGAGTGTTATCAGCATTTTTTATTATTCTGGAACATCTATTGCACTGGACAATACTGGTGTGGATTTAACAATCGGTTAGGTATGAGTTTAACTGATGTGTAACCATACTCATTTATTGATGCCTGTCATGTAGAAACCCCAGGAACAACTAAGGCTCCAGTTCCATGTGAATCAGACATGGATTGTGTTGATACAGAAGCATGTTACAAGTCATTCTGCCTGGACCCATGCGAGTTCACTAATGCCTGTGCCTCAACAGCTAAATGCCACACCAAGGCTCACAGACCCATATGCACTTGCCCTTCAGGATATGAGGGCAACCCTGCAGTAAAATGCTCCCCAACTCAACCATGTAAGATAATGTGAATAATTCATGTACTGATGCTGTTGTCAGAATAGCAGTTTAACTGAACTTTGTACATTTGTTTCTTTCATTACAAGCAGAATGTTTAATTGTGCTTATTTATCATGGAGGATCTTTGGTTAGATGTACATTTCTAAAAATCAAATCAAATAAGGAACAAAGACATGATTAAAATATATGTGAATAATAATTGTACATGATAGTAGTCACTTAGGTGGTAAATGTAGTGGTTGCACTGTAGACTTGTATCTGGGAGGTGCTCTTTTGCAATCTTGGTTGGAACACTGGCTGTTCTGACTGTGGTTCTGTGTGGTTTTTCTCAGTTCCTCCAGAAAAATGTCAGGATAATGCTTCAGTTAGGTCATGACTGTTTCCTTTCAAGTCATCATCCATTAGTTGCTGTGTAGTCTGGATGCTGACAGAATCATAAAATAAACAACTCAGCAAGTAAAGTAGCCAGTTACATGTCTTGTGTCCCATAAAAATGACTCATTAGTTCTGTTTAACACATAAAGAGAGGATACTTTTATGAAAATCTGTCTTTTGAGACAAATATGTTCTGTAAGGAGGCAAACAAAGACACATATAGACAAGTACACATGGTAGAGTCAAGACGTTTGTGGGGCGTTTACTTCACGCTACCTTCATATACTTCCCTTCCATTTTCACCCATTTCTGCCAGCAGCCATAATAGTGCTACAAGCATTCCTGCTGGACTTTTTTTTTTGTGACGTGCATTAGTGCTGCCATCTTTCTCATCATCTTCTGACTGTATCCTGTGCCACTTCAGCAGGGCTTTCATTCTGGGGAATAGATACCAATAAGCAAAGCTACATTGGAGAATAGGGAGGTTATGGAAACAATGATACAGTTCTTATTATAAGAGAGAGCGTCCAATTTTCAAACTCCCAAAGCTAAGGTTATTTATGCTGAATATCTTCTTATAGAGTGTAAAACTGTACATGATTATGTTAATATTATACTTTTTTTTTTGGAATGAGCTTAAGGTGAATGATACACAGATATCAAAGAAAACCTTCAGTGTCACATTCCCCTTCGAGGTGTCCGTACAAAATATTTGCTTCCCAGGTGATGAGGTTGACTTTGTAGACTTCTTTCGTTATTTTACATTTGTGACAATGTACTGTCTAGTTAGCATATAACTAAATATTTGCTTAATACTCAAATTATGGTATCTTTGTGACTCAAGTTCTGATAAGAACAAAATTCACCAAATCAAACTTGGGTGCATTTAATGCTCTCTTCACACCGACCGAGTGCACATGCTTAGACATGAAGGCTCACACAAATACTGCATAATTTTGTGTGTGCACTGAAAGTTCACAAACTTTCTGACTCTACCGTGTCTGTGTGTGTGTGTGTGTATATATATATATATATAGTATTGTAACATGTTTACGTTACTGAAGACGCCGTAGAGATTGTTAATTGGTTTATTCAACAACCTACAAGTAATGGCTACAATTAATTATCACACAGTTGTGGGGTTTCACACTTTATAACCCTAATCGCAATAATCTGTTTACACTGTTGCGGGGTTTCACAATTTATAACCCTATTCGCAAATCAATTCACTCTGTCTTCAGTAGTCTACACGTTTACAGTATCACACACTCCCAATTACACAACTACACACACGTCCGGTACTTTTTTCCGTGACAGCTGTTATATTCCAACTCAACTCGTAGGCTGCTGCCTTGAGAACTGTTGATCACACACTTGCTCCTAGGCTTGCTCGGAACTAACTCGGAACTAACTCGGAACTGTGAATAGTCTTCGCTGCTCCGTATCTAGCCTCGTTCCATTGTTGTGTGGTGTCGTGTTGCTAGCAACGCTGTCCGGAGTTGTTTACTGCTGCCTAGCAACCGCGGTATTCCTTCGTTACGTCACCGTGCGGAGGGGGGGNGACTCGGCTAACTTCGGCTCCGCTCGGCGCGTCAGCTCCGGGGGGCTCCAGCTAGCGCGACACATCACACTGCTCCCTCCTTAAGGCTGTTCGTCCCAAATAGCCTAACGGTGCATCCCCGTTCCTTTGCTTTGGAGGCTGCTGTTGCAGCATCTGGTCTCCGGCCGTTACAACCGCTCCCTTCTTAAGACCAACTCATTTCGAGCGGTTTCCTTTCAGCTTGCCAGAAGATCCAGTTGTATCCCATTCATTCGTCTCACATTCAATCTTTCTCGGGAGGCCAGTTCTTTTACATTACCGGTTCCTCCGCTGCTTCAAGTCTCTTTTTTCCGTTTTGGAGGGGGTCGTCCCCTCCACAAGGTCCAATCCTTCATCATTTCTTTCTTCGGAGGTTCCTTATGTCAACGTAACAGCTCTTGATGCGTTGTTTGCACTCGCTGACATCGTCGATCCTCCTGGACTTCCCGCCACTTGCTGGTACAAGACCGTGGCGCCAAGTCCTTTCTCTGGTATCCGAAGGTTCCCTGGGGAGTTTCCTTCTTGGAGGCATTTCTCCAATGTCGTGCCACTGTCGCGTGATGGGATATCTTCCTGCAGATGGCAGCCAACTTCATCCGGGATTCATGATCTCCTCGGGTCCAAGATTTATCGAAGATGTTCCTCTGACGCCATGCCACTGTTGCACGACGGGACACTTTCCTGTGGACGATGGCCAATTTATTCTGGGGTCCGCAATTTTCCCGTGTTGGGTTCTTCATAATTCGTCGCTTTTGGTCCCTACGCCTTTTCTTCTTCGGTTCTCTGACCGGCATTACTTCAGTGTCTTCTATGGGTACCTCTCGTAACTCTGCCGCCTCAGGTTTCCTGTTCGCTGAGGCTGGCTCTTCTTCTTCTGGACGCGCCTTCATTTTTTGGCAGGCCATCATCTCATGGTGGCTGGCATTCACCCTTTTGATGGTGAGTGCGTAGTGTGGGGGCCTTAATGCATATGCCAGCGTTCACCCTTCTCCGCCGGCCATCGCTCGTTTCCCGACGGTTGGGTACCCTTCCTGTTCGTGTGTTTGTTGTGCCTTCTTGGCAATTCCTGTGTGTATCTGTCTGGCCTATCTTCATGTTCTCGGCGCATTTCATTATTAGCCTTCCTTTCGTAGGGGCAGTTATTCGCAAAGTGGCCCAGTTTTCCACAACTGCAGCACCCTGACTGTCTTCCGTCTCCTCGATGGGTGGGGGACGATCGGTACTTCCGGTATGTCTTGGTGCTACCTTCGTGAGGTCTAGCTGCTACCAGTACTGCTTGCAGCTCCAGTGCTTGTCGGAGGGCCTCGTTTACCTTCTTCTCCCCTCCCAGCAGTAGCTGAACCTTTATATCGGCATCTCGTATTCCATATACGAAGGCTGTTCCTGCCTCTCTTCCTATGTTGTCTGCCGTTGAGATTGTTAATTGGTTTATTTAACAACCTACAAGTAACGGCTACAATTAATTATCACACAGTTGCGGGGTTTCACACTTTATAACCCTAAGCGCATTAATCTGTCGACACTGTTGCGGGGTTTCACGACTTATAACCCTATGCGCAAATCAGTTCACTCTGTCTTCAGTAGTCTACACGTTTACAGTATCACACACTCCCAATTACACAACTACACACACGTCCGGTACTTCCTTCCATGACGGCTGTTATATTCCAACTCAACTCGTACGCTGCTGCCTTGAGAACTGTTGATCACACACTCGCTCGTAGGCTTGCTCGGAACTATCTCGGAACTGAACTCGGCGATGGCCACATTTCAACTAACTCGCAGGCAGCGCAGCTCTCTTATATAGTGGCTGTGTGTGCCTGTTACGTAGCAACACTGTTACCTCACGCTGTCTTATGTCACCGCGCGTTGACTTGCGTTGCATAGCTACCAGGTTTAGGTTTTCTCCAATGAAATAAGTAAGATAAATTATGCAGCTTAAATGCATAAAGTGTTACCAAGATTTCCTTATTTATTTTTAGGCCTTCTGTAATAAGATTTCCTCAAAATGAATCTTCAGTTATCATCTTAGTTTGCTTGCATATGTTACAGAGGCTGTACTTGCATAGCACAAACCCTTTCAAGCAGAATTCTGATTCCCAGTACTGAGTTAATATCTATAAATGTAAAATTCTTGCAAAACAGTACTGAATATTTACTGCCTTCAGTTCTCTTTCACCATGCGATTTCTTCAGACTGTTTACTTCTAAACTAAATGCTGCAATAGCACTAGGGACATATCAAAAAAGATATTTATTATTCAGAAGAAATTTGAATTAATGCTATGATCATTGGAAGAAATAAGTGCAGTAGCTACCTGCTTCATGTGAGTTTTTTCTCAGCTTATTATTTAACCCTTAAAATGGGGGCGACATGTTCCTCTGAATTTTGGGTTGATTTTCCACAGACTACATGGCTTTACATCTCAGAACTCAGATCTCATCATAACTTCCACTATGAGAACTTTGAATCATACAAGTACATAGATATTCTACTATTTTATTCTCAATGAGTTTCAACATCAAGTACATGCAGGGAATTGTAAATAATCTAATTTGTCTCTTGCTGTTTGCATTATTGTATGCTTTAATTTTTAATGAACTAGGAAGGAAACTTCAAAATATTACTACAACAAGAATAGCAGCAGTAATAATAGTTGTAATGTAATAATAACAACAATAATAACAGTAATACGAGTAGTAACAACTGTAGTAACAGTGATGTTGATAATAACAATAACAACAATAATAATGATAATGATAACAAAAAAGACAATGATGACAATGACGATGAAGACGACAACAACAACAGTAATGTACATAAGGAATAAACTACAAGAATTGTATATTGACATAAAGCATTTTATGTTTTCAGTAACTTACGAGTCCTTTGTCATTTGTAGCACTCTGAACAGTAGTGTATGGAAGGACCTGTAAATATTTACAGCACTTAGGTAGCTAGAAAGGATGTTGGTGTTGACTGCTTGTACAGCAGAGCTTGTGGAGAACTGTTGTTTCTTGTACATACCTATTCTGTCAGACTCCTTCCTCTTGTGTACATGTATTTCTGGTTGCTGTTGCTCTGATGTAGTGAGTTGCTCTAGCAACGATGACTGCCCGTTGACTGAAGCATGTTTTGGAGGAGTCTGTCAGCACCCTTGTGATGTTCACGATCCATGTGCTTTCAATGCGGTCTGCATCAATACCAACCATGGAACTGACTGCAGCTGTGCCGAGGGATATCAAGGCAATGGATTTGTTGGATGTGGCCCAGGTAGGGTGATTATAGTTAGCTTGTATTTTATTTTTGAAATGATGTTTGTCCTTCCACTTAGGAGTGAACTCATTTATTCATCTTATTTGTTCATGCATCCTGTTGTGTTATCCTATAAAATTCTCTGTGTTGTTTCTGTCTCATTCATTCGTTTCTTGTATTCTCTTCTCATCCAGGTTTCTTAACTTGCAAGTTTGTTTATTTCTGCTTTGATGTATTAATAAGTATATTTAAAAGATTTACTGTCACACCTATTTTCATTTTAAGAACACTTTGAATTTCCTAAGTGAGATGAGTTTACTTGTGTATATTATATCCGTATTGAATAAATGTTAACACCAATTTGAAAGCAAATGTATGCCAGATAATTCATAGAACTGCCATCGCCAAGTTGCAAGAGTCAACTCTTTATTGACCGTTGCAAGAGGTTAGAAATTAAACAGTAAATTTGTCTGACAGTCACAATCATTATACCCATTAAATTCTTATCAGCCACTCTGAGATATGATTCCATGGCAGATATATTAGTAATATCCACAACCTGTTAAGACATTAAGTACCATTATTATTCATATTGAAGGGAAATTTATGTCACATACAAAACTAGTGCATAATTTCTAGAATTCTATTTTCATGAGAATATTCTCAAATGGTGCAAAATGTTATATCCCATGAACCTTGTATTCTAACAAGGATAGACTAGTAATAATCACATATATGTTCAATGCTATTAGTATATTGTGGCATGTAGACCTGGTGCTAGGCAATGACTGCGAAACAAACAACTAGACAGCAGCCATTACTAGGCAACGGCCTATAAACAGCAACAGAGGAACGGCGTTTTGTATGTGGTCTCTGCTGAGATGTTATAAGCAGGACAGTTAGTTAGTTATTGGAGAGGGTGGGTTTCCCCATGCACTGTGACCTGTATTGGTCCATTGTGCTTCCCTCTATGATTTCTACCAGTCTCTATATCCTACCGGTACTGGTGCTTACCATCGGTCCCGCCCAGCCAGCGAGACCGGCTCTACTAGCTGAGAGGTATCTATAATGCTTCCCCCATCTACCAGAGGTATTAGAGACTGCTGTTGGGCGGGAAACGTACGTTAATTTGGCTCACTGACCTCCTTTGGAGATATGAGGTTCTTTTACGTGCCATAAAGCTACGACACGGGACCCACGGCTGGAAGTTCCTCCCGGAGGACTTGTTCCCTGAATTTTTCTGCCCTTAAAAATTCGACGACCTCCGCCGGGTATTTGAACCCGCTTACTATGAGTCATGAGGTGGGAACGTTACCTCTAGACTACGGAGGCCGCTAAGCAGGACAGTTAGTGAGCGAGGTTAGAGGACTGCTGCTGTACAGTCATTGTGAGCTGTTGCTATTAGAAGGTGGTAACTGAGGAGGGGGACAGTTTGTAAACCCAGAGGAAGGGGAATGTCTGCTGTTGGAAGCCGTTAGCAGAAGACTGGTGAAGATGCAGCAGGCTGAGAAGACTTACATGTGTGATCTTGTGAACTGCAAAGTGTGTGAATTAGTGACACAGCTATAATTACTTGTAGTCACGGTTCTGTAAGAGTTCAATAAATCCAATTACCAATCCAAACCCCATCTGTTGTCACTCATGCATGTGACAAATTGTCTCAGAAGTGGAATTGGATTGAGTGAGTTTTTGGATTGAAGACTGTAATGGTTGGTTTTATCATCAGCCTACAAAAATGGAGCAAATGATGGAACTGATGTCAACCAGGATGGATATCTTTCAAGAAAAGAAGACCCACTCTGCGTATGTCAACACAGCTGAACAACACATCAGAAGGGAAGCAGCCTGTACATTTGTTGATGGGGTAAACAAAGAGACCTAAGATGATAGCTACTACTGAGGAGAAGAGGACATTAAGCGAGGCGCTAAATCAAGCCCTTGATCTGGAGGCAGAGGATATGGCAGTTGGGACACCCTCCTTGCTCTGGTAAGCGAGCATGCCCCCCCACCACCACCACCACCACCACTCCAAGAGACCACCAATGACCAGTGTGCAGGGCTTCTGAGGAGCCAGGCGACTTATGGGGTAACTGCCCCCATAGGAGTGAAGCAGAAGACGACCAGCACTGGAAACGAGATGGAACACCTCTGAGAGACATGAGAGACGGCAGAAAGGTCTGAATGGCGACAAAGAAACAAAAGTGGCGGACAGAAAGGATGGCCAACTTCTGGAAACAAGTGGGTGCCAGTGGAAAATTGGGGGG